CAGCCCTCCCGCTCAACTTTGCCGAATATCTGGCGATGAGCTTGTGCTCATCATCCAGGTGGCCATTCACAGCGATTTGGCCCGGTAGAAGAACAGGCGAAGATGGCCAGGAAGGCGCGCGCTCGCTTTGGTGACGCCTGAAAAAATTCTGTTTTTCGAAAGAATCTCTGCTCATTTCCTCAAAGTTTTCTGCTCCGTTTCCCCAAGGATTTCTGCTAGATTCCTCCATTTTTCAGTTCAATCTCCTAAAGCACCTTTGCTAGCCTGCCCTTTCCTAAAGAATCTCTGCTAGCCTGCCCCTTCCTAAAGAATCTTTGCTAGCCTGCCCTTTCCTAAAGAATCTCTGCTAGCCTGCCCCTTCCTAAAGAATCTTTGCTAGCCTGCCCTTTCCTAAAGAATCTTTGCTAGCCTGCCCCTTCCTAAAGAATCTTTGCTAGCCTGCCCTTTCCTAAAGAATCTCTGCTAGCCTGCCCCTTCCTAAAGAATCTTTGCTAGCCTGCCCTTTCCTAAAGAATCTCTGCTAGCCTGCCCCTTCCTAAAGAATCTTTGCTAGCCTGCCCTTTCCTAAAAAATCTCTGCTAGCTTGCCCTCCCCTTTCCCAGTCCCTATAAAATCTTTCTCCACCTACCGTAACGTGGTCGGTGTTGCCGGGACAATATTTGTCAACTCCAACGGCTTCACCGGACGATCGTATTGCATCGGAACGATCTGTCAATAGGTGTGGCTCGAAATTTCCGTTTTTCCTCTCACCTTTGCCTGTGGTTTCGCCTGTCCGCTCGGCACGCATTGCAGCGATTTTTGAATGGAATGCGCGAGTTGGCGAGTGGGGGATTTCTAAAATATCTTTGCTTCTATGGCCCTTTAAAAGCTTACGTAAGAACTGTACTCCTTCATCTCGTGCTCATTCGAATGGCTGTGCGAGGTTCGGCCTCGCCAGAAGCAATTCTGGCAGAGCTGGTAGTTGGCGCAGCGTTGGCACTTGTAGCGGAAACCGGTGAACGAGCGTACCTGGAATTACAGGGCGTAACCGGTTTAGCTTGGGCTTAGGCTTCGGCTTGAGCTTAGGCTTAGACTTAGTCTTAGCTTGGGTTAGGCTGGCTTGGGCTTAGGCGTAGACTTCGGCTTAGGCTTGGCTCAGGCTTGGCTTGGATTTGGCTTAGACTTCGGCTTAGGCTTGGGTTAGGCTTGGCTTGGACTTGGCTTAGGCTTTGCCTAGGCTTTGCTCAAGTTTTGCTTAGACTTTGCTTAGGCATAGCTTCGGCTTAGGCTTAGGCTGAGTCTTAGGCTTAAGCTTGGGCTTAGTGAGGCTTAGGGCTAGGCTTAGGCTTGGGCTTAGGCTCAGGCTTGGGCTTAGGCTTACGCGTACGCTTCCGCCCCTGAGAACCCAAATTTCCGCACCTGACAAGCATCACAGACAACCGGATGGTAGACATGCTCGACCGAGGCCATACGGTGCAGTAAAGGTAGCCTAAAAGGGGCTATTTAAGGTATACTGTATCACTTGCGTACCACATAATACAAGGCGGACACGGGTCCGACATGAACACGTCCAGAAAGTGGTTGAGCGTCACTTTGGCGTCTTTCGGAAAGCATTGAGCAACGGCAGCCTCGGTGAAGCCGAAAGTCGGAGCTTCGAATACGGCTGTGGTAAGGGCGAGGGCCTGGAAGAAGTCGTTAGATCCTTTCCTAAAGAATCACTGCTAGCCTGCCCTTTTCTAAAAAGCCTCTGCTAGCCTCCCCAAATTTCTCACCTCCTGCAACAAGTCCGCAAACCGATCGTGCTCCATGTGCCCATTTGAGTCGGAGATTTGGGAGAACATGTAGCGCAGCTTGTCCACCAGCTTCCCAGCACATACGGTAGCCAGGGCAATTTTTATCGAAAAGATGGAGAGGCGCCCGGATTGTTGTCTGAAATGGGCTTAGGCTTGGTCTAGGCTTGGCTTAGGTTTAGGCTTAGGCTTGGTCTTTGCCTAACTTACTTATCGTAAGCGCCCAGCAAAAATGCCAGCAGCAACGAGATGGACTTGTCGGTGTCGATGTGCTGCGAGGAGACGAGCCGCTTGTTGAGATTGTGGAATATCGAGGTGAGCAACAGCTCGACTCGCGAGGCTTTGATCTAGAAAAGAGGCTTGGGTGGCTCAGCTTAGCTTGGTAAGGTACCAGAAAAGCTACGCACCTGCGTGTAGATGGGCAACGCGTTCAGCCCATTCTCCCGGAAGCTGTCAATCATGTTCCAAATATCGACCAGGTGGGCGTTGGTTTTTTTCTGGATGAAACGGAGCTTGCAGGCGGCTCGGTAGGTGGCGAAACGGATCGAGTCAAAGTCTTGGAGCCCTGGAAAAGCAAGCTTAGGCTTAGGCTTAGTCATAGGTTTAGGCTTGGGCTTAGACTTAAGTTTAGGCTTCGGCTTAGGCTTAAACTGAACTCACTCATCTCGTCGATCAACCCCTGCAGCTGGGCGGTGTACTCCGAATCGGGCCCCATCCCGTTCGTCCCGTTCGACGCCGTCGGCTGGGCCCCAGCGCCCACCTCCGCTTCCGCCCACATTTTGGCTAAGAGCATTTTTGAGAGAGAGAGAGAGAGAGAGAGAGAGAGAGAGAGAGAGGAGAGAAGGAGACCTAGCGGAGATTCTTTGGGAAAAGAAAAAAGGGCTATGAAATTTAGGACAAGCTAGCAAAGATAATTTCGGAATCGAGGGCAGGCTAGCAGAGATTTGTAGTCAGTATTCTAACGGAAACAGCCGGGGCCGGATGGGACGCCTAATTGCCCCAGGATGGGGCGGCCGAGATGGCCGCGGCGCGATTGTGGAGGGGCCAGAATTGGAAAATCTCGGGTTTCTTGGGCCCCCAGAATGTTTGCGGGGCTTCAAAGGGCAGAACGTCAGCGGCAAGCCATTTTTAAAAGATTTTAAAGGGACCCGGAAGACAAAAATTCCTGGTTATGACGTCGGCAATTGATTTAACGGGGTTTCCACTCTAGTTTTGGCATGGGCTTTGATTTAAGCTTAGGCTTAGGCTTAGGCAGGCTTAGGCATATGCTTAGGCTTAGGCTTAGGCACGACTTGGGCTTAGGCTTAGGCTTAGGCTTGCATGGTCCACAGCGAGCAAAAATAAACACGGAAACCAATAGCCCTCCCGGGCAGACAGCTGGGGCGGTCTAGGGCATGTCAAGCCAAGAGGTTGGGCTTTAGGAGCACCCCGTATTACACAGATACAAAAGGAGAGAGCGAGAGAGCGAGAGAGCGAGAGAGAGAGAGAGAGACAAAAGCATGTCGAAAACCGGATCCTCAAAGAGCCCCCCAAGGGCTGCACCTGGGCCTAGCGTCAGGTAAAGGACGGAAATAAGCGTTCGAGAAGCTGCCCGATTCCTAAATGATCTCTGCTGGCTTGCCAGGGGCTTAATCTCGATTAAAAAGAATAGCACACACTTTCAAAAACATCTGGAATTTTAAAATAGATTAAATTTAAATCACTATCATAAATTCCGAAATGCTACTACGCTCAGAAGGAAACGATTACTACAAAGAACGGGGGGCTTCACCCTTGCTAGTGGCCCTATCCCCACATGTGGTCGATTAGGGCCCATGGCGTCTCGGGAAACGAATTGTACAAATTGACACCAGATGGCAAACACTTTGAATAAAATAATGCTCTTTAAAATGGGCTAAATTGTATAGAAAACCTGAAAAATAAGAATATCGCTTTAGCTATAACCCTAAAAAAATATACTTTACAGCCTAGGAAGCACCGAAAATTGTTAAAATGGGAGTTTAAAAGGTTAAAAAATCAAAAAAGCTTTGAAATATGCCGCTTGAAATTGGTTAAAATGTATAGAAAGCCCTGAAAAACAGAAATATTGCTGCTTCAACCCCAAAAGCTAAAACGCATATTTTAAAGCCTAGAAAAGTACCGGAAATTGTGAAAATAGGAAAAAACTAGTAAATTGACTTATTTATCTATTAAATAGGTTTAAATTGCTTTAAAATATGTTTAAATTGTTTAATCGAATAGAAAATAGTTAATTTCCAGTTTTTGCTAAAGAATAGCGGTAAAAAGACGCTTTTAATGTTATAATACTCTCTACGAGCTTCTTTTTCGCTATTAACAAAGTTTAAAGTATATTTCTGCTAAATCACGGATGCAAATTAGGCTTGGCAGAATTCCAAGAACCCGAAATCCCTGCGCGAACCATATTATTGGCAATATTGTGCGTGCGGGTCTTGGGTGGGGCCTAGTGGGCCCCTAGCCCCCGGGGCCCACACCCCGGCTAGAGAGTGTAGAAAGTGAGAGGGGCCCAGAAGTGGGTCCTGGGCCCCCAGCGCCAGTAGCCCTAGGGCCCGGTGGCCGCTCTCTACGGGGCTGCTTCTGCCGCTCCTTCTCCATCTCCTTCTCCTCCTTCTCATCCTCCACGACCCGCGCCCCCAGCCCCCCAATTTCCAACGACAAATTGAAGCCGCTTTCCGGCGCCGCTGCTGGGGGAGCTTCAGGCCCGGAAGACTGGCCCGAAAAATGTTGCCGATGGGGGTGTAGTTTGGAGTTTGTGGCCTGGAATTTGGCTTCGAACTTCGCGAAAAATTTTGTAGCTAATTTTCTTCCTAAATAGAGTGTAGTTTGGAGTTTTAGTCTAGAATTTTAGCCTCTGCCTTCTGAAAAAAGCTTGCAAAAACGCAGCTACCTGGTCGGGCGTAACTTGGAGCCTGTAGCCTGAAATTCAAGGACGTAGATGGCGTAGTTGCATAAAATTCGTAGGAAATTGCGTTTTTTCGGATGTAGTTTGTACCACTACGACCACAAGCGTGGATTTTGTGGCTTGTAGCCTGGAATTTTAGCTTCTTGCTTCTCCTGAAAATTTCTAAAAAATTCCGCTACAATCAGGTGTAGTTCTGCTATTAAGTGTACTTTGTAGCCTACAGCATCCACTACTAAAATGTAGTTTGGAGTCTGTAGTGAGCTTTTATTAATTCCTATAAACTACAGGATACAAATGTCGCCCCGCGCTCATTTCCGGCCGCACGGGAACTTGCTGAAGCAGCCTGGAATTAAATAATTGAACTACAAACTTTATGGCGAAGAAGCGTACGTGCGCGTAAGTGCTAAGTAATTAACGTACGCTTGACCGTAGCCCGCATTCTCGTCAGTGTCGTCGTGAAGAATTGCTGCCGATTCGGCGCCTGACTTGTCACTTGGAAGAGATCGGTGGGGAAATTGTCTAAATTAAATGTTTCAAATGTTTTTAAGCTTTTTGCGCTTATTTTCAAAGTTTGCAAAGCTTAGAGAAAGCTGCTGAGCCTTTAATAAGGTTTTAAAGATACCTGTAAGAATACAAGTCCGCAGCGTCTCCACCTCAAGCCCCGGCGAGCGCAGCGTGCGCAGATCGATCATCGACCAGATCTCTAAAAAAAAATGCTGTTGGCGCTGGGTAGCTAGCAGAGACGATTTGCGGAAATATAAGTCGCTTTTTAAAGGGGAGGAAACTGTTTCTAAGTGCTAATTCGCTAGGTAGCTAGCAGAGATCATTTGAGGTGAATTAATCCCTCTTTTAAAATGTAGAAAACCGTTTTCTAAAACCTACATTCGCTAGGTAGCTAACAGAGACCATTTGCGGAATTTTTATTGAGCTTTTAGCACGAGAAAACTACTTTAGAAAATCGAGATTAGTGCGGGTAGAGCTAGCAGACACCATTTGAGGAATTGTCATAACTCTTTAAATGCAGAAAAAGCCTCCCTAAGAACGCTTGTTACCCCGCTAGCTAGCAGAGACCATTTGAGGAAGTTTACAGAACTTTTTAAATACATTCGTTTAAAGTTTAACCCACCGCCCATATCTGAAGCTAGCTGCAGAACGTCAGCAAAGGGGTCAGCGGCCCTCCTTAGACAATCAGCCGCCGTCCGATCGTAGCTGTCTTTAAAAAAACCTGTTTTTAACTTTAATAACGCTAAAATGGCACGTACAGCTTCTCTGCTACGTTTAAAGGACCCCGAAAGCCAAAATCCACACGCACCTCCAAGCTTGCAAAGGCGGTCCCCGGCCGTGTTCCAGTCGAACTGCCCATCGGCCGGGTTCCAGTCCCACGGCTTGGCCGATAGAAGCGTCAAGCTAAAATTCGGAAGCTTTAAAGGGATTGGCAAGCCAAAATATAGCTCTATGGATTTCCGCAAGCATCTCTGCTAGCTGGCCGACTCACCAGGCGAAAAATAGCGACGCGCTGGAGCGGGCGGCCATCTAAAAGTATAAGTTCAGCTTATATAAGCTGTAATAGTTATATCACTAGCTAAAAGAAATAAAATCAGGGTTTAGAAAGTTATGCAACTATGTAAAGGTATTAAAATAAACTTTTGGAAAGTTATATACGTTTTCTAGCCCCTAAAACAGCTTTAAACTTTAAAAACTTATCAAAAACTTCAACAAAAGTTTACATCACTTTTAAAAGCATTTAAATAAGCATTTAAAAAGTTTATAACGCGTAAAATGCGCTTTAAAAACTTATAATACTTAACAAAATCCCTTCCGGATCGAAAAACAACCAGCGATCGCAGCCACTGCGAAAAGGCTTGCCGGTGGCTTTGATAGGCGTGGCAGAAAAACGGAAATTTTCTTTCCGGCCTGAACGGCCACCCGGAACGAGATTGATGAGATCCCGCATTTGGGATCAGGCTGGCATCACGAACGTACAGTCATCACGCCCACGTTTTGCAGAACTATCTCCTGTGCAATACCAAAACATAGCCCGGGTTATGATAGAAACACTTTATTTACCGAAAACACAATCACATAACAGCAATAATGGGGGATAACGAGGTGGAATATCGATTACTTCATTGGCTGACCGGTGGCTTCTTGCGCTCGTCGGATGGCGGCACGCTGAAAAAAGAGCGTAATCTTGAACGAAACAGTTTTACAAACCTTTCCAACCATAGCCGTGAATCCGGCTCGGATCGCCGTCACCGAGCAGCGCGAATTGCAAGAGTGGCATTGGAGGAAGAAGAGACGAGTTTCCTACACAAAAAATTATTAAAGCAATTAAAAACCAACATACCCTAACAAGCGCCGTATCCGACGACTTGCACGTGTGGCACATTACGTATTCTTCTAAAAATAACAAGATTTACGCCAAAAGAACGCGCAACTTACTAATATACTTTCGCAACACGCTTTCCAAGTGCTTTTGCAAGAATTTTCCCTTCAGAATCAAACAATTATTGCCGTCGATCGAACCGGTCGTACCCAACTCGGCCAAAAGGAACTGGAAATGAAACAGGTTATTTTAACGACAAAAACGCACCTGTAAGACGTGCTTGTTATCACGCTTCAACACGCGGCAAATTTCGGTGAAATTGGAGAAGGCCGTCTTCTTCGAGCCGGCTCGTTGGACCTGAAAAAGTAAATAATACTTACGAAAAACGAAATCTTACCTCTGGGGGCTTCATCGCAAACTTCTTCTTCTCGCCGGCCATATCCGGGTTCTTCTCGCGCATCACGTTGAACACGAGGGTCAGCATGTCCTGGTAGGAATAATCGGGCCACGCGCCTTTGGCGTCGATCAGGTTGTCGCGGCCGATACCGGAAGCTGAAAAACGACATTAAATTTGGTAGCTAAAAAATGATACCTATCGTGCTGTCGGCACCATCAGCCGCGCCGGGCACCTCCTCGGCGAGGGCCTTGTCCTTCTTCTTCGACTTCTTTTTGCCGAGTTGCAAATCACCTAAATCGGAACTATATTTAAAGCTGAAAATTTCACACCAATATCATCAGTAGCTGCGGCAACGTCTGCCGGCGCGGCCGCACCCTCAGCCGGCTCGTCATCCAGCTTCAACGGCTTCTTCGCCTTCTTCTTCTTGCCTAAATCCAACGCTGGTAGATCGTCGGCCATTCTGTAATTTATGCTCTCGGTACAGGGACCAAAAAAAGGAGAAAAAAGGCACGAGAACGTAAGAACAACAATGCAAACAACACCAGGAAAGCGCATCGGCGTCCACAAAAAAAATCCGGGCCTAACTAATCATAAACTATGTAAATTCGATACTGGGATAAACAACAAACTATAAAGAGCCATTAACCCTTCCAATGCGGGCTTTTCCACCCTCGTCGAAAACTGAGTATCACAAGTGAAACGTTAGCAAATCTATAAAACACGCGGCGAAGAGATCATTTTGCTTGGAGCCGCCGTGTTCATTTGGGTAACGGCGCCCCGTTGGCCTCGTTGTTGAGCATTTGATGTTCGGCGAATCGGGTCGACATCCGCTGCGACATTTTCAGGAATTTGTCGAGACAATTCGTCGTGCAGCGCTCCTCGCTGTCGGACACGGAGCCGGACGTCAAATCGGAGATGCACGAGCCGAAGCACTGCTCGGTGACGACGTTGTATTGGCGCAGGAAGTCGCGGAACGTGGAGATGTCTTGGTCGGTCATTTGGGCCTGGAAAAGGGTTTATATTTCCGGTTTCGCGTCGAGGCAAGGTTTTTTAAAAGGGAGGTTAATATAAGGCGAAATTTTTTGACACTAAAAAGCAACAGTTTGATTTCGATGAAACGCTTGATTTGGAAAATCTTTTATATATTTCTTTAGGGTACAAAAACCGATTGAAATTTTGATAAAAAGACGTTTTTTCTTTGTTATGCAAGCCTAGACTTCAAAAACCTCGATCTTTATGCTTTCCCGTCGAGATACGCTATTTCATTGTAAAGTAAAATACGTCTAATTCATGATGAAAGGTTTTATAGTATTTTTTATAAAAAAAAAAATAGGTTTTCATTTCAATAAGAAGATTTTTTCTTTGTGATGCAAGCCTAGACATGGCCTGGGTATTTTCTGGGTCGGGTCCCGTCGCGAGGCTATTGCGTGGCGGCGCCAGGGCGGGGTGGGCAGTGATTCAGTTCCGGCGAGTCAAAGGAACCACCGAACACTGTTTGGATAGTGCTGAAGCTTCTAAACGGCTTCTAAAGCTTAGCTTTAACTTTTAAAACGTAGCAATCCAGACTTAGCAGGAGAAGTCATATACCCGGCCATTCGAAACCTCTAAAAAGACTAAAATTTTCATCCTGCAGTTTTACGATCTCCTTTTATTTGCCCTTTTCTGACATTTAACCGGCTTCAAAAGCTTTGCTTCAACTTTTTTAACGTAGAAATCGAGAACGAAAAAATTGTCTTCTTCGAGATCCTAATCCCAAGACTTTCCATCCGGGGCGCCTAAACGTTGTTTGGACTGTAGTGAAATCTGCGCTTAGAAAGCTTGGCTTGAACTTTGTTGACTTAGAAATTACAGCTCTAACCAGCTTCGGAAGCTTTTCTTTGACTTTTATAACTTATACATTGAGAATGTGCGTAAATAAATATATCGCTGGCCATTGGCAACTTCGAAAAACCCTTCATTTACAACATTGTTCTTTTACGAGTTTTTACGCTTCCGATTTTCTGATTAGCAGACTTCTAAAGAGCTTTAAATTATAGGTATCCGCTGATTAACTCTAGAAACTAAGAGAAAATAGCTTTAAAAACCCATGTTACAGATTTTCGATCTTCATTCTTTTCTTGCTCTGGTCATTATGCTTTCTAACCCCCATTTTTCAGGTAGAATGACTGGTCGGCTGCCGGCGGTCGTCATCGACAACGGCACAGGGTTAGTATTTTTAAGTCTTCGAAGGATTTTCTCGTTTAGCTACTCCAAGCTCGGCTACGCCTTCAACTCGGAGCCGCAGTTTATCATCCCCACCGGTACGTCTTGGCATTAAAATTTATGCTTTTTTTAGCACTAGCCGTTCGGGAACAAGCCGGCCGCCAGGGGCTCGAGAAGGGCCGCATAGACGACCTCGACTTTTTCATTGGGGACGAGGCTCTGTCGCCGGCGGCTGCGACCTATTCATTAAAAGTTTGTTTTTGAATTTGAGGCGGTTTTTTGGTTCTTGTGCATTATCGGGGGATTGTAGTGCTAGGTTGTTTTCTAATATTTTAATCCTGTCTCATTTAAAATTTATAAAATTACAAATAATCGATAGAAATTTGCCTCAATTCTGGACCTAAATCGACAATTTTGGCCAAATGTTGAAATTTTCTAGCTGTTTTTCTTTTAAGTTTTAAGCTGTTTACCAGGGTTGAAAAGCCGCTTCGCGACTTTTCAACCCTGGCCCCGTTTGAGCCCATGCTATTCTTCACTTTGCATAATTCGTCCGGGCTGCGATGAAAAAATAATGAAAAACGCTCCCTCTGCCCCTTAATATAGACCACCACCACTTCCGGCGTATGCAAATTGTTTCCTAACAAAGAGGGTGCCCGAAAATTTCACTAAAACCTAAATTTAATGTCGAAAATAGCATAATTTACAAAATCTGGCATGCGTGCAGTCATCCCAGAGCCATTTCGATCCTAATGACGTATCATACGCCCCTTAAAACCCCTCCCCTCTTGAGATATCCTCCGGACATGGTGACGGAAGTTGCATGCAAAGTGGCACACACACACACACACACACACACACAGACACTATTTTTTTATATATAGTAGGATAATAGCTTCTGCCCTTTAATTTTGACATTTTTATTAATTTAATTAAGGTTTATTTATAACAGAAAGACTTTATGACATTTTCCTGTTTAGTACCCGATTCGCCATGGTATTGTCGAGGACTGGAACCTGATGGAGCGCTTCTGGGAGCAGGCCATCTTCAAATACCTGAAGGCCGAGCCGGAGGATCATTACTTTCTACTGGTTCGTTAGAAATTTATTCTGAAATCCAGAAAATTTAGACCGAACCCCCGCTCAACACGCCCGAAAATCGCGAGCTGACCGCCGAGATCATGTTCGAGACGTTCAACGTGCCCGGGTTGTACATTGCTGTTCAGGTATTTTATTTGTCGGTGTTTTTTTCTACATTTTTTAATCAACTGGTTGAGATTTATTGATTTTTTTCAGGCCGTTCTCGCCCTCGCCGCCTCATGGCAGTCTCAAGACCTCGAAAAGCGCTCACTCACTGGCCTGGTAAGGACAATTTTCGGATTAGGAAGGAGTTGGCGGGCTCGTAATTTACAGTTCTTTGGCAATATCGGGGAGGGCCAATTTTTTTGTCTGCGAATCCAAATGAAAAAGTTACCCCCGATAATGCGCAAAAACCGCTTTCTATTTTTTCTTCGAGTTTTCTATTAAATCTTACTTTCCAGGTAATTGACTCTGGTGACGGTGTGACGCATTGTATCCCGGTTGCTGAGGGCTACGTCATCGGCTCCTGCATCAAGCACATTCCAATCGCAGGTATCCCATCGTTTTAGAGCGTTTTTATACTAAAAAAGCTTTCCGGACTTCTATCAAAAGTTTAAGCTATCGGCAAAAATTCATAGAAAAATGACAAAAAAAATGAAAATTTGAAGTTTTTGAAGTGTTTTATATGACTTTTTCGTAATTTTCGTGAAGCCAAACACTTTTAAAGTGGACGGGCAAGCTAGCCGAAACGATTTGAGATTTAATCTCGACCAACTTAAATCCATTTTTCAGGCCGTGACATCACCTACTTCATCCAGTCGCTGCTGCGTGACCGCGAGACGCAGATCCCGCTCGAGCAGACGTTCGAGGTAGCCAAGGCGATCAAGGAGCAGTACTGCTACGTGTGCCCCGACATCCTCAAGGAGTTTACGAAGTACGAGACGGACGGCTCGAAGTTCATCAAGGTGCGTGCGTCGATTTCGACTTTTTATTTTTTTTCTAGACTTACACCAGCGTCAACAAGATCAACAAGCAGCCGTTCACGTGCGACGTCGGCTTTGAGCGCTTCATCGGGCCCGAGATTTTCTTCCATCCGGAGGTAAGGATTTGTTATGAAAATTAATAAAAGTCGGGATTTTTATATTTTTATCAGTTTAGTCATTTTAAAAAACTCAAAAAAATTGGTTTGTTGAAATCTTTGTCAAAAGTGGCCGTTTTTATTCCGAAAATTTTTTTCTCTTTTTTTTAGCAAAATGTGAAACCTTGGAAATTATTTGTAGTTTATAGTTATCTCTATAATTCTTCTTTTCCAGTTCTCCAACTCAGACTTCACGACCCCAATCTCCGAGGTCATCGACAAGGTCATCCAGCAGTGCCCGATCGACGTGCGCCGCGGCCTCTACGAGAATATCGTGCTCTCCGGCGGCAGCACCATGTTCAAGGTACTTATATCAAAAACTGTTCGAAAATAAACTTTTTAGGACTTTGGCCGCCGCCTCCAGCGCGACATCAAGCGCATGGCCGACGCGAGGATTCAGATGAGTGAAGCGCTGTCGGGCGGTGCCCTAAAGGTGTTTATTTTTCACGTTTTTTACCAATCTTGTTTTTCCAGGCGAAACCCATTGACGTCTCGGTGATCTCGCACAAGATGCAGCGGTACGCCGTCTGGTTTGGAGGCTCGATGCTGGCTTCAACGGTGCGTTTTTGAACGTTAAAACGATTTTATTGGGGAATGAAAATTAAATTAAGGAAATTTTTTGTACCTTCAAATTTTTAAAATTAAGGTTAGGTTCTTTCGCATTATCGAGGGGGGAATCGATCCTTAGAAAAAATTTTGGTCCCCCTGATAATGCGAAAGTACCAAAAATGTAAATTTTTTCGCTATTTTCTTCCCTTGTTCATCCACCACTTTCCAGGCCGAATTCTACCAAGTGGCACACACGAAGGCCGAGTACGACGAGAAGGGCCCCTCCATCTGCCGGCACAACGCCGTGTTCGGCGCGCTCACGTAAGCCGGCAGCTGATGGTGATGATGAGCAGCTGAAATCTCCACGCCGCACCGCTCAGGGCCCTCAATTCGACCCCGTTGCTCGGCTGCTGTTTTTGTGTAGTGTGTTTTTTTCGGTTCTTTGGTATTTACGGGGGGGGGGGGGGCTATCCTAAGGATCCAATTTTTGTAAAATAATTCGAGACACTGTTTTTACTATGGCTAAACGTAAAACCTTACAAATTTCGATGAAAACGTACAAAAAATCTAGGTTTTCGACCAAAATTTCATCTGAAAAAATCTAATAGCCAAAGTTTCTAAATTGTCTTTTCGCTTCAAGTATCGCTCAAGTTTGCTAAAGAGATATAAAAAAATTTTCTGCACCTATAGGATGTAAAATTAGCTACTCCCCCCTGAAAATACCAAAGAATCGACCCATTTCTAGCTTTATGCTCAAGGGCCTCCTGGGGGCTCACCTCACTTTACCTACCGCCTTATCCGGAGAGTCTCAGCCGTTTCTAGTGATCATTTATCCAACGTCCCGCTCCCCGCACCCACCCATATCTAGCCCATTTCAGTTACTCCTCCTGCTCCCCCATTCGGGCCCAAAATTGCGCAATTTTTTTTGCACAAAAACATTTCCCCTCCCCGAAAATGGTTGTGTAATGGCGTTTTTTATTTATTGTGCCCCCGAAAATGTATCTATAATCTATAATCTATTCCCCGAAACGCATTCCCGCCTTCTTAAAAAAATTCTTGACGTCTTTTTTGGTGAACGTTGCCTTACAAAAGAACAAGTTTGCTCTCTCTCTTTTCTCTCTCTCTCTTCTCCCCCCCCCCCCCCCCTCTCCTCTGGCCCAAATCTTTTTGCACGTTTTCTTCTTCCGCTTTCTTGTGTAATTTTCGAGCTTCACCCACGCTGCCCATTCTCCTCTTGATTATTTTTTGTGTGTCTGGAATGGTGATCTGGCATTTTTTATCGTCGTCGTCTCGAATAAAGCGCTTCACCACCTGCCAACGGTGCTTTGGGCAAAATATAATTTGTTTGGCAGCAGCCGGAGTATCTGCAGGTTACAGAGAACATGAATTAGAATATTTTTATAGCAAAGAAATATTCAACGTCGATTTTAGAAATCGGTACGTGGAAATTTTGTAGTTTGTGCGATTTGTAGTCTGGTAAATTTGTTTTATTTTGCATTTTTGTAAAGTAATAATAGTTTCTACCACCGGAAATAAATTTAAGACTATTATAGAATTCAGTAAGCTGAAATTGTAGTTTGTAGTTGGTATATTTTTATTTTGTAGTTTTGTAACGTTGGAGTCTCTAAAAACTTAGACGTTTTAGACGAAATAGCTCTATTTTTATCGCGCAACGGCATTTGTAAATAATTGTAAATTGTGCTTTACGTTCAAACGCTGCGATTTTTTCTAATACTGACGTTGTGGACCCTAGAAATTAGCAGCGAATTTTGGTTTCTAGGCGAAACGGTCAATTTCTATAACGAAAATCAAGTTATAATTGATCTTCGAGTTTTTTACGTTTCTCCCATTTTCAAGTTGTACACTTTAGGAATTTGCATTCTAATCTATTTTATTTTCAGGACACGCAAACGATGGACCTCCCGATCGTCACCTACAACGAGGAAGACTACGTCAAGACCAGCGTCGGAAATTTGGTAATGTAATTATTTAATGCATTAAATTTTCTATTTCCAGGTCTACAAGCGCGCCACCCTCTGCGGCTCCCAGAACATTGTGCTAAATGGCAAGGTGAGAATGGTCGATTGGTTTCTATGATCGTCTTTTTGCAGTGCATCCTGCAGAAGGATTGCGTGTTCCGGGGAGACATCGCCCCCATCCGCATCGGCAAATACGTGATCATCGGAGAGGGATCGGTAAGCATTTTGCAATTTTTAGGAAAATTTAAGGATATTTTAAGTGGCAAAACAATCAAAAAAATTAGAAAACTTATTGTGGAAAATTTTGTCGAAAATAGGCCAGTTTGTTCGAAAGATCGCCATTTTTTTTTGTATTTTTAACAACGATTTGTAACATTTTGACGTTTAGGAATAATAAAAACGGTTAGGAAACACTGACGCTATTGATATTTCGAACTTTGGATCCTAAGAAAAAGTTGCCCCCCCCCCCGATAATGCTGAAGATCCAATTCTTTACTATTCGACAAAGTTTTTAAGCTCAATAGAAGCCAGAGATTTTCTAATTTCTTCTTTATTTAACGTTGATTACACTTATTTTTTTTCAGGTGATCCGCCCGGGTTCAAAGGTGCTGCAGGCTGCAGCGGCGTTCGTGCCCGTCCAAATCCTCGACCACGTTTTTATCGAAAAGGTATGATATTTATTCAGATATTTTAAGAATTAATTCTTTTTGTTTAGGACTGTGTGATCATGGCCGCGCAGATCGGCATGTACTGCCACATCGGCGCCGACTCGATCATCGGTCGCAACACGTGCCTGAAGGAGTGCTGCGAGGTGAGATTTTTTATTTTAAAATATAGTTGCTTTTATTTTAGGTGAAGCCCGGGTCGGTCGTGCTTCCAGACTCCGTCTTCCCGCCCTTCTCGCTGATCGCCGGAAATCCCGGTTGGTTTTTTTTTTCTTTACTAGGCCTAGGGCTTTTATAAGAACTAAGAAAGCGCGTTTATGAAAAGAGAAATTTTCAACGTTTATTGGTCTTTTTCAGGGTCTTTTGCATTATCGGGGGGGGGAGGGAGTAAATTCTAACCTTTTCTGTAGCTAAATCTGAATTTTTTTACTATTCCTAGGCATTAAAATTTTGCAAATTTTTATTAAAAAAACAGAAAAATATTTATTTTTCTACCAAAATGGTAACTAAATAATTTTTCTAAGGTTTTTTATTGTTGTCGACTTAAAATATAGCTAAATTTTGCCAAAAATCATTAAAACATTCATTATTACCGTGCTAATTATTCTGGAAATATAGGAAAAAAGTTTTTCTACGATTTTTTCACTAAATTATCTCGATTCGCAAAAACCAATTTAAGAATTTAAAATCTTTATTTTGACATTTTTATTGGGCTTTTTCAGAATTCCTAGCCTGGCTGACTTCGCAAAAACGTATTTTAAGAAGCTAACTTTTATTTTGAATTTAATTATTCTGCTTTTTTTCAGCAAAAGTCGTCGGCTGCACGGCCCCCTGCCAGGCTGACCTGATGATCGAGGCGACGATGGACTACTACGAGAATTTCGTCCCGTCGAAGAACAAAGCCGCGCTCGCGTGAAGCCGCCCATCCAGCGCCGCCCTCGCTCCCGATATTTATTTCCGCATTGTTCTTTCGCAGCCCCCAAATGATCCCCCTTGTTTTTGCATGGTCATAATCTTGTTTTCTAGTTTTGGATTGTTGACTATACGGGTACACATTTCTGTTTTAAATGTTGTAATTGTTATTTCTCGCGAGCTTCCCAATTGTGCTTCTAATTTCTTGGATCTGCACTCATTTTCCTGCCTGAATAAAGTTTCGCTATCTAATTTGTGGATGATCAAAGTGCGAAAAAAGGGTTTTATGCCCAAAATTATTTGCAGATTTTGGCAAATGATGGCCGTATTTTTTAATCTGGTTTTTAGGCGACGACGTCAACTTTGTTAATGCTGTACCGGACTTGTTGCTGACGCGTGAAAGGTGAGGGATATGATTTCTAAGGGTGATGGGGTTCTTTCGCATTATCGGGGGGACCGGAAACTTTTTTGTAAGTCTAGAAATTTCTATTAGCGTGTCAATAAGTTTTGATAATGTTTGTAGTAAAATTTAACTATATTTTAAGTGGAAAACATCTTTTAAAGCGTTAAAAACGTTCAGTTGTATTTTTTGAGCGAAAATCTGATTTTTGTTGTTGTTGTTGTATTTTCATCAAAATTTCGAGTTTTAAAGTGATAAAGTTTGGACATAGCGCTCTCTGCTACTTTTTGATTAGCGCTCGTAAAGATCTTTGGCGCTAGGTTTTGTGTATTTTTGATGATTTTACACTCTTTTTTTAGTTTCTAAAACATGGACGACGCCCCGCTGATCGACGACGCCGAAGCCGGCGAGCCACAATCCCTGCGGTGCACGCTGCGCGGCGTTTTTTGCAGCAAAAAAGCTCCTTATGGTTGGTTTTCAACTTTAATATGTTGAACTAAAAGCTTTGAGGCTTGTTTTTAAAAGTAGCGTCTTTAAAAACGGTTTTTGATTGCTTGCTTAAAATACCAGCGTCATTTCTTGTGAAATTTTAGACATCTTTTCACTTATTTTGACGAGGAAAATTCCTGGATCTTTGGCATATGGGGGGGGGCATATGAGCCTAGAAATGCCTGGTAGCGTGTTTTAAAAGCGTTTTTTTGTAAAATTTGGCTATGTTTGAAGTAGAAAACTATCTTTAAAAACGGGGAAAAATTTTTAAGCTAAAATTCTGATCAAAATTTAAATATCCATTGTTTTTCTTCATCAAAATTTGTAGGGTTTTTACGTTTAGGCATATTAAAAACATTTTAGAAACACTTTCACGTTTTATAGATGGAAAAGTGGATCCTTAGAAAAATTGGTCTCCCCGATAATGTAAGAGAACCAAATTTCTTTAAAAAGGTAGTAATGTATTTTCCCTGACTTTATAGTGGTGATTTTGATCTATTTTCCCCAATTTTCAGTGCTCCTCTACTTCGTGCTCGTCATCCTGTTCATCTTCGCCGGCTGGCTGCTGCGACCACGGGCCGAATGAGCGATTTTAAAGCCCAAGCTAAATTTCCTTCTCTGTGCCGTATCCGTTTTCTATTTTGTGAAATTCCTGTGTTCCGTTGATGTACATAATTCCCGACGTGTACCCTCATCAAGTGTATTCCTAACGTGTGTATCTCAACCACCCCGGTTCACGCATAATCTTGCCGATAAAGATGGTCTTCTACCAGCAGGTTGAGGTTGATGACGTCAAGTCGAAGCTGTACAATGAGAAGTTGAAGATCAGCATACCCTAAAAGCAAGAGCTTAAGAAGATATGCTATGAAGCAGTAGAGCTTAATCTAGTGAGGGGAGGGCAAACTAGCAGGGATCTTTGAGGATGGTTAACTACAAATACAAAACTGCTGAAATTAAAAGAAATAACGGGAAAATACGCCCACAAAAGTAACCTCAAACTTGGGTAACTAAACCGGCCACGACTGTCACTTTACCAATTTCCCACTCGCCACCCACCTGGCCCACCCCCAGGAGCCATAGGCCGAGCGAATTTACCTTCATTTGTCAATCGTTCGTTTTTATGCCGTTCGTGCTGACCCGGTGGCTCCCTACAGCCAATATTTTATCGGCGGGGCAAAGCTCCGGCGTCTCGCCGCTGAGCTGCTCGAAGGGCTTCGGCTTTTGCTGCATTGCTCAAAGAGTGCAGCCTCTCTCCCGAACTGCTCGAAGACCTCGGTTTTTGGGTTTTTCAGCGGAAGCTGATCTGGCTATGTTTTACTACGCCATAAGTGAGGGGAAGGCCATTGATGCGGCGGCCTTTCGACACAGCCTTGGCGAACCTCTCGCCAAAAAATGCTGATTTTTAAAATTTTTGACTAGCGGCTACGGCCGAGGATTACCGAAGTTTTTTAATCAAACTTAGGATTGTTGCGGCCAGTGTGATTTGAGTGTACTTTGATCACCGCCGACTCGCCACCCTTCTGGACCGCTGTGAAACTATACCTCGGAAAAAATCCCAGGGTTGGTGGTCGGGGAGGTCGGTGGACTTACTACTCAATTATTTTAGATACTTTTTGAATAGTAGTATTCTATAGTATTATTAGATACTCCTCTTCTATTATTGATAGTCTTCAGGAGACTATATTATCAAAAATTGAGAATTTACTAAATTCTAAAATTCAGAGATTCAGAGCAAAGAACCCGAAACGTGACTCTGAGGATCAGAGGTTCAAAAGCCCAACTTCCGCTCCGCGAACGAGCAGAGCTTCAGCTAGGCGAGGATCCGCTTAGCGGGGAGGACAACCTGCGACAACAGACGTTACATCAGGTGACACCTCCAATGACTCGGTCGAGGGGCTGCCCTTATGCCCTGACCGTGGGCCAGATGCGGGGCGAGTGGGGCGGGGTCAGAGAGCATGCGAAGAACGCACAAAGACCAGCCCCACTCGCCACCCGTCTGGCCCACTGTCCGGGCATAAGGGCAACCCCTCGGTTGAGTGCTTGGAGGCTCAGCGAAAGGTAACCTGTTGCCGCAGGTTGTCCTCCCCGCTAAGCGGATCCTTGCCTGGCTGAAGCTCTGCTCGTTTGCGGGGCGAAAGCTTGCGCAATTTGAAGCTAGCTAACCCAAGCTCAGCACTTTGTGCTTTGCGAAGCTTGCGGATTTGAAGTCAGCCTTTTTTGGTTGCATTTTCATTTCCAGACTTGCTATTTTCACATCTTCGCCACGAAGTGGGGACGGCTGTTGCAATTTTTGAAGAACTATCTTGTCGATGAGTAGCGTTGCATAGCTATTATCCTGCTATTTAATATCAGTATGATATTTCATGATAATAATACTATCTCAAAAGTAATTGAAATTAATTGAATAGTAAGTCCCCCAACCTCCCCGACCACCAACCCTGCGTGTTTTTCCGAGCTATAGTTTCACCGTGGCCCAGACGGGTGGCGAGTCGGTGGTGATCAAAGTACACTCAAATGACACTGGCCGCAAGTTAAGTGTGATTAAAAAACTTCGGAAATCCCCGGCCGGAGCCGCTAGTCCAAAATTTGGAAAATCAGCCTTTTTTGGCGAGAGGTTCGCCAAGGCTGCGCCCGAAGGTGCTTTACCCGGGCTTTTCCCTAGGGGAAGCCCGTTTCTGCTGAAAGCCGAAGCTTTTCAAGCAGTTCAGGTCAAGCCGAAGCTTTTCCGGTTTCAAGGTATTAAGGGAGCCATGAAACCCATTGGTCGGCTGTACGGAGCCACCGGGACGGATGACCGACGATTTGGGTAGATTTGGCTTGGCCTATCTGTCCAGACAGTGGGCCAGATGGGTGGCGAGTGGGGTGGCGGTCAGAGAACATGCGAAGAACGCACAAAGACCAGCCCTGTCCAGACAGTGGGCCAGATGGGTGGCGAGTGGGAAAATTGGAAAGAAACAGCGATAGCCGGTTCAATTAGCCAAGTTTGTGGTTAGGTTTTTTACCATATTTTTTTACAGTGTTTTTCGGGGTTAATTTCGGTTTTACTGTATTTTACGGGCAGCTAGCCGAGGCCATTTGCGGAAATTTTGCTCATCCAACTCTTTATCCACGCAAACGCACACGTCGGTGTTTTTTTTAATAAATAGCACTATGTACAACGGGGGTTTCGCGGAGGAGGGGTAAAATGTATCGAAAAAAGTGAGCAACGTGAAATGGCTTTTGTTAAAGCTGTCAAAAAGTCCGTGAAAATCAAGGAAAGGGCAGAGAAAATTAGGGCATATTAGGGGGAACTTACAAAAATTTTAAATTATAACAAAAATGACTTGTCGTCTACAGGTGTATTTTGTAGCGCGTTGTAGTTTGTCGGCTTAGACGTTGGGGAAGCTGGCCTTGGTGGCGACGCCGCAGTGGTTGTTCTTGTTGCGCGCCATCTTGATGAAGCCCTTCTCGCCCCAGCCTTCGCCCCAACTGCAAAAATGGTATTAAATATATTAAGAAAACAGTAAGAATATTTATAAAATCGACGAATTTCGAACTTTTTCTCCCTCTATATCAATCTGGCAATAAATTTTGGCGATTTGTCGAAATTGGCGAAAATAAAAATGCCAGATTTTTCGGAAATTCCGAAACTATGCGAAAAACGATAAAGGGAAAATTCCGTAAATTGGAAACTACCGTAACCCCGGAAATAGCGTAATTAGTAAAGTATCGTAATCCTGGAAAGATCGTAATTAGGAAAGTACCGTAATTCCGGTATCACCGTGATTTTAAAGTATCGTCACCATGGAAATCCTATAATATGCGGAAACTACCATATTCGCGGAACTACGTAATTTGGAAAGTATCGTAATTCCGGAATTACCGCAATTTGGAAGCATCGTATCTCGGAAATATCGTAATAAGCAAGGTAATCTCGGAAATACCGTAATTAGTTAATTACCGTGATCTAGGAAATACCGTAGTTTGTAAAGTGTAGTAATCTTGAAAATACCATCATTTGGAAACGTTTTTCAACGTAATTTTTTACTTCATTGAATTTTTTAAATTTGTGACAAAAATAGATATAATTTGCATAACAAAAATGCTGACCTGTTCTTGACAAGCCAGTAGTCTCCGCCCTCCGGATCGGTACCATATCCAACGAGGAGCACACCGTGGTCGAGCTCTTCGGGGGAGCACTGGGGCTCATAGTAGACTCCTGAAAATGTGAAAATAATTTTAAACATGTACACTAGATGTATTTCCGTTCCTCAACGATCTCTGCTGGTTTGCCCGCCCGTTTTAAAGGGGCCGTGACAGTTAGAATTAGCGGCCTTATCAGGGCTGTCAAATTTCCTCAACGCTCTCTGCTCGCTGGCCCCTCCTGCACTTTTAAAGGGATTCTAAAGACAAAATTTGCGGATTTTTAGAGGCGGAAAATTCTTTAATGTAATTTTAATCGTTACTCAGGTCCCTCAACCCCCGAATTTCTCTCAATATTTTCGAGTTTCTGCCCCGTCAACCTTCCGCTTATCTCGATCGCGGCGGCTGACCGTCATTAGCGGGTGTTTTGTACTCGGCCAAACAAATTGCGAGAGAGTGAGAGAGAGAGCGCGAGAGAGAGTGACGGACACCACAGCGGCAAAAAGCCGTATCAGAATTGACCCAGACGGCTCTAAAACTCTATCTGGTGACCCGCCGCCGCGGATTGTTGATATTTTGGCGGCAGGGTTTGATCAGAAAAGTTCAAAAATCCGCTCTAGTTTCGTGGCACGATCCCTTTAAAGCGAAATTCAGACTTCACCATCCCTTTAAACGCTAAAAATTTGCGGCATCGCCCCCGCTCAGGGCAAAATCTAGCTGTCGCGGTCCCTTTAAAAGCCCCAAAAACCACTTACCCTTCTTGTACATCTGGAAGGAGCGGTGGCCGGCGTCGATGGCAATCGAGATCGGGCCTACGGTGGCGAGGGCAAGCTTCAGCGCCTCCTCATCTCCCTCGGGCAGATCGGTATATCCGGTGTCGTCGGCGCCGATCGTCTTCTTGTTGAAGTGGCACTTGCCTTGCTGAAAATGATGGGTTGGAGGGGTGGAAACTCAAAAATATTTTTTGCCACACGAAATCCTTAAAAATCTCTGCTAGCCTGCCCTTTCCTAAAGAATATCTGCCAGCCTGCCCTTTCCTAAAAAATCTCTGCTAGCCTGCCCTTTCCTAAAGATTCTCTGCTAGCCTGCCCTTTCCTAAAGAATCTCTGCTAACGTGCCAGTTCAATCGGAAAAAACGTACATGTCCAGTGTAGGGGTAGCTCTCCTCGGTGTCGATTCCGTGGTTCTGCTTGACGTACTCGAAGGCCCAGTCCATGAAGCCGCCCTCGCAGCCGTGGTTGCCCTGCTTCGACGAGCAGTCCACCTGAAAAACGACACTTTTGCTCTAAACCAAAAATTCTGAAAAATCTGGAACCCAAAAAATTGGAGAAATTTCAAATTTAAATTTAAATTTTCGAAAACGAAGTGAAAAATCGAAAAAACTCACCAAGTTCTGCTCAGAAAGCGAAACGAGCTGTCCGGTCTTGCGCTTGTGCTGTCCCTCGAGGGCTCCGGTGGCACTGAAAAATACGTAATTATTCAAGGCACTCGGAAGGGAAGAGAATTGTAAAAATTTGGGTTACTGCAAAGGATCTCTGCTAACTTGCCCTGCTTTACGACTAGAACTGCGTAGGAAGGCGCTAGGCAAACTAGTAGGGATTTTTTGAGAAAGGGCAGGCTAGCGGATACTATTTAGGAACCTAACCAGGATTCTTAAGAAAGTCTGCGTATGACTCCAGGCAAGCTAGCAGAGATCCCCTAGAAAAATCAGGAGGTAAGCTAGCAGAAACCCCTTAAGAACCTTACAAGGTCAAGGAACGCTAGCAGAGATCCTTTAGGAAATAAGAGTTTGTTCGAGAATCTAGCAGAGATTCTTTAGGAAATTCGAGATTTCTAGGCAAGCTGGCAGAGATTCTTTAGGAACCTTTCAAACTTAAGTCAAGCAACCAAGAATTTTTGAAAATTCTCACCTGAACGACCAGCACGATCCGCACATTCCCTGGTTCTTGACGGGAGTCACGTATCCCTCCTCCCTCCAGTCGACCTCATCCGGTGCAACCACGTTCATCGGCGCCATCCACATCGAGGCGTTGTTGAACTCGGGGCGCTGGCCAAGGCGATCGCCGGGGAAACGCGTCCGGAAGCCGTTCAGCTTCTTGTAGTCGTCCTTCGACTGAAAATGGGGGAAATTATACTGTATTTTCTAGGTTGAAAATCCCAAAAAAAGTGCGTGGTGCATTGGTGAATCCCGAAAAAAATTAAATTTGGCTTAAAATTTGAAACCTTTAAAAGCTAACTAGTCTAACATAACTGCCGGAAGCCGTTCAGCTTCTTGTACTCGTCGGCATGCTAGAAAGCCGATCGGCGTATTGATTTTTTTCCTCAGAAGACATTTCCAGTTTCCGCCAACGTCGAGACGGTCAGCTGGCGCCAGTTTCCTTTCCCCAGTAATCTCTGCTAGCCTGCCTTACGATCAACGCCAAGTTCCTCAAGGCTCTCTGCTTGCTGTCCAGTTCCACCGACTTCGACACGTTCAGCTAGCCTGAAATCCCGGTCCCCAATAATCTCTGTTAGCCTGTCATACGGCCAACACCCATTTCCTCAAGAATCCTTGCTAGCTTGCCATTGCCACCGACTTCTAGACGTTCAGCTAACGCTAGCCTGCCCAGAGTCTCCGATACATTCGGCTACTTTTCCTCAATGCTCCCTGCTAGCCTGCCCTCCCTTACCAGGTCGGCAATGTGGTTGAGGCCCATCTCGAACGTCTTCTTGCCTTCGCGGAATTCCTTGTTGTGGCGGTCGATGTGAATCACGTTCTTGACAAAGGCCTCCATCGCGCCCGTCTCCTCATCTTCGTCATATTCTTTCTCTGCAAAATACATATAATAATCCTACTATATTCCTACTATATATAAAAACCAGTGGAAAAAGACCGCTTCGCGGCCATTTTCCACTGGACCCCGTCCAGGAATCATGAATTTGAATACCTTCTTCTTTTAGCCTGCGGCGCAAGAACCTGAGTAATGGCGCCATTCTTTGGCCTGCGGCGCTAGAGCCAGCGTTCCGCTAAAACCTTTGAGCCTGCGGCGCTAGTTACTGGTTTTTCTCCGGGATTTGGCCTGCGGCGCGAGAGCCTGGGTCAAGGGCCTTTTCTTAGGCCTGCGGTGCTAGAGCGAGGGCCAGGCCTAAACCTCGCACACCGAGAGCCTAGAAATATGGTTAGTTGCTAAACTACCAAAAAGCAAAAAGTTGGATTTGCTCAGGATCCGAACCCACGACTAAAGGCGTGGTAGGCCGGCCGTAAATCCACTACACCACGGGGTAGATGGGAACAGGCGGCGGGAAAGCTCTCTTCTGTTCCGGGGAAATAGGGGGCCGGGAGGCACAGAAAGGCCGACCCAATGCCCCGGGAGGGAAGCCTTCTGGTCACTTTACAAAATTAAGTTTTTGAGTCTGAATCTGCAGAAAATTTGCAAAGATAATAAGATGCGCGTGATCCCCACGATCGAATACATAACTGGTCCAAATTTCAGCCCGAAATTCCAAATGCGAATCGAGTTATGCCCCGAACACCACGGCTCGTCGCCAATTTTGTTAAGGATTTTTACTATTTTGCTTGTAAAATTGTTAAATCAAAGAATTTCGGAAAACAAAAAAATGCGTGTTTGGCAAATGCATTTCTCCGCCTCCATGCCAAAAATCAGCGCGAAATTCGGCCTGACGGCCGAGAAATCGTCATTACAGAAAACAAACATACTTTTCTCGCTTATAGGATAGGAAATAGTGTTTGTGTGTGTGTGTGTGCCACTTTGCATCCACTTCCGTCTGTCTGTCCGGAGGATATCTCAAGAAGGGACGGGTATTAGGCTACGTTCGATACGTCATTAGGTGCGTAATGGTCTAGGGATGACTGCACACATATCAGATTTTTAAAAATTAGCCATTTTCGCTATTAAATTTAGGTTTTTGTAAAAACCTCTTTGTTAGGAATAATTAGCATAGACCGGAACTGGGCCGTCGCCTATATAAAGAGGCAGAAAGGGTTGTTTTGTCATTTTTTTGTCTTCTGAATGGAGGACAATTATGCAAAGGGAAGAATAGTATGGGGTCCCGGACGGGGCCAGGGTTGAAAAGTCGCGAAGCGGCTTTTCAACCCTGGTCATAAAATAAAAAAATATTGAAAACACGACCCCAAATGATCTTTGCTAGCCTGCGCTTTCCTAAAGAATCTCTGCTAGCCTGTTCGAATTCTCAAAGCGTAACTAGGTAAAAAACGTACTGTACTCAATCTTATAGTCCTCCCATAGATCCATGGCGCTCTCGATTTGGCGCCGAAGGCCGGTCGGCCGCTTCATGCTGAAAAAGCGGATGTTAGATGGAGAATTTTCCCAAATGGACTCTGCTCGTCTCTCTCTCGCTCACTCTCTCGCTCTTTCACTCTCTCCTTCTCCCTCTCTGCCTCGCTCTCTCTCCCTCTCCCTCTCTCTCTCGCTCTCTCTCTCCCTATCTCTCTCTCTCTCTCTCTCTCTCTCTCGCTATCGCTCTCTCGCTCTCTCGCGCACTCCCTCACGCACGGGTCCAATTCCGCAAGTGGTCTCTGCCAGCTGTCGATTTTAAAGGGCTTAAAAACTTTTAATTAAAAGTCGTAAATCCGTAATTTTCAACCCCCGGCAAAATATCTGTTCGTCGGATCTCTGGTGGGCACAGGGAATGGGACAGCTGACCGGCTGAACTCAAATTCTTTCGCGTTTTTTCGGCTGCCACCCAGACACAGGTTGGCACCGCAAGCTTCGGCAAAAAAGGTGACAATTCCCCGCTTGGAAAAGCCACACACGGCAAGATCGCGACTGGGATTAGGGAGGTGCGAATGGCATGGAAAAGCATGGGGCTGAAGAGACGGCAAAATCCATAATGACCCGACCAAAATCGACGCTCAAAAATTTCAACTTGAAAACCTCACCTGGCCTGTGACCCGACGACGAGCACCACGCCCAGCAATGCCCACGATCTCATCCTGGAAGAAATGGATTAAATATTAAAAATGGCAAAAAATAAATAAGACTGATATAAGAAGGGGGAAAGTTGGCAGAGATTGTTGAGGAATAGAAGGGGCAGCCTAGCCAAGACCATTCAGGAAAGGGCAGGCTAGCAGAGATCATTTTGGAATCTAGAGGCAAGCTAGCAGAGATCATTCCGGAAAGGGCAGGCTAGCAGCGATCATTTGCTAACTAAAGCGGCAGGTTAGCAAAGATTTTTTCGGAATTGTGGGTAGACTAGCAGAGATCATTTGGGAAATTTGGCAAGCAAGCAGAGACAATTTAGGAGGGCGGGCCAAAGACCTATCCGAGCGTAAGAACAAGCGCTATTAGGTTAAAAAGGCAGGCTAGCCGTGATCATTTAGGAATCCTCAAAAAAACGATGAAGGCAGGCTAGCAGAGATCATTAGGGGGATTTTTAGCTAGATATTTTTAGGGTACACAGGGTCAATTCGAGATCAGGTTCCCAGGAATCAGGGTGATCCGAGTGAAACGAGTTGAGGCAGGGAAACGAGGCAGGGGGCAAGAAATAGGAAATGAGAGGCCGAGGGGGGTGGGCTGATGGAGTGAATGACCAGTTCTGACAAAGAGATGGAGATGGTCAGGTGCCCACAATCAGTCACACACACCCCCTCGAGGGGCAGGTCATGGCTGATAACAAGTGCATTGCCATCTGGCCCGCCTTGGATTTAAGAGAATTAAACTTCCACGCAATTTTGAAACAGCATTTGTATCTTAAAAATCGATATCCGATACCTGGGGCTACGGTAATGCATGATTTAGTCAAGGAAAATTGGATGGAAGTGCTTGGGCCGGAGAATTAAAGTTTTAGGGGTCAGCGCACTAATGAAGCCTAAATTTGAGTCTGGTAAATCAATAATTCTGTTTCCGATTACGGTAGCGTTCAGGAAGGTTACGAAACTACACATTTCAATAACTGAAAAGTGCACTTATGAGAGAGAGAGAGCGAGGGAGAGAGAGAGAAAGCGAGAGAACCAGCGAGACATAGAGAAATTGTTTGTTAGAGAGAGACAAGGCGAGACGGGTAGATGGACACCATCCCGAAAAGACACCATCCCGAAAAACACCATCCCGAAAAATTTGCATGCGAAAAGTCAGCTCTACTATAGAAAAAGGAGCTATTTTTCTATGCTAATGAAGTTTTCGCATGTAAATTTTTCGGGATGGTGTCTTTCGGGATGGTGTCTTTTCGGGATGGTGTCCATAATTCGGCGAGACAAGAGAGAGAGAGAGGGAGAGAGTGTGTACAGTACTTTTTGAAGTCCAATAATTCAATAAATCGGACTCCAATTTCCCCAATGATCTTTGCTAGACGGCCTAACCAATTTTGCCAGTTTCAGCTTTCAATTTTCAGCCCCCTTCCCAAATGATCTCTGATGGTCTGCCAAACTCGTTAAGGCCTTTTCAAGGGGCAGAGAAGTCAGGCAAATTTCCCAAAGTACCATTGCTAGCCCGCCCGTTGTCGAAAAACGGCCCTAAAGCACGACATGGCTACCGTAAGAAAAACGGGGCAGCGGAATCTGAATGGCAAGGATCTATCGTTGGATCGGCCCATCATAGCGGCATTTTATAGGGGGACAGGAAGATGGGCGGGGATGGGCCGAGAAAAAGCGGGAGGGAACGGGAAGAGGCGAGAGAACTGAGAGAGAAAGAGAGAGAGAGAGAGAGAGAGAGAGAGAGAGAGAGAGAGAAGGAGAAAGATGAGGAAAGACACACAGGTGACCATTGGAAGAAATATTATGAGGGGCGGAGTCACGAGGCAGGAGAGAGTGCGAGCGAGAGAGAGAGAGAGAGAGAGAGAGAGAGAGAGAGACCCATATCAATGTGCCCTCGGGGCACACAACTGTTTTGGCGGCGGCCCTGCCCGAAAAATCAAATGACCATGGGATCGGGAAATTTTCCACGAGTGGACTTTGAACGGACTGGAGTTTAGGCATTGAGAAATTGACCCCGGTGAAATTGATAGCTATGACAGAAGTCGCTTGGGAAATAAATAGAACGTGTGGAAACAGTTGGCGAGAGATTAATTGGGGGCAGACTAGCAGAGATTCCTTAGGAAATCGGGAAACGAGCCGAAGCATTGCTCAGCACATTTTTCTACCTAGGCAAGCTGGCAGAGATTCATTAGGAAAGGACAGACTAGCAGAGATCTTTGGAACTGATGCTAATTCATTTTTTTCTGAATTTTCGATATTTACGTGCATTTTTTAAGTTTCTCGTTGTCATTAGTAATTTTATGGAGCCAACAAAAATTAGTCATGCATTTCTCGGGTTTTCCTTGCCCTAAAAATTTGCGAACCCTCAAAAAAGCGATGCAATAAAATTATTCAGCATACCTACACTTTTTGAACGACATAAAAGTTAGATTTTTTCTTAAAGAATCTCTGCTAGCCTGCCCTTTCCTAAAGAATCTCTGCTAGCCTGCCCCTTCCTAAAGAATCTCTGCTAGCCTGCCCTTTCCTGAAGAATCTCTGCTAGCCTGCCCTTTCCTAAAGAATCTTTGCTAGCCTGCCCCTTCCTAAAGAATCTCTGCTAGCCTGCCCTTTCCTGAAGAATCTCTGCTAGCCTGCCCTTTCCTAAAGAATCTTTGCTAGCCTGCCCTTCCTAAAGAATCTCTGCTAGCCTGCCCTTTCCTGAAGAATCTCTGCTAGCCTGCCCTTTCCTAAAGAATCTTTGCTAGCCTGCCCCTTCCTAAAGAATCTCTGCTAGCCTGCCCTTTCCAAAGCATCCAAAACAATGATTCATCATTGTTATTGTTCAGAGTTTCTTCTGCTGGGTCGTCTGTGAAGTTTGTGAATTCATTCTTGTTTTGTCTCTCTCGCCTAGAGGGGGCGACCGGTGTCCGATTCTTTTTTCGTTCCGAATTCGAGCGTCATCTGGCCGCCTAGAGGGCAGAGACTGTCGTTTCGGAAAAAAGGAGAAGCCGAAAAACTCGGTGAATCTTCATATCGCCGAATCTTCATATCGCCGAATTTTCATTTCGCCGAATTTTCATTTCGCCGAATTTTCATATCGCCGAATTTTCATTTCGCCGAATTACGTATGAAAATCTATGTTGGAGATCTTGGAATTTTCAATATTTTGCTCCGCCTGCCACATGATTTTGTCCGAGCATCAAGAAGATAACTTTACCTTCGTTGAAAACAGCGGCACTGATGTTTGCTTCGACCTATTCCTGAAGAAGAGGCCAGCTGAGCTATATTTTATTGTTCGCTAGATAACGGGCTACGAAAAACCGGCCGAATGAAGCTTTGTGCAATAAACTTTAGACGAAATACACATTCGGCGAAATGAAAATTCGGCGATATGAAAATTCGGCGAAATGAAAATTCGGCGAAATGAAAATTCGGCGAAATGAAAATTCGGCGATATGAAAGTTCGGCGATATAAAAATTCGGCGAAATGAATGTAAATCGAGAAACTCAGATTCAGATTTCCCGGGTCTTATCGGTGCAGCCCGGCACTTGCCCCCGACCCCGAGCCGATCCAAAATAATCAACAAAAAAATGCCCCCAGCAGTGCCGGGCGATTCGGGGAGATTGGAGGGAAAGATATGGGGGAATTTTGAGTGATTCTAGGGACCCGGAAGGGCAGACTAGCAGAGAACCTTTAGGAAAGGGGAGGCTAGCAGAGACCGTTCAGGAAAACGCAAAATTTTAACAGCTGTTGGTCTGGATACGATTTTCTCCATCTCTATCTCTCTCTCGCTCTCTCTCTCTCACTCGTTCTCTCTCTGTATCCCGCTCTCCCTCTCTCGTTCTCTCTCTTTCTCCCGTGCTCCCGCGCTCTCTCGCTCCCTCTCCATCTGTCTCTTTCAAAATCAGGGGTTATCATTTGCATTTTAAATCGTGCGTTTTTAATCGCAAAAATTTATCGGCTATTTACAACACAGCAATCTAACTTTAATTCTATTCATTATTTGGTATGTATTTTAAATTTTAAGTAATATTCAATTTTGTTAGTAAATTCGATTAGGCAAATTAAATGAATTAGTTAAATGCTGCGCGGCGGAAAGAGTGAGGGGGAGCACCAAAAACGCATTGGATTTGAGCAAATTAATGTGGGTTTTTGGATTGGAGCGGAATCGACATAAATTTTAATTAGTAAATGTTATTAATTTTAACAGAATTTAGCCATTTTTGGAATGCAAATTTAATCGGGAAATTTCGACAAAAAATACACGTATCCGACTTGTCGGGGGGCGGGGCGAGCGCGGAAATCTCAAAGAGAGGAGACGAGCAAAGGGGGGAGCAAGGCAAAAAAAAGATTTTTTTAAAATTAGAATATTTGAAATTATGTTAAAACATGTAAATTACCAAAAAAAGTACTGTAGCTGTCTTGCTAGACCTCGGGCCGGTCGGTGACGTTCGATCGCTCCGGGGCTATCTGAAAAATAGGATTTAAGCAGGTTTAATCAGGACAGAAACGGAATATTTTCAATTTTAAAGGATCATGAAGACAAAGTAATTTTCCCCAAAAACCTCTGCTAGTTTGTTTAGAGAAAACGAGCCAGCTTTCCTTAAAGAATCTCTGCTAACTTACCTGAGAAACCCCTCTGCTACCTTTCGTTAAAACTAGCTTCTAGTTTTCCTCAAAGAATCTCTGCTAGCCTTCCTTAAAGATTCTCTGCTAGCTTGCCTATGGAACGCAAGCTAGATTCTTCAAAAACCTCCGCTAGTTTGCCTATAGAAAATAGGCTGGATTTTCTTAAAGAATCCCTGCTAATGAGGAAAGAATCCCCGCCCGCTTTCCTCAAAAATCTGCTGCTAGCCTGCCTCAAAAAACCTCTGCTAGTTTTCCTCAAAGAATCGCTGCTAGCCTGCCTCAAAAAACCTCTGCTAGCTTTCTTCAAAGAATCCCTACCTACTTTTCCCAAGTAACTCGGCTAGCTTGCCCATAAAACTTCTGCTAGCTTTGCTCAAAGCATCTCTGCTATCTTGCCCAAAAACAAAAATTTCTGCGACAGAATTGAGAAATGAAATGATTGTAAAAAATGCATACGGTAGCCCGGGGCCATTTCCGATTTTCCCTGCATAGTCCCTTAAAAACTCGAACCCGCAACTCACCCTTCCGCGCTGCTTGTTCTCCCGTGAATTGTTCTGGCCCTTGACGACCGGGGTGGATCGGCTGGTCATCGACGACTGCTGGGTGACGCTCTAAAAATGGCGGTAAATTGGAACGATGCAGGCTGGCAGGGATCATTGAGGAGCGGAAGCTAGCAAAGTTGTTTTAGGAGACAAAAACCAAACTCCAAACTCCATGCCTCAATAATCTTTGCTAGCCCACCCTCTCAATTCCCAAATAATCCCTGCTAGCAACCAATACAGTACCTTTCTGGTGAGCAGCACCCGCATCTCGTCGAGCGTGATCAGGATGGCCGGCAGGAAGAGGAGACCGTGGAGGTTGCAGAGCAGCACACAGAGCACCATCGTTTTGACGAACACCTGAAAAGTGGAAGAATTCCACAAGGATCTTTGCTAGCCTGCCCTTTCTTAAAGAATCCCTGCTAGCTGCCCTTTCCTAAAGAATTACTGCTAGCCTGCCCTTTCCTAAGGAATCTCTGCTATCTTGCCAGTACAATGCCTTATTGTCGTTTTAAAGGGATGGTGCCAGAAAAACCTCCTCACCTCAGCCATGTAGATGTTCACGAAAAGAAGGGAGCAGACGCAGAGGATTGTGGAAAGCGCCGCTTGTAGGGCTGGGAAAGCCACGGAGGAGAGGCAGTTGCTGAGGCGGTCAGCCGGAGTTGCTGTAGGACCATGTTGGACGCCTGAAAATGAACATATGAACTGCTTGCAGTTGGTGGGAGAAAAAATTGAACTGCTTGGACTCATTCGGAGAGAAAATGGGCAATTTGAACAGCTTGAAGTCGATAAGAAAGATAGAGAGAGGGAGAGAGAGAGAGAGAGAGAGAGAGAGAGAGAGAGAGAGAGAGAGAGAGGGGAGAGAGAGCGGGCGAGGGGAGGGGGGAAGGGAGCGAGCGAGCGGGGGAGACAGGCAGAAAACCAATTTGAACCGCTGGAAGTCGACGATCAAGACAAAAGTTACAAACTGAACTGCTTGAAGTCTTTGAGACCATGCGTAAGCGAGCGATAGCGAGGGATAGATAGCGAGAGAGAGAGAGAGAGAGAGAAGGAGAGAGTGCAAAATTCCCAAAAAAAATTTAGCATACCAGCTTGATAGTAGTGATAGGCGACGTGGGCCGGGATATCCACCGAGAAACCGATGGAGATGATCATCGCGGCCATGGTGATCGGGTCGAGATCGATGTTCCACCACGAGAGAATGCCGAGAATGCCTGGAATTTGAATTAAATAGTTGCAGCTAACAGATATCATTTGCGGAAAGTTCGAGCTCAAAAACCCACCAGCGCAAATCGACAACACCGAAAGCGAGGCGATGGCCACGGTAAACCAGCTGTTGAGGAACACGAAGCACACGGCTGCCATGCAAACGAGAGTGCCAGCTACAGACTAAAAAAATTTAATGAAGAACTTTAAAAAATTTTCTGACCTGCCAGGTGTCGGTGGGCATGTTGTCGATGAGGTCGAGGTAGATGCCGTCCTCGTGGAAGACCGAGGGCTCGAAATCACTGGAAAGAGAGAAAGATATTCCGAAATAACCTCTGCTAGCCCGCCCTTTCCTAAAGAATCTCAGCTAACCCGCCTTTCCTAAAGAATCTCTGCTAGCCTGCCTTTGCTGAAGAATCTCTGCTAGCCTGCTCCTTCATAAATCATCCCAGCTAGATCGCCACAAAATCGCGAAAAAAACTGACGGATACTTGTCGACGACGTCGCGCCACTGGTGCAACATCTTGCCGCGGTTGATCCACACCCTCAGCTGCTTGCCGTGGAAGCCGGTGGTGAAGAAGAACTTCTTCAGAACCTTGACACTAAAAAACACATCTAATTGTTCAATTTCCCAAACGACCTCTGCTAGCTTGCCCGAACCAAAAAACCCTAAAACGTAAAAACTACCATACCCCGGGATCGTAGTGGTCGTGTTGGCCTCGGTGGCGTTGGTCAGCTTCACGAATCCCTTCCAGAACTCCGTGTCCGGCCACGAGATGAAGAAGTCGATTTGGTCGGGCTGGAAATGGAGAATTAGCGTAGTCGAAATTAACGCCAACACGTCGAAAAACAGCCAATTTGCTAAAAACTGTAGCTGACCAGGTACAACGTCGGATTCAGGTAGGTGGGGTCGTTGAAATCGATGGGCCGGTCGTCCTCCTCTTCCGAATCCTCGGGTTCCTCGTCTCCCGCTTCCTCACCGCCATCGCCGTCGGCGTCGTCGCCGCCCTTGTGCAGGTGGAATTCTAAAAAAAGTATAAATAGCAAACTTTTTAGGAAAACGAAGTGTCAGGCCCCTTTAAAAAATTTTCCCCTCAAAAACTCACTATTCTCAAAGCGCTGGAAGTCGCGGAGGAAGTACTTGGTGCCGACGGGGCCCCACGAGCCGGGTAGGTCCTCGAAATCGGCGACGAATCTGGAACGACGAGTTCAACAAGTTCAAAGATCAAGAAATTTAGAAATAGAATCTTTGATAGGCATCTGCTTAAAAATTGAGGGGTTCAAGGACGAGTTCAAGGAGTTCAGCGAAGCAGGAATTCCACAGGGATCTTTGCTAGCCTACCCCAATGAAAAATGAGGCGCGCTAAATAAAGCGCGAACACAGACGGGTTCAAGGAGTTCAGCGCAAAAATCCCACAAGGGGGGTTTGCTAGCCTGCCCGAAATTGAAAAAAAGACTGACTGATTCAGGCGCTTGAGCCGGATCGGGTCGCTGAGGTTGCCGGGGTGGTTGACGAACACGGTGGCCTGGCTGTAGTAGGGGACCTGGTACTGCACACGGAGATCGTCAAGCTGAAATGAGCACGAGGTTATTGAGTATAGGAAGTCTGATTCTCTCTGTCTCGGTCTCTGTCTCTCTCTTTCTCTCTCTCTCTCTCTCTCTCTCTCTCTCTCTCTCTCTATCTCTCGCTCTCTCTCTTCCTCCAAAAAGCCCCTCACCTCCACCAGCGGCGAGTCGAGGGCGAACAGCTTGCGGGCGGTGAGGTTGATGTTCATCTGCGTGATGCCCTGAAACGTATAGAATAGATGGTAGATGAACATCCAAAACGTACCCAAACCGACACGGCCAAGTACAGCATATACAGGGCGACGACGGAGAAGTAGGTGACCGGGTTGCAGATGAGGTTCACGTAGCGCGTGAAGAAGTTGGTCGTCACCGGCTTGGCGACCTCGTGGAATTTGGAGGGTTGGCGCTGAAGAAAAATGCGGTTTAAAGGGGCTGGGACAGGTCGGAAAATACCGTAAGCTGCCTCGTCGCCGTGTGATGACGAGCGATGTAGACTCGTTGCTCGGCCGTGTTCATCGTCACCTCCTCCTCCTTGTCCTCGTCGATCTCGTAGCGGCCGACGATCGACATCAGCCCCGCGTAGAAGGTCAACTAGATGCCGAAAAATGTATGTTACGCCCCTTTAAAATACCTGATAGATGAAGGCGAACCACATGGACAACATGTTCCCGGTGCACAGCAGCGTGATCTCAGGCGACGACGTGAACGAGCCGACAAAATCGGCGAACATGTTCGTCAGGCAGGAGATGAGGATGGCCGGGCCGACTTCGGACAGTACCTCGCTCATTCGATGGCCGACGGAATCCTTCTTCGGCGGGTTGTCCCTGGTGTGCTTGGTGACGCGCTGCCACTCGTGGATCATCAAGTAGGAGGAGTCGACGCCTGCAAGTTCAGAAATTAGGAATATACCCTAAGAATCTTTGCTAGCCGGCCCCTTCCCTAAAGAATCTCAGCTAGCCTGCCGTTTCCTAAAGAATCTCTGCAAGCCTGCCCTTTCCTAAAGAATCTCTGCTAGCCTGCCCTTTCCTAAATAATCTCTGCTAGCCTGCCCTATCCTAAAGAATATCTGCTAGCCTGCCCTTCCCAAAGAATCTCTGCTAGCCGCCCATTCCTAAAGAATGCATACCGATAGAAAGCACGAGGAAGGGGATGACACACAAAATCGAGGCGAACCGGATGCCGCACGTGAACATCAACGCCAGGGCGGTCGTGCACGCCAGGATCGGGGTCAGGCAGGCCATGATGGCCAGGACTATCTAAAAACAACAATAATTTTGTTAAATGAATTTTTAACGCTATTTTGAGGGCAAAAATTCGCAGAAAATGGCGTGTCTTTCATTTTAAAGGCACCGTGAAGGCAAAAACCCACAAAAATCTCCCACCTTATAGCAATTGGTTTGGTTCATGTACCAGGCGCGGATGCTGACCGTGCACACACTAACGGCACACATGATGGTGAAGCCGACGACCAGGTATGGAAGCATGATGATGCCACCTGAAACGGACAAATGAACGTCTTGAAGTTGATGAGAGAGAAACGATGATAGAATTTGAACGTCTTGGGGTGGATGAGAGGGCGGCAAATAGAATTTGAACGTCTTGAAGTTTGTGAGAGAGACGAAGCTAGAATTTGAACGCCTTGAAGTTGATGAAAACGACAGGAGGATAGAATTGGAACCACTTGAGGTTGATGAGAGAGAGCGAGAGAGAGAAAGAGAGAGCGAGAAAGAAAGAGAACTCTTACCTCTCACCATCTCTTCCTCGACGTACGACTGCGAGTAGACGTACAGCTTCAGCCGGTTCGAGCGGTACTTCCTGGAATCTTGTTTTTAAGGAAAGGCGGCAGCAAATAGATTGGCTCGAAATGCAGAAATTTGCATAAGCGAATTGCTCGGAAAAACCCCAAATTCTAAGCAAAAATATCGACATTTTAATTTCGAGATTATGCTAGCAAACACAATTTTTGTTTTTGAAAATTTAAAACTAAAATCCGCAAATTCAAAAACAACAAAAAATCTCTAGCAAACGCACTTCTGGAATATGTCGACGACCTTCATCTCCCACTCCTTCACGTCATGATCCGTCCATCCCGGCTTGTGCTCGGCGCGGAACTGCAGCGCGATCATCTTCACCGACTTCAGGTTGGTGATCAACGGGCGCAGGGCGTCTGGAATGGAAAAAATACGCCAGTTTCCATATTTCCAAGTTCCAAAAAGATATCTGCTAGCCTGCCCGATTCTTAAAGAATATCTGCCAGCCTGCCCTTTCCTTAAGGATCTCTGCTAGCATGGGCTTTCCTTAAGAATCTCTGCTAACCTGCCCCTTCCCAAAACATCTCTGCTAGCCTGCCCTTTCCTAAAGTACCTCTGCTAGCATGCCCCGATTTCTAAAGAATCTCTGCTAGTTTGCCCGCTAAAAGCTAGCACTCACTCACCTTCCGATAAATCCGTTTGGTTGACTCCAGCTTCGGCGCCGTCTCCGAGCAGTTTAAGGGCCTTGTCCTCTTCCGGGTACTTTTCGATGCCGAAGAAATTGGGCTAAAAATTAAAGAAATAAACTGAAATAAAATTCAAACCGCAGTTAAACTCAAGTTTAAACAAAAATTAAAGGTGGCGTGACAGCAGTATACCTGTAAACTGAATGGAGTTCCCAGCATTTCGGCAATCGGATACGTTGGCTTGATGTTAGGGTTCAGGGGCTGGCCCTCGCCGATCAGCTGCTTCTGCAGCTGATAGCCGAACTAAAAATTCGGATAAAGGAGAAAAACATTCCCAAATGATCTATGCTAGCCTTCCCCTTGCACTCGGTTCCCAAATGGTCTCTGCTAGCCTGCCCGGCTAAACCCTAAATTCTCTCTGCTAGCCTGCCCGGCCAAATCCTAAATTCTCTCTGCTAGCCTGCTCCATCCGTTCCAAAATGAACTCCGCTAACTGCCTCGGTTTCCCAAATGATCTCTGCTAGTCTGCCAATACCCGCATGAAAAATCACGTCAAATAACTCATAAAAAAACCTCTGCTAGCCTGCCAATTCCATTCCCAAAAGATCTCTGCTAGCCTGCTTGATTCCAAAATTCCGAAACACTCCAAAAACCCACATGAAACGACCGGACGGGCTCGTTGATCTCGCAGAAATCCTTGCAGAAAAACTGGAAATTCTCGAACTTCCCCGTCTCGCCGTTGTACATCGTGATGTTGTTGTAGACGTAGTTGATCACCTAAAAAACCACCATCGACAAGAATTATTGATAAATCTACCGTAATCAGCTCCTCGAGGTATTTCTCCCGTATCATACTGCCGTTATCCTTGGCGACGGCAAAAATATGGGTGGCGACCGGGAGGCCTAGAAATCGACGGTTTTAAAGGAAGCGCGACAGCACTCTCTTTCCCCTCTCTCTCTCGCGCTCTCTCTCGCTCTCTCGCGGCTCTCTCTCTCTCTCACCTGCCGCCGAAAAATACTTCTGATACGCATCATATTCATCGTTAGCTCGTGCTCCATATGGCGAATAGCCAGTGATGTCGTTCTGTTGCCTAAAAAAATAAAATCAATCAGGGACCTTTGCTATTATCGGGAGGAGGCAACCTTTTTCTAAGAATTCAATCCTCCTATATAAAAAGAGGAACTGTTTCCAAGATGTTTTGTACTATTTCTAAACCCAAAAAATTGGCAAATTTTTAGTTAAAGATACAAAAAATATCAATTTTTACCGAAATTTCGACCAAGATTTTTCAGATGGTCTTTCCAAAGTGGAACCTAGTTAACATTTACTAAAAATACTATTAAAATACCTACTACAACGTTAATAGCCATTTCCGAAAATTTTCGAAAAATTTCTTCCCCCAATAATGCAAAAGCACCAAAAAACCCACGGTGTCACGAGAATTTTGTACAGGCTGAACCCGGAGATGGCCAGACAGATGAAGATCATCTTCCACGCGTGGTCCGCTACGATGAAGCCCCATTTGCTGTAGATTTTGATGATCCAGCGCACGAAGCGGGTGCCTGGAATGGAGATGTGGATTCGGAAATTCTCTTTGCTAGTTTGCCTCAAGCGCTGGACTACTAAGATCCTAAATTCTCCTTGCTAGCCTGCCCGAATAAAAAGGCGAAAATTCCTAAATGCCTCCGGTGTCCGCAAAAATCCATGCTAGCCTGCCCTAATAAAACTAAACATTTCCTAAATGCTCCCTGCTAGATCGCGCGAAAACATCGAAATTCCCGCGACATCCGCAAAAATCCCTGCTAGCCTGCCCCAATAAAAACGAAAAATTCCTAAATGCTCCTTGCTAACTCCCCCGAAAAACGTCCAGATTCCCGCGAGGTCCTTGTCTGTTTTTGGCTCCTAAAATATCCTGGCTAGCCTGCCTAAATTTTAATTTTCTAAGCGTACTCTGAATTCCTCAAAGATATCTGCTAGCCTGCCCGCAAAAATTTGCATACCTCCTTCGACTCCTCCCTGATTTTCGGGTGCATATTGGTCGAGGGACCGCTGGCCGATGAGGATAGACGGTCGCCGCGGTTTGATGCTGCCTCCCCCCGGTGGGAACTCCATCTAAAAAAAAGGATATAGAACAGAGAGAGAGAGAGAGAGAGAGAGAGAGAGAGAGAGAGAGAGTAAGAGAGAGACAGCTAAAATTGCCCACCTTGGAGTCGTCGATGTGTTCCTGGGGCGGCACTTTGCTCCGAGGTAGTTGCGGATTACCTGAAAAAAATTTATTAGCAGCTACACATAAAGTAACATTAATTCAATTCAAAAACTACAAAAAATGGGATGCAAATTCTGTGAAAAAGAGAAGCAATCCGGGGGTTTTAAAGGGCATTTAAAGGCAACGGAATGGCATCTGCTAGTCTGCCCTTTCCTGAAGAAACTCTGCTAGCCTGCCCGCGCGGAAAATGCGTGAAATCCCCGAAAACAAGGGCTGATGCATGGATTTTCTGGGGCGTGTGTGGATCTATAGGGTGTGATGGAAAAAGGAGCAAGTGTTTGGTAGTGGGGGGATGGGGGGGATGGGGAAAGTTCGACGAACACGCCGGGGCCATCATGATGCTGCTCGCGGAATACCAGTGCGGCACTAAAAATTTTTCAACACGGCGCGGCGCGTAAAAACAGAGGAATTCCGCAAAGATACGCTTGTAACTCTTGCGAATTTTAGGCCAAAATTACCTCAAAAGGGTTTTAGTCTGGTTTTTGAAATTTACTGTGCCATTTTTCGGGACTAGAAAACAGATGGGCACGATTGCAGAGATCTTTGGAGAAACCGCCAAAAATTGGTGAAAATTTGCCGCTGTAACGGCAAGCTAGCAGAGACCACTGGGGCTTGAAAAACAAAAATTTAAAACCACTAATTAAAAAAAATACAAGCTAAGTAGCAAACATCTTTGGGGAGCGGCTAAAACATAGCCGGCTAGCAGAGATCATTGTGGAAACCCGAAGAAAGTGCAGAAAGTTACGCCTCATAAATTCTGCGTCCCAAGGGCATGCTAGCAAAAATCTTTGGGGAAATTGGCAGCCAAAAATTGTGTAAAGTCAGCAAGATTCTGGGCCGGCTAGCAGAAATTCTTAAGGAAAAAGCCAACTAGCAGCGATTCCTTTGGAAAGTGCAGCTAGCAGCTATTTTTTAGAAACCTCCGAAAAACCAAAACCATGCCAAAAATCGGTCTAATATCCCAAATTCAAGGTTATTTCGGGTGGGGGGGCCGTCTAATCCGGATCCGTTCGCCCGTTTTCCAGGAGCACGACAACGAGCAGGAGGTTGAAATGGGCGTGGGTGGCCTTGAGATGGCCGGAAAGGGAGGGGAAGCAGTGTGGAAACTGTGGAGAAGGAGAGAAGCAGAGTGGCAGAGATTCTTTGGGAATCCCCCTTCTTCCAACAACACCCACACACAGCCCTGTATGCAAATCAGCGCGATCTTACGATCCGGGTGCTCTGGAAAGGGGGGTATGGAAATAGGCCAGAGATCAGGGGCAGGCTAGCACAGAGCATGTGGGAATTTAGTGCCAGCTAGGTTAGTAGTGATTCTTCAGGAAAGGGTAGGCTAGCAGAGATCCTTTAGGAATAGAATAGGTTTGTCAACAGCTAATCGGCTATGCAATTTCAAGCAAGCTAGCAGTGGTTGTTTAGGAATCCGAGGCAGGCAAGCAAAGACCATTTAGATGTCGTCACAATATTTTCGACGATTGCGCATCGCTAGATGGGAATCTCTGGTCGTTGTTTGGCGTGTTCCGACTATCCGGCGAATGTACTGAGATTCTAATCTACGACTTTGCCCTTATTATCCTCCCATAAGGCGTACAGAATTTATGGGATTTCCTAAAAATTCTCTGCAAGTCTGCCGGAAATCCTAATGAATTTTTCTAGATTCGCGGGTTTGAAGGGAGCGCGACACGTCGAAACCGCGGAGAGAGAGAGAGAGAGAGAGAGAGAGAGAGAGAGAGTTAGAAAGATAATGCAAGAAAAAGGAAGGGAGAGACGAGAAAGAGACGCGCACGGTAGCATGATGATGCCGCCGGAAATGGACATCTGAACGTCTTGAACTTGATGTGTGAGGCAGAAAGTGATAACTTGAACTCCTTGGACTTGATGGGAAAAAGAAAAATATAAATTGCAGCGCTAGAAGTATGTCAGAAGAGAGAGCGAGAGAGAGAGAGAGAGAGAGAGAGAGAGAGAGAGAGAGAGAGAGAGAGAGAGAGAGAGAGAAGGAGAGCGACCAAGTTAAATGTTTCTCCCACAAAAGTTCCAGTTTTCGAGTGCTAACGTTCCCAAATAATCACCGCTAGCCTCCCCGCTCGATCCGAGCCCGAACTCTGATCCCAAAAAAAACTGAAAAATCTCCGAAAGTCGCGCAGTCTAGCGAGACGAGACAAAAATATTTTCGTCAGTGGTGGAATTTCCCCCGGAGCATATTTTCGAGAGGGGCGATAGAGAGAGAGAGAGAGAGAGAGCGAGAGAGAGAGAGTGACAGAGAGAGAAAGATACGGGGGGTTGATAGGGGTTGATTATCACGCAAAAAAGCGGGGTGAAAAGGCAGCCGTGATGGTGTCGGGCTGGCTGGGGATGACCTTCCGAAATGGGCGTGTGTATGTCAATGGGTGTAAAATGGACAGAAAGTCTGTGACAAGTGGGCCGGAATTGCCATCGAGACGCCAACCAGCCTACCCATTGTTTGTCACATATCAGCCTGCGGGTTAGGGTTAATCGATTTTTTAAACTTTGAGGGGCAGGCTAGCAGAGATTCTTTAGGAAAGGGCAGGCTAGCAGCCGATTCATTAGGGAGAAAAGCAAAGAAAATTAAACAGCTGTCATTGAGATCCTAAAACGCACCCAATTTCCGTAAAAACGCGTGACCATTAAAAATTACACTAACGATAAAGAGAGCGCAGAGTGCATTGGCGTGTTCCTCTTCATCGTTTTTCTCGCCCAAATTTAGCCAACCCGGCTGACGTCAAGTTAGAGCGGGAGCAGAGAAATGAGGAGCGGGCAGGGCAAAAAACAAAGACAAACTGTCTGCACCGCTGATTTTATCTGGGCAGGCTAGCAGAGATCGTTTGGGCACGGAACGGCAGGCTAGCAGACATTCTTTGGGGAAGAAAAATGCTTATCTTACATCTGGTCTACTTTCAAACGGGAAATCCAGCAGAAAACCTTGCGAAATCAAGGTGCAATTCAGGAGATACCCGCAAAAATAGGACCTAAAAAGTTAGAGGCGCGAGCTAGCGGAGAGCATTCAGGAATCGAGGAGGCAACCTAGCAGAGACGATTTAGGAATCGAAAGGCAGGCTTGCAGAGATCACTTAGAAATTGAGAGGCGAGCTAACAGAGACCATTCAGGAATCGGCGGTAACTAGCAGAAATCATTTAGGAATTCAGGGCGAGGTAGCGGAGATCATTACCATTTGCGGAGGCAAGCTAGCAAAGGGCACTTGGGAATTTGTGGTAGACTAGCAGAGACTTTTGTGGAATTGGAGGGTAACTAGCAGACAGCATTTGAGAGCTGAGGGCAGGCTAGCAGGGATCATTGAGGAATAACGGCTCAGGAAATATAGAAAATGCTCGCTGGTCAGTAGAAGCAGCAGCAAAAACGGCTCGCCCGGTCCGCCAAAATTAGCATATTTATGCGTGCGCTGTGGGGGTGGGGTGGGAGAGGAGGAGCCGCGAGAAAAACAGCTCTATCCTCTACAAATACACACACATACTTGAAAGTTCCTCGCCACTTAGCGGCGCGAATTCCGTTTTGCGACTATTGACATCAAACGGTTTAAGTGTTTAGCTGGCCGCCGTCATTTTCGAGGCTAGACGCGAAAATATGGAAATTTCTCGAGACTCTTATTCAAATTTGGGGCGCGGATCGGGGGAGAGAAAAACAGGCGCCAGACACCATGTTTTTCAAGAAAAATTGATCTTTAAAGGACCGTTGAAGACAGGAGAAAAATTTGAGATTCTTTGCCAATATCGGGAGACCGAATCTTTCCCTAAAATCCAGAAATTCGTAGCTACTTTAGAGCGTTTTAATCGCGTTTTTGGTAAAATTTAGCCATGTTGAAGTGGAAGAATTGTCTAAAAAGCTAATAAAAGTTTGAAATTTGTTCGAAAATCTACATTTTTGTATTTTTGCACAAAATTTGTACAGTTTTTGTATATAAAAATAGTAAAAAAGCTTAGAAACACCGCCTCTATTTTTACTAGAAAAGTTCGCGCTTAAAGAAAAACTTGGTCCCCCCCCCGATATTGGAAAAGCGCCAAAATTTTAAAGGGAATGTGCCAGCTAGTCGATGAGAAGGAATTTTTAGGATAGATCCTTTTCCAAAAGTCCGATTTTCGAAAATGAAAAATCCAAAAATTAAAATTTTTTTGATTTTTACTTCGTATAAAGCTTTTTTCTCTACTCTTAGCTGGACGTAAAATTTTTGCGAAATTCCGTCTTTCAAAACACTAATCTAAAATTGTTAATTTTTGTTGCAAAAAAATGATCCGACTAGCTGGCACCATCCATTTAAAGCCGCTCAAATTTTTACTTTAGCAGGATATTAGATTTTCATGCATTTTAAAGGGACTGACAAGGCAAAAATTACAATCAATAACCCTTAGAAAGCTACTTCGTAAATTCAAAATCCGTGAAAATTAACATATCCGCAAAGATCAATAAATTCAGCCGACACCGCCGGGGAATTTTGATAAATTGGGCATGAAAACTTGAGGCAGGGCAGCAGAAATAAAAACGCACAAACACACAGCACAGGCCATGCGGAACCGGTTTCCGGACGGTCAGCCTCTCCTCTGCCGTCTCGAATGAGTATTTCTCGGATATTCTCTTTTCGAGGCCCCAGGAAAAAAATAGTGCAACGCTAATTCGCTAAGTACATCTAGAACGATCATTTTTGGAAGGCGGGCAAGCTAGCCGGGGTTCTTGCGGACGCTAGGCCGTTACAATCGAAAAAAACGTTATTTCATTTTTCTGGCGGCATTCCAGCAAGGGCCATTTCGGAAGTCTTAGAAAAGGGCGGAGACGAGCAGAGAATGTTGGGGAAGCTGTCCGAAAAAAATGGCAAGCTAGCAGTGACCCCTTAAGAAGTCCAACAAAGGGAGAGCCAGCCGAGACCATTTAGGAACTCCTAGAAAATGGAAAGCTAGCATAGGCAACTTATAAAGCCGAAAAATGGCAGGCTTGCAGAGACCATTTAGGACATCCAAAAAATCGCGAGTTAGCAGAGACCATTTAGGAAGCCCCAGAAAATGGCAAGCTAGCAGAGACTCCCATAGGAATTCCAAAAAATGGCAAGCTAGCAAAGATCACTGGGGAAACGTCACGCTTCGCCGAAATGGGTTTCCTCTAGTTTTCGGCTGTAAACAGGCTCCATTGGCAGGGCGGAAGAGGAGGACGAGGAGCAGGTGGAGAAGGAGGTTGACCTCCCCGGAATGGCCGAGAGGAGCGGCACCCGCGCCACTGTTTGATGGTGCAAAATTGGCACACACGTTTCCGCCCTTGCTCCCCCCTAGTTGAGGAGTGTAGCGAGTGAGGAGGAGGGAGAAGCCCCCGGGTGAGACGGTTTCCCCAAAAATGTCTCGTGCTCCGCTCCGTCCGTTCAGAGTAGCCCCGCGGAGGGGCCGCTTCTTGTCTGTTGTCCGGTCGACTTTTCCCCCGCCGGGCAAAACCAGTTGCCCAACCGACACCTTTTCTAGCTTATCGAGCCGTTCGCGGTTTTGGGGTGGAGCCTCAAAAAATTTGGTGCTTCTCGCTTAGCGGGGGCTTTGCACTTCTTAGGAAAATTAGGCATTTTAAACAAGAAAAATTCGATTAAATTAAATTTTTGGTAAATAACAGCGTGAAAAATTGCCTGAAAAAAATCGGGTTCTTTCGCATTAACGGGGGACCACCTTTTCGTAAGAATCTAAGTTTCCAATATATAAATAGATAAGTGTTTATAAGCCATTATTTACTATACGTAAACGTAAAAACTCTAGAAATTTTGGTGAAAAATACATAAAATATAGACTTTTACACGCAAAATGGCCGATTTTCCACTGAAATTTAAATGATTAACTAAAGTTGGTCACCCCGATAATGCGCAAGAACCCCTTAAGAGGGTCGTATTTTCATACTTCTATATTTTTATTCCAAAAAGCAAATCAGACCCTAAAACCCTCGAGAACCCTTCAAATATATCACACGTGATGCGGCCAACGAGCACAGAAATACAGGCGAAAAATTTGTACAAACAAAAAAGGAGCGGGGCTCGCGGCGTTACCGCACGGCCACTTTTGGGAATATCTTCATGATGATGACCATGCAGATGAAGCTGGCGAACAGGAAGATGAAGATCACGATTATCATGCAGTCGAATGCGCACCACTGCAAGTGGATTTTTAGTTCAAACCATTTAGCGTGGGGATTTCAAGACAAGTTTCAAGCAATGCCAAAAAAAGTACCTTGTACGCGTGCTTCTCCAGTCTCGCGCTCTCCGCCGCCAGCTTCTCCTTGTTCGAGCCGACTTGGTGGTTCATCTGGTCGAGTCGCTGAAATAAAATTTCGTTAACGGAAATGAGGAGGCATAAATGTTTTCCTAGATTCTCGAGATTCCGGATTTCGGTTCTTTCGCTTTATCCGCCGGACCAACCTTTTTTTATAAGGATCCAATTTTTATCTAAACTATTTGTTACTAGTCTTAAACGTGAAAACTCTACAAAATCTTCGTTAGAAATACAAAAAAATATCCATTTCACGACCAAAATTTCAACCAAAATAATTTTTCTAAGAATTTTTATTGTTTTTTTTCCCGCCGAAATATCGTTAAATTTTACTAAAAACCCTATTAAATTACTTACTATTGAGTTTGAAGGCATTTCTAGAGCAATAGGAAAAAATTGGGTCTCTTTTCTCAATTGTTTTGGCTATCTCCAAGTTAACACAACTCTTCGAAGCGTAATTTGAATCCCCCTGCGAATTCCAAACGCCATACCTTATTGTCTTCTCTTATCACGTTCCCGGCCAGCTTCATGCTCGTCTTCAGCGAGCGCGTCAGGTCGAGCAGCTCATTGGCGAGGTGTTCGTGCATGTCCTCGTGCTCCGTCATCGTCAGGTCATGCTCATGCGCTAAAAACAGAACAATCAACAGTCGTATGAATTCCGAAATCGCTAATATTACCTCAGAAAAACTATTCACCATTTTTACTCGATGACAGCAGCTCTTGCCGTAAATCCTTGCGATAAACGGCCTTGTTTCGGGCGCGAATCCCGCCCGACGACTCGAAGAGTGGCGCCTCGGCAGCTAAAGGAAATATTTTAATAGGGAATTGTAAAAAGCGTTACCTTTTGAAGTAGTCTCCGTCACCGGCGCGATCTTGGGCTCGAAGTCGGGAAGGCTGTCGAGTATCCGGATTTTGTCTTCGGTGCGATGCTGAAAAAAAATTATAAAAATTGAGCACTCTCCACCTGTTGCTCGGCTTCAACGAGTTTTCGCAGTTGGTAGACTTCAAGGCCGTATTGTTGGAGCAGATCTCGATCTATCGCTCTGAAAAGGGTGGTTTGGCGTAAAGATAAAGATAAAATCTATCCAAATAATCGAAACTCACCGATCTTTCTGCATCGTAGCATACAATCGGTCGAGATATTTCGTAGCCGCGTCCACTTTCCAGACGTTGCCTTTCAGGTCCTAAATTTGAGCCTAAAAACGGAAACGAGTGTTCTTACATCTCGAGCCAGCCGTTTCGTCCGCTCCACCAATCTTTGGAAGGAGAGCTCGTCGGTGGAGAGCATCCCCATCTTCTAAAACAACAATAAAGTATACGATTATATTGTTAAATATGCACGTATATGATAACTTATAATATAGTGAATGTAAAACTGTAAGAAATCAAGAAAATTTGGCAAGCAAAACCTTCTCAAAAATTTTCACGAGCTTTTCATCAGAAATATTTATCACCTATCAACGAGCAACAAAAACAGAGCAAGGCCTAATGAGTAAGAAATAAAGCACCCGTATTTTAGAAAAAAGTAGACATGGAGCAAAAAGATACAATCGAATCACAAAAATAAAACGAGAATGGCAACGAATCAAGCGGTATTTCTGGTTTCCGGAAATTCATTTGTGTTGATGTCATGGTCGACGAAGCTCTGGTCGAGCTTGTACCATTTGCCATTCACGCCGACGTCGTAGATGTTCTGGACGAATTCGTTCGGGAACCATAATCTGAAAACGGGAACTATGAATCGGATTTCGAGGCTCAGACCTTAGGCTTTTGTCCTGCGAAGCGTACGCCTTCACCTTGTCGTCGTGCGGCGATTTGACAATCAGGGAGAAGAACCTAAACGGAATATGACAAAAAAATCGTAGCACAAACCAGAAATTGTAGTAATGCAATCGACCCTGATTTAGCAGTTGCGTTCGTTCAAACAGTGCCCTGTCCGCTTCAGGGTTGTGGATCTGGAATTTATAATTACAAGGATTAGGCCAGAAAATTACCGAATTCGGGACGAGCACCAATTTATGCCTTCTGGCGACGAGTTCGTCGTGGAACTCGAGCTCGGTGGGCGTCGTCTTATAAAGGTAGCCGAGGCCGGCCAGTCCCGAAAGTATTGCTGCTGTCTAAAACACCAAAATAAGCTAATATTAAGAACAAACCTTCAACGGTTTGTCGCGACCTTCTTTTGCTGCATCGACGGTGACGGTTCTGGAATGGAAAAATAACTCCTTTTGTCATCACGACGCTATAACTTGATATCACTTCGCCTGAATATAAATGAAAGCAAAATATCAATAATTAGCCCTCAGAGACGATCGAAAATTTGCAAATCCCAACTTGTAATCGTGCCACACGTTCAGCGAGTACTCCTTCATGGCTCGCCCTGCCCTTCGTATCAACGCCATGTCGGCTAGAAATATATGAAAATCGAGTTTTTTATAAATAAGCAGATTCCAGGGCCCGTACCATAACCTGTTTACCACCCCATTTCCGGCTTACTACCCCTAGTAAACTCTTCACCACCCCGGTAACCAGACTAGTAAACGTTGTTACTCCCCCTAGTAAGTGGAAACTAAGTTGATTGGTGCTGAAACGTTCGAGCAGCCCAAAATTGCACGCCTACCCTTAAAAACACCTCGCGTTGCTCAGAAATGATCCTAGGGTCGATAAGCTTGCCGTTGGGCAGCAAAAATACCTATAGAAATCTCTCAATCCGGCGTTAAGTCGACTAAAAAAAGTTACTACCCCAGACCCCCAAGTTTACCGCACCGGTAACCCGCTCTTACTGCCCAAATGAAAAAGTTTACCACCCCCCTCAAAAAGTTTACTAGGGGCCTAAAATTTTTTTACTAGGGGTGGTTTGCCACTTTTGGTCAACAGGGGGTAGTAAGCGCTATTTTAAAAAGAGTTTAAACTTAAATATCGCAACTTTTAAAAGTTTTTGAAAGCCGTTATTGGGTAGTCCTGCCCCTCAGCTACATACCTCAGTGACGAAGTTGCTCAAGTTTTTGCTCAGTCGCGAGAAAAATGAACGTAAAGTGTTTACCACCCCATTAAACGAGTATACTCAACTTTTCACGTTGGTAAACTTTATTACTACCCCCAATAAATTTTGTGCTTTCGTGAGTCAATTTTCTCAGAAGAGTGGGGATATAGTCTAACCCGTAAAATCATTCGGTACTGTAGTAATTGTGTGTAGCCTAAGAATTTAATTATTGATTAGTAGTCAATCAATTTTCGTCGTGAATTCGTCGCGAAAAGGTCAACATTTTTACTTTTCAAAAAAGACTTTAGACAACCATTTAGGCCTATCTAGGGAAAATTCGCCCCCGGGCCGGCAATCTTTTTTTGTTTCTCTTCTCCCTCAATGTCTTTCGGACTGCGACTTGACACCCGATGCGTTTTTCCATGCCCACCTTGGGGTAGTAACCTATGAAGGTAACTAGGTAAATAGGGGGTAGTAACATTGGTTACTACCCCTAGTAAATAGAACTTCCGCTGTAAAAGCGTTTTCACCCCCAAAAGTTAATGATAAGTATCTTATAGCCTTCTTAAATGATCGTGGGCTTGACTTCACCGGCGCAAAAGCCTCTTTGGTTGACTAGAAAGCCATATACGTTCAACCTAGTAAACTTTTTGCCAGGGGTCGTGAACGCGTTCACTACCCCTAGTAAGAAATTCACCGGTGGTGGTAAGAAGTTTGCTAGGGGTAGTAAACTTTAGGTTTTTACTAGGGGTGGTGAACAGTCATGGTACCAGCCCAGAATGAGAATGCAATGTATAAAAAAAACGAGGATCCGCTCTGTTCTCTTGATATCCACCAGTTTCTACTGCACTTTTTCTTGCACTACTATCAACAATAAGATAAATAAGTTTATACAGAGCGCAAAATCCAATTAAAACGGGAGCTCAACACATTCCGCAGTGATACACACGTAGTCAGGGGATCGCAAGGGGCCCACCGGTCGAGACAATCGTATTTTATAAATCAACAGTTTGGCATCACAATTCTTAAAACAGCTTATTCGGTCGGGGTGGAAGAGCGAGCCAATGCCGGGTGAGAAAAGGTGGATCTACGAAAAACAAAACAGGGGGAAATGTGAAAATGGTGGGGGGATGGAATCGATTAAAGACGGGCGGCCTCGGCCTCCTTCTCCCGCTCCTCGTGCTCCTTGATGAGGACGGCGACCTCGGCGCGGCTCAGCTCTTCGACGACCGTCTTCCCGTCTTTGCGCGTCAGAATGGCCATCTCGACTGAAAAAGGGAGCATGGTAAATGTGAGAAGAGAGTAGGACAAAATTAGGTTCTTCAGGATTTCCGGCGGGGGCTCGTAATTGTCGTTTCAATAAAATTTCATTATATGTTACGTGGCAAAACACTCTAGAAAACGCTAAAAATTGAGATTTTCGTAGAAAAAAAAGATAATTTTGCATTTCACATTTTTCAACCTTTTTGAGCCGTGTAGAAAATTTATGTAATGGAAATCGCCCACTGGAAATACTAACGAACCAGCAACTTTTCAAAATATATTAAACTCACTCTTGTCCGACGACACCTTGACATCCAGCGTCTTCCATAGCACCTTCATCGCCAGCACCTTGGCCTCGGCGAGCGTCGGCTCCTTGTATTCTTGCTTGAGCAGGGAGACGGCAGCCTAATAAAATAAAGTTTCAAAAATAAAGATCAAACATACCTGATGATTATTTCCGATGCACGTCGCCCGCCAGCCGGTGTAGTTGCCAGAGGGGTCGGACTGATAGAGCTGGAAGCCGTAGTGCTTGTCCCATCCGATGTAGAGCAGCGAGACGCCGAAGGGGCGTTTGCCTAAAAATGTTGTTTTTGCAAGGTAGAAAATTCCGGACCTCCAACTTGTGTGTAGCGCTGCTTCTCGTTGCAGAGATTCTTGACAAGCTGCTCGACGGGGATGTCCTCGCCGTATTGTAACTAAAAATTGTTTTTAAAACAAATTGAAAAGCCTCCACGTTTTTTTTAAACTAGCGAATAGGCTTGCACAGATTTCGCAAAATCGCAATTCGGTCTATCGCAGAAAGCTATGAAAAAGAGTGTTTTTTTTTCGAAAAGCAACCTTGAAACATTTAAAAGAAAAAGAAATTCTTGTCCCAAAACCATTTTATACCTTGTAACTGGCCGCCCAGAAACGCAGGTGGTTGATGAGAATGTTCGCGTCGGCCGTGATCCCGGCAACCGTGCAGGCAATGTTGTCGCTCAGGCGGTAGATCTTCTCAGATAGCACCTAAACAAATCGATTAATCGTTACAGTTTTTATCACTAAACTCAAGTAATAAAATTTACCGTATCATCCAACAGCTTGTGCACGTTGCGCTTCTCGGCGGCGATCAGAATCCCGTCCTTGGCCAGGATTCCGAGGCAAGTTCCTGCGTGCGAGATGGCCTCCATCGCGTATTCCACCTAAAACTAGGATTTATTTCAATTTCTAGTATTACCTGATAAAGACGGCCTTCCGGCGAGAAGATGGTCGTTCTGGAGTCATAACGGCGAGCCTAAAAAAGGTTGTAGAAGAAAAATGAAATTTACCATTTCGACGCGTCAGTGAGGGTCTGTTGGCGATGCGGACGCTTTCCTGAAAAAGGGCTATTAGATTAGCACGTAAGTTACATTGAAAAAGTAAGAAAAGAGAACAAAAACATTCGAGAACAAAATTTGGAGCAAATTTTCAAGCGAGGAAAAATGGAGAAAAGATGACCAGCGGTCGTTGGAAGGGGACAGGGTTGGCGCGTTTGTTGTATCCCGCCGGAATTCGAGAGGTACGAGCGTGAATTATATAGTTTTCATATTAAAAATGAAAGCAAAAAAAACTAATAAGTTCACTGAAAGAATCTGGGGAGAAAAAAAACGTATACTTCTAGTTACTGGACTGTTAGTAGGGGGAACTAAATTTCCCAGTATTGCATTTTGGTCAAATGACATGAAAACACACATGAAAAATGACCAAAAAAAGTAAAAATGTTCAAAATTTCGAATTTGTAAAACTATTTTTAGAACTGTCAAGCTATGAAAAGCTACTAAAGCACTATAAAATACATATATTCTGGACAGGTATAGACGAAAAGATAAAAATATGTTTCCCCGCTGCTAACAGTGCAGTACCGATTCATATCGCCAAAAATTGCACGCGGATCCATTACATGCTTCTTCTAGAAAAAGTGAATAAAACGCCGGTCCCTCAAAAACTCCACACACCATCCTTCATTTCTTCTATCCCCTATCACTGATGTTCCATCGGCCGAAAATTATGCCGGGCGTCCGGCATAAACAATGCGCAAGATCTGGGCCAAGGATATCGCGCTGATACCAGCCGCGGCACCATTTGTCCCGGTGATCCCCATTCATTCGTCTAACATCAGCGATGAGGGTTGTCGTCGCCTTGATGCTCGCACAATCTGGTAAGTATTTGACGCTAATTGGCATTACAGTTCTAGCCGATACCTATCAAAGGGGCAGCGACAGCAGTCAGCCGCACTTTAGGTCTTTTTGAATGTAAAAACTTGTAAAAATTGAGTTTTAATGTATGTAAAAGGTCCAAAAGTATGAAAATTCTTAATTTTAGCCTATTTGGAACCCTTTAGCAATCGGAAACCGCTAAAACAGTAGAAAAATGCGCTTTTTCTGAAAAATCGAGGTTAGGCTGCGTAAAGAGTTAGTTTCCGCCCTGCGAACCCCCCACCCGAAAACGCACTAAGACCCCAAATTTCTAGTGCTCGCCTTCGACATACAATCGCTGCTGGGGAGAAGCCGGGAAAGCGCCGCTAGTGCACGTAAGTTAGAATAACAAGAGAAGCTATACGAATTGGCAAGACCCTGAAAACACTTGTTTTCTAGCCTCCCCGCTCTCCATGCTGAGCCTGCTAGGAGCGATGGCGGGCGGGGGTTCATCGCGCGCAGACGACGATTTCGGGATCTTTGGTCCACCCCCGACCACTACAACGACAACCCAATCCCCAGACCAGCGCAACCAAAACAAGGTCATGCTACTGATGAAGAAGCTGCTCGAGATCTTCGAGAAGCTCAGCGTCAGCCTGGATGATAGTAAGTTCTTACGGGACACATAAGCTTCAAAAAAAATTAGAAAAAAGGCAACCATCTATTTCTAGACAAAACCATGGGCGCTACACTAAAGGAGCACGAGCCAGAGGTTGTACGCCTCATGAAGTGGGCCGTGCTGATGTCGGTGAAACGCGCTGCCGACAGAATCGTGCACGGCGAATGGCCGTCACGACTTGAAGACGTTCAGGTCAGTGCTTGGCTCAGAGCTAATACCGAAAAATGATAGGGAGCACCTAGAACTGCATTCTAGATCGACTTCGAGCTGCCTGCCAAGGATTCGAATGGCTATTGTGGGTGCATGGACGTCACTTCGGTTGAGGTAAGGGTCGGTAATTTGCTATCAAATCAGGAAATTCATAATGCCGTAATTTCAACATATCGAAATTTATGATGAACAAATCGCTCGTAAAATGCCAAAAAGTTCGAAAACGTCAATTTCGATATTTCTAAAAAATAAGCTAGGTCCGTGCTCATGCCCATCCACGATTTCGAGACAATTTTTAGCGTTAAAGCGCATCTTCTAACCATCACCAAAACCTCCAAAAGTTATCAAATATTTATTGTGACAAGTTCAAACAAGCAAAGCAAGTTAGGGACGTCGAAATGTGTGTTTGTGCAAATGGGACGGGGGACATAAGTAGAGGGGGGCATGAAATTGTGGAAATGATGGAATGTAGAGGTGGGGAAGTTGAAAACAAAACATTTTGAATTTTGAAAATGGGCCAAATCTAGTAGATGATCTAGGGGGCTAGCGGGCGGGGGGTACTTTGGCGGCGTCGCGGCGAGCGTTCGGAAGGCGTCGGCACTTTTCCTTGACGGTTGGCGTGACGAGAATCGGCTCCTCGGCCTTTCGCCTCCTTCCGTTCGATTCGGTCATCGAGGAGGTCTAAAAAGACGGGTTAAATTGTTAGTAGAAAGAGGCGAACACGTTCACTTCACCGATTTTTTATAAATAGAGGCGGTGTTTCCACACCATTTTTTTACTATTACTAAACGTAAATAATTTTATAAATTTTGGTTAAACAAACGCAAAAAAGGTATTGATTGGTCGAGCAAAATTTCGAATAAGGTAATAAAGGTATTAGAATTGTTTTGCCATTGAAAATAAATTGGCCAATATAAACTGTAATCGGTGCAATGAAAATCGCCGAAAACGTAAAACCCACCGGAAATTCCGTTCGAACCGAGCATGGGGGTGGGCCGCCGCGCCAGCGCTGCATGATCACGAGCGCGTCGACCTTCTCCTTGGTGTCGCTGTCGAACCAGGGGTGGTTGAGGGCCTTCGCGGCGGTGATTCGCTAAAACACATCAACTTGACGGACCCAGAATTTTATTGCCTTCTTCGGGTCGACGACGATCATCTCCTCAATGAGCGCGCGCGCCTGCGTGGATATTGTGTCCCAGCGCTTGTCGAAGATTAGACGGCCTAAAAATCAGGAAATTAGTCTTCGTAAATCGGGCTCACCACTGGCCACCTGCTGCTCCAAGTCCATGTCCGGATACGTCTCGCAGAAGGCCGGATACCCGGAGAGCATCAAGAAAACGGTGACGCCGAGGGACCATCTGAATGGGTGTTTGGCGAGAGCTGAACAAGAAAACGTACACGTCGACGGCGGAAGTGTAGGGCACGTTTTCGTTGTGGCGCACTTCGGGGGCGATGTAGGCAGGGGTGCCGACGTAGGTGCTCATCACGCTCTGCTTGCGATAACACTTGGCCAATCCGAAGTCGCAGAGCTAGAAAAAAAAGTTGCAGCAGTTCAGTACCATGAAAAGCCACACCTTGACCAGCGTGTAATCCTCGTCCGTCTGCAGCATGATGTTTTCCGGTTTTATGTCGCGATGCGTGATCATGCGACTGTCGAGGTACTAAAAAACTGAAGCGTCTGGCCAGATCCATACCTTCAGCGCCTCGAGCAGCTGACAGGTGTAGTACTTCCCGAGCGGCTCGTCGAGTCCGGTGAGCTAAAAAGAGAAATCATCAGCAAAAAAACGGCCGAAATACCTGGCCATCGTCGTCGACCTTGGCGCTGATCTTGTAGAAGAGGTCGCCGCCGGCCGAGTACTCGAGGATTATGAACGAGCGGAAGTTGTCCTCGTAGAAGTCGAGGAATCCCATGCAGAACGGCTGAAAGGAAATTTGGCCTTTTCGGGATTTCGAATGTGTGTATTTTCGCGTTTTCCCCCATCCGAAACAAAAAGGTCTTCAAAATCGCTTACGTTATTGAGCGTGCACATCAGCCTCACCTCGCGCGCGACCTCGGAGTTTGCCTGTTGCTGTTGCGATTTACTAAAGCAGGACAATCGACAACAAGACAAAATCTGGCTTACGAAACTTTGATCTGTTTCTCCAGAACCTTGATGGCGACACGGCGGCAAGTCGGGGTGCGCTTGAAGCCGAATAGGACCTAAAACTCCGGTTTTCGATTTGAAAAAAGACATTCACCTTTGAGAAGCCGCCGGTGCCAATGACGTACGACGAGACGGTGTACTTTTCTGTTAGTGCCAGTGGGTAGATTGCCGGTTTGTTCTCGTCGTAACACCAGACTAAAGAAATTTTTGATTCCGGGTTTCAGAGTATTTTATCTGCGGGGAAAGCCCAGGAAACGGCGAGTATTCCACGATCATAACCATATCAAAGCGCAAAATTTTATTAAGGCTTTCGAACATCTAGGAACCGCTTTTGGACCTGATCGGCAACAACTTCCGCTCATTTGATGTGAGAACTCGAGGAAAATGAGATCACCAAACCTGGCGCTGAGCTGTTAGCCGGGAGACCTTTAGTTAGTTGTTAGATTTTTTAAGTTTTTAAACCGTTCTTAAAAAATTTATTGCTAGAAAGTTATCAAAACCTGCTAAAATTTTGCTAAAATCATATTTTTATGTCCTTTTTAAATCTAAACTATGTAAAATGCCATAAAAATGGTCTAATTTTTTGCCGTAGAATATTACTCGGAAAATTTTAGGTTCCGCCTACCCCAAATTTTAGCAGCCACTTTGTAAAAATGCCGAGGTTACAGGCTTGAGAGGGACAATTTTATGGGCAGGGAAAATAAAAGAAAATCATCAAAAAAACGTGAATTTTAAACGGATCAAAAATTTGCCGTTTCCTGGGCTTTTGAATAGGACAATAACGATTCTGAGCTGACCCTCCTCTCGCAAGATAGAGCGTTTTTTGGACGCACCCTCCAAAACTCACAAAACTGATCGGGCTTTCCAATCGAGATCAGCGACTTGTGCGGCAGCTCCGTCTTCACGCCGACGGTCAAGCGTTGCTGGTTGACAAAGGTGCCGTTGCGGCTGAAGTCTTCTATGAACGTCTTGTTGTTGCCCGGGCTCTAGAATGAGAAATCTTGATCTCCACAAAGTAATATACCCGATACAGGATGAAATGGGTGCGGCTGATCAAGTTCATCGTGCCCTTGACGCACTTGTTGTAGAGCTCGAACTCGTAGATCTGATGCTCCTTGGCTAAAAGGAAGGTTGTTTCTAGACCTTAAAAAAATCCCTTACCCAGATTTTGGTCGAGAATGCGTCCGAATATCACTTTAGGATTGCGCAACTCTGAAAAAGATCAAGTAATTAAAATGGGCTAGCAAAAATTACCGATTGTGTCGGCCAAGTACTCGTTGACGCTCTTGAGCTTGGCGTAGATGGGCGACTCTGTGGGTGATGGCAGCAGCGTGTCCGAGCTTTCGTTGACAATATCGGTGCCGTTTTCGCTGCGCGGCGGCTTGTTCTAAAAAAAAAAAGATATATCTGAGTTAGAAAAACCAGCTCTTTCGCAGTATCGGGGGACCATTTTTTTAAATTTTTTTCTTTAGAGTCTAGAAACGGCTTAGAGTTTTAATAGGTTTCTTAGCAAAATTTAACTATATTTTAGGGGAAAAACAATCAAAAACAAAAGAAACCTTTTTAAAGAGATAGGGCGACATGGGCTACGGGGTGGGAGGGAAATAAATTTTCCCCCCCCCCCCCGCCCCCCGCTCTCCCCCTTCTCCCTCTTTCCTTTTTTTTGGTGGGGGGGGAACCAACCCCCCCCCTCCGCATTTTTTTAGGTAATTTTGGTCGAAAAGTAGCGCTTTTGTTTATTTTTAAATACAAATTTGAAAAGTTTTACGCTTAGCAATACTAAAAAAGTTTAGAAAAACTTTCTCTATTGATACTAGAAAAAATTGGATCTTCAGAAAAAGTTGGTACCCCCGATAATGCGAAAGAACCAAAAAAATACATAGCCGGATTAGAAAAAGCCATACCTCTTTGTGCTCGCCTTTGTCACGCTTGGTGCGAGTAGCTTTGGGCATCGCTGCCTGAAATCAGAACGTAAGAAGCGCGAGAAAATTATGAGAACGAGAGACGGACAACAATAAAATGAATTGTGTTTAAAAAAACCAGAAAAAATACAAAAGAATTCAGATGCCCGCGTGCGTGCAGTCAATCGATTTCCCCTACACTCCGGTGCGCCGAATTCCGATCGAAGGCGAGGAGACGAAGAAATCAAAAGATATGGTAAGAAACAAAAGCTACAAATCAATAAACCCTTACTAGACGGAGATAATCGGCAGCATTTCTGGAGTGTCACGGATCACCCCCGAGGACGACTACACAGCCTTTGAAAAGTCTGACAAAATCCGCGGCCGAATGAGCATCATGCCGCCTCGGATGGAGTTTGACGATGTGCCGGTGAGCAGAAGCATGCTGCAGGAAACCCACGCTTCAGGTCCGCCTCCCGAAAATCGCCAAGCTGCAAGTGCTGTCGCTGATCCGGAAGCTGGAGGCCGCGATGAAGCGTGAGAAGACGATCTACGACCTTGCCTACGCCATGCGGAAGATGCCCAAGTCGACGAACATGCTGTTGGACAGTTTGGTAGGCAAAAAAGGGGGATATGTGGCTGTCGCAATCCCTTCAGGAGCACTAATAGTAAGATTTTAGAGTTCTAGACTAAAGCAAAAATCAGGCAAAAAAAATCATGCGGGTTTTCTGTAAGGTAGAAATGGGTTTAAACTTGTAATTTGTAGACTCCCGCAGCGAAATCTTTCTAAAATTTATATTTTTTTTTGCTACCACGAATGCAACGAAAATTAAAATGAAATTGCAAGATGGTCTAGAAAAACATATCTTAAGTTTACGAAGCTTTCGCTGCGGGGACCTACAAAATTTCGATCAGTTTCGCCCCGGGCCGATAACAAGCCTAGTTTTTTAGACAAAACAACATGCAATTTTTGTATTATTTTAGAAGGCTGAAGCGGAAGGTTCCGGATGGACGCCCACCGAGGAGAAGGAGGGCTCAGGCATGGAATTCGGCGGTAACCAGTGGGAAAGCAACGTCAAAATGACGGGCATAACCAAATACGTACGTTCTAAATAGGCTAAATACAAAATTAATTACTGAATCTAAATCTAAAATCACGCCCGAATTCCAGATTACGCTTGAGGAAGAACCGGTTGAGGACGTACAGCCTATTTCACCGCTGGCCATGATGGGCCCGATAATGCGATTGCTCAAAGCTTGATTTATTTTCGTCGGTACAGTACGAATTCGTATAATAAAGACAAAATCACATCAGTGCGAGTATTCAATGATCACAGAAAGCAGCGAGGAACAAAAAATTAGAGTAGAATTAGTCGGCTATCGTCGCGAAATCTCATCACACGTCCGCAATTCTTTGACTTCTTCTTGCGTGGTGGCGGTGGCCGGGCTTATGGCGATCGAGCGCCCAAAATACCACATGTAGGCGGCCGCGTAGAACCGTTTGCATAGTCCTAAAAACTGTTGATAATCGAAAAGTGGGGTTCTTTGGCATTATCGGGGGGACCAGCTTTTTTCCAAGCGTCCAATTTTCTAATAAAAATAGAGGAAGTGTTTCTAAACTGTTTTTTTTATTTTTTAACACCAAACCCCAAAATTTTTAACAAAAATTCTCAAAATATCGATTTTTGGACCAGAATTAGAAAGTTTTCGAACTAAAATTTTTTATTTTGCCCTATTTTTCTAAAAAGAGCCGAAGTTTATTTTTTTAATGCCAGTCAACGTAAAAACTCGACGAATTTTTGACTAAAAAAAGGCACAAAATACGGATTTTTCGAACAAAATTTAGAAAAAAATTGTTTCTAGGTTTTTTCTCGTAATTTCAACCTAAAATATGGTTAAAACGGGCAAAGAATCCCCTATTACAAAAGCACCAAAAGTAGATATTTTACCGCTAATCTGGGACAGCAACCATCGAAGATTCGTATACAGGAGCGAGAATAGTTCTTCGGCCGGTGACTAAAAAAAATTAAACTCGTTTTTGGAAGAAGCTTACTTGACACAATATCTGCTTGGCCACGCGCAGCTCGTTGATATGTCGTGACGTGTCGCGGTATAGACTAAAAAAAAAATTGTAAAAAACCAAATGAGCGCTCACAGCTCCTGAGATTCGTTGCAGTTTTCCATTTTGCGCGCCACATCGTCGGCCATCTAAATGGATGGATATAACGTTAAAAAACGAGGTTCTTTTGCATTATCGGGGGCTTTTTCTTAGACTCAGTTTTTACTGCTATAAATGGCGTACGGGTTTCAACTGTTTTTTATTCATCTTAAGACAAGAACTTTAGAATTTTATGACAAATTAAAAATAGCGATTTTTCTAGCAAAATGGCTTTTTTTGACCCAAGATGTCGACCAAAAATTTTCTATTTTTTATTGTTTTACGTCTAGAAACTTAACTAAATCTTGGTAAAAAGGCTATTGAAAGCTTTACTTTTAATTTTAAGGCATTTCTGGTTTTATAAGAAAAAATCTGGTTCCTCCGATAATGCGAAAGAACCAAAATATTTTCACACCTTTGCATTCGTCGAGTCGAGCTTCTTCAAGTTTTCAAATTGCGAAAACTGGTTGGTCATCACCATGTCCCAGGTGTGCAGATCGCCGGTAAGCTCCTGAAAATCGAAATATTGGAAAAAACAACTAAAACACCTTGATCTCTCGCTGGACCTCCTCGATCTCGGCCTGGCGCTTGGTGACGATCTCGCCTTCCCTAAAAATTTTGAAACGACAAAACAAAAAGCCTTACGCTGTATTAGAGAACGGGTTCGGCGTCGTTGGAGGTCTTGGGCTGAAGCGGGCCTTCTTCGCCGTCTCCTTCTTCTTGGGGCTGGGCTTCGGGGCCAGGCATGGGCCGCTGCTGCCGCTGTTCTTCGTGCCTAATATCGAAAATTAATAGTAATAGAGGTTAATGGAAATACTCTTCCCACTGTTACGTTGTGGGCTTTTCTTCGTTCGATAGGAGCTCAGCTTGGCGATTTTCGAGCGGTTCTTGTTCATCCACGCTGAAAAAACTTTGCCTACAATTTAGAAAAAGGCGAGTTTGCGAAGGAGCAAATAAAAAATATTACCAGGAAATTTTTTTACGTGGTAATGGGATCCTTTCCCCCACCCTTTTTTATGGATACATTTTAGCAAGAGAAATAGTGGAACTATTTAAGAGTACCCTAAACGTAAAACATTACAAATTTTCCACAAACATCCAAAATAAAAAATTCGATTTTTTAACCAAAAACTTTTTCCTAAGTTTTTTAAAAATGGTTTATCCGCTTGAAATATGATAAATGTACGCTAAACAATATTAAAATACTCATTATTACCTTTCTGGTTTCTGGCGTAATTGAAAAAAGTTAATTTTCAAACGGAATTCGTTCCGAATTTTCGACTCTAAAGGATCGCAACCGATCTGTCTAACTACTCTAAAGGAGCCTAACCACATCGCAAAACGCCAAAACCACCTGGAAACGAAGGCTTGTAAATAAAATATGAGTAACAAAAAAAACGTCAAACTCCTTCCTATAATTCCCGTAAGGCCATCTCCACAATGTCTGTTTCTCGTTCGGTTCAGAGTAATTCTCGTCATGGCACGTGATTTGATATTCTGCACACGTCGGAAGCCATATTTTATTTTATATACATCAATGGGCGCTATTTGGCTGGGAAATGGGTGGGTGCGGGGTAGACAAGGGAACAAGCTGCACATGGGGGTCAATACAACAATCGGGGCCAGAGGGACGGGGGTACATGACTTAGCGGAGCGAATACATGGCGAGTTCAGGCCCAGTGGAATGGAACGCGTCTTGCAGAGGTGGTGGGCTGGCCATGGGCACATCAGTAGGCCGAGCGCTCGTTGCGGCGGCGGTTGTTCTCGCGCTTCTCCTCCTTCTGGCTGAGCAGCACGACCAGGTAGCGGAACACTTGGATGAAGTCGATGAACAGCTCGACGGAGTGCCAGATGTAGTCCTAAAAGGAAAGAATAAAAACTGTTCAAAATATTTTGACAATATGTTTTTTTAAAAAGCTCACCTCATCTCCCATGCGATTCTTCTCGACGATGAGCTGGGTGTCGTAGAGGATGAACGCGCACGAAATTCCGAGTCCTAAAAAATAACATTTAAATCGAATTTTAGACCAGGCGAAAGCTAGAGCGGTGCTTTTTCGATATCGGGGGGGGGGGGGGGGATGAGTTATTTTAGAATTCCAGAAACCGTAGTTACTGCAATGGCTCGCATTTTAAAGTTTTTTTTTTTTTGTTTTTGGCTATATTTCAAGTCAAAAACCGTTTAGAAAACTTAGAAAATGGCAAATTCTGGCCGAAAACAATGCTCTTTTCGCTTTTAAATCAAAAATTGTAACTCTATCGTTTCAGAACCGGAAAAAATATGATGAAGAAAAATGATGTACGATCCGTAGTAGAAAAATTAGAGCTGAATGAAAAAGCTTGTCCTTCCCCGATACTGCGAAAGCACACAAAATCACATTGTAGATTTTTTAAAAAGCCATAAGTGACAAAAAAGTTACCCATCCACATCATGACGGTGTAGTAGCGGGTGAAGATAGCCATGAAGAGCAGGGCCATCGAGGCGGAAGCCAGCGTGCCGCCGAGGTAGAGGTACTTGGTCGACGGCGCATACAGGGCGGACAGCGAGAAGCAAGTGAAGACGAACGCCTAAAAACGAAAATCAAATAAGAATCCGTGCAGAAAAGAGCAGAAAAACTCCTTTCAAAAACGTACCGTGGTCAAGAAGGCGGTGAGGATGATGGTGGGGTTGATCATCATGGCGTGCTCGAGCAGCGGACCGGTGGAAACGCCTACATCAAATAGAATTCAATTGTAGAAAAAAGTGTACCCGAGATGAAGCAGAAGCCGAGGAAGTATCCGAAGCGCTTCTTCTGGTTCTCGGGCACGGCCGGCGTCGACATCAGCATGAACATCAGCGCGATCGAGCCAAGCGAGAGCAGGAAGTTGGCACTGAAATTGAAAATTAGGGTGAATTTCATCATTTGCCCATAAATTTTCTAGGCAGCGTTTTCTAAAACTAAAACTAATCAAATCAAACTAGCTCCGATTTAGGCTTTAGCTCCCGAAAAAAAGGCTCTGAACCAGCCTGATGAATCTACTGAGATGGCCTCATGCGCACAGTTCAAAGTTCACACTTCCAATTTAGAATAAAAACGCTTCAAACCACAAAAAATTCATTGCCAATGTGAAGCGTTTTTACAGCCCTTTGGCGACCTTTTCTTGTCAGTTTTTAGCCTCAACTCCAGTTTTTCTAGCCCAGAAGCTTAAAATTCGAACTCAATGTGCAAAACTAGGCTAGGGGACTTTTTCGGGTCGGCCTAAATCTGCTTGTCTCTAAATCCCAAAATGCCAAAATTTACCGCAAAATGTTGGTGAACAGATGCACGGAGGCGCCGACGGCGGCCGAACCGAGCCCGACGGCCAGCGAGCCGTACACGTTCTTCAGGTGGGTCTTCTGGCGCTTCTCACTAAAAAGAAAGTAAATTGCGCGAAAGAGAAAAACCTACAGCTTGTCATCAAGCGAGCTGAACGCGCGGCCAATGTTGGCGAAGATGTTGGTCGAGTCGTTGGGGGCTGTGCGGGCAGCCATTTTCTGGAAATGATAAAATTAGTAACGAATCGATATCGGTAACGCGGAACGAGGAAAAACAAAGTTAAAGTGAAAAATTGAATCCATTGCACCAAAAATCGACGTTTGAGAACCATTATCTAGTGCAAGAATAAAGGCATGATGAAATTTTGGAAGGAGATTTTTTGAATGGTTGGGATTCTGGCTAAAGCACAATCCTAGCTCGTTCTCTTTAGATAAAAACAAGAAAAGGTACTATCAAGTTTTCTATTCATTATTTTAATAGGAAATTTTTAGAAGAAAAATCATTTAAGTTTTTAAATTCGGCCAGGGATTCCATTCCGGCTCTTTATTTTCGATCAAAGCATCATAAAATCATAGAAAAACGCAAAGTTTAATCGACTTTCATTTTTATAAATAATTGTATTTTTTAGAAAGCAACGATCTAGAATGATGAAATATGAAAGCTGAGCCAATCACGAACGACAAAACAGAATCAAATGGGGAACGATCCAGATCGGAGCTTATTATGCAGTGTAAGCCGTGGTTGTCCACGTCGAATTGGCCGACTAGCCGCTCTCTTTCTCAACAAAATGTGGCCGGGGCAGGGGATCGATGCGTTGCGTGTGCGAGACGGGGAAATGAAGAGAGTTCCAGAGAGAGAGCGCTCGCCCAATATCTCGCAAAGGCGAAAAATTACTTGCGTGCGTTTGCCCGTAAATATGGCAGTGATAGCGGCAAAAAATGATGCAACATAGAATGGCGCGTTCGGCAGGGCAGTCGGGAAAAGTTTTAGGAAACATTTTAAACCAATAAAAACTAGCAATTGAACAGCGATTTGCCAAAATATTCAAAGAATGGAAATAAAAATAAAATTGCCGCGAGCCGTTCCGGGAAACACTACCTTACGTCAACTGGAGTGCACGGAATCGGCAGACACGCAGAGAATGGAGTACGGTCATTGGAGCGCGCTAACCGACTACAAGAAATAGATCGTCAATTGGAATGCCACGGAAATGTCGAAAAAGCGCAAAACGCCGAAAATAGTTTAAAACTTTAGAAAACTTGTAGTTTTTTGAAGGTCAAGAGTTTGGAAATCTCGAATAGGCTTTTCCGGATCGAATTATCGTAGTTAAGAAGATCTATAACCTCGCGACGCTCTTTTCAAAGCAGTTTGAAAGAAAACCACATCAAAAGAAGTCATGTCTAAGTGGCCAATATCGTCCTAATGACGACACTCTTTTATTTAACGTAGAAATCGTAATTGGTAGTATCTATTCAAATTGGATACAATAGAATAAAGGATTAAAGGTTGAATTGAAAGTTATAGAGTTTTTTAGGCTGTCCAAGCCCAAAAAAAGTTTTCTACACACTAGAAAAAGGTGAGGAAAAGCTTGGCCGGCTTTTTTAAAAATTCTAAAGCTCAAAATTTGATGGCAATACCGAAAAGTTTGTTGCGAATGGAAAAGCTCATGTTCCGAGCGCCAATTACGGTACGTGACGCCCGGTGGAATCTAATCAAAACCACCGGCTGTTTTTCGGCGTGCCTAGGCAACGGTCAACCAAAACGGACACGGGCCGCCAGGTGCTCATTAGCCAGAGTTTTTTTGCGGGAAAACAGGTGAAATAAGGGGATTTGTGGGTTGGATGGTATTTAGGGGTTTGTGACGAGAGCGTGATAGCAACTTCCGGGAAGAAAATTAATGGCTAAACGCCGAGCGATCAAAGTAAGAAACGCTGAAAAACGGCAAGGGTAAGCTCAAGGAGCTCAGATCAAAATTAAAAACGCAAAAAATAGTGATTTGAGATGCTTTTTGCATTATCGTGTGGAGCAATTTTCCCATTAGGATACTTTTTCCAATTCTTACGGGAAGCGTTTTTAAACTGTTTTTCACTGTTCTTAAACGTAACAACCTTAAAAAATTTTATCAAAAAAGACAAATATGTCGATTTTCGATGAAAAAGGCTGATTTTAAAAATATTTTAAGTTCCTTAGATTTAGAATTTTTTTTTAGTAGTTTGGGATTGCTAGAAAGCTATCAAAAAATTTTTTAAAAATTTTTAGAATTCGAAAATTTTGACTTTTTTGAAAATTTTCATACATTTTTGATCAAAAATTCAAAAATTTCAGAAACTTTTGATTATTTTTTAATAATGTTTTTATATCTAAAAACTATGTAAAAATTCCATCAAAATGGTTTATAGTTTGTTATAGGGCCGTCGAGAATCACAGGGAAACTCTGGTTCCCCCTGTTCAGAACACAAATTTTCCCAAATTTTCTCCGCTAGCCTGCCCTATCCGCTTTTAATTTCTGACCCTGCCGTCGCGCCATTCCCTTCCCTATAATTTTATCTACCCCGAAACACGGCAAGCCATAGCGGGGGGGGGGGCATAACTATGCGGGGTGTCGTGTCAGTGATAAGTAGCCGATGTGGGGGGAATCGCTTCGGGAATTGCTTCCAAAATTTATAGCCCAACCGGGAGAACGTTGGGAGTTTTCAAATGGAATCTTTTTACGATTTACTTTTGAAAAAAATGAATTCGGACATGAAAATTTGCATATCTCTCTCTCTTTCTCTCTCGCACTCTCTCTCTCTCTCATATTTCTCTCTCTCTCTCCTTCTCTCTCTAGCTCTAACTTCATTTTTAGAATGCTCTATATAAGCCGGCGGGTCCAATTTATAATACTTCTCGTTGCGGCCGCCTGTATTATTGGCGGGATTGTGACCTGGATTATATTTCCGCATATCTATGACAGTATGGTGAAGCAGGTAATAAAGAATTTTCTAAAGAATCACTGCTAGCCTGCCCTTTCCTAAAGAATCTCTGCTAGCCTGCCTCGTCTAGACATCTTTTTAGCAATTAGCCTTCACCCAAAACGACGATGAGAGCCTCGGCTATTCGGCATTTATGATGGCAAACCCGCCTATGCGAAATGTTATGAAATTCATCTTCTTTAATATCACCAACGAGGAGGAGGTCAGTTAATTAAATTTAATTCTAGTTAATCAACTTAATTGTTAAGGTAAAATACAACGGTGCTCAGCCCAGGGTCTACGAAACGGGAGCTTATTCAGTGCTGTAAGTGAGAGAGAGAAAGAGGACAGAGAGAGATAGAGAGTGAGAGAGAGTGAGAGAGATAGAGAGAGAGAGAGAGAACGATCGATGTTTTCAGGGAATCCGAGCAAAAGCGCTACATCGAATTCTCGTCGGACCAGAGCCAGGTTCGAAATCTATAGTATCATTTAAATTTTTAAAACTAGATGTTCTACGAAAACTACAAAATCTACAACATTGATCCGGAGGAATCGTGTGAGGCGTGTAATTGGGAGGAAGATATTGTCACGATTCCGAATCCCGTAGAAGTGGTGGGTTTAGTTAAGAATATTTTTCTCTCTCGATCTCTCTCTCTCTCTCTCTCTCTCTCTCTCGCTCTCCCTCTCTCTCTCTCTCTCGCATCTTTGGCTCTCTGAGGCTCTCTCTAACTCCTGGCTCTCTCAAATGTTCATACGCTCTCATTCTCTCTCTATCTCGCTCTCTTTCTCTCTCTCTCTCTCTCTCTCTCTCTCTCTCTCACTCTCTCTCTCTCTGGCTTTCTGCGGCTCTCTCTCGCTCTGGCTCTCTCTTTCTCGCTCTCCTTCTCTCTCTCTCTCTCTCTCTCTCTCTCTCTCTCTCCCTCGCTCCCAATTTAACGAATTAAATTTCCATCTCCTTCCAAAACCCCTGGGAAAATCAGTAGACAGCCTGCCATCATTATTCCCCCCGGCTTCTCCCCCGCTGATATGCTAACCAAAAACGAGTGTCTCTGTGGCCATTCCGCCCGGCTACTGATAACGGGATAGAGAATGTCGCGTTTGCTATACCCCTGGTTTGCAAAAAACGCCCCGGTTTGGGTCAGAGAAAGAGTGACCGGTCCAGTTAAAAGGGCAAAAATTTAACTATTCCGTAACGCTCCTTTAAAGGGGTCGGCAAGGCAAAAATTCGGTAAATTCAGGGAGCCGCCGCCGACGTGATGGACCCACAATTCGGAATCTCGGACCCGGAAAAGCATCTGATTGCTGTGATGATGCTCCTGGTCGGCGAGTACCCATTTATGTGAGTCGGACTTTTAAAGGGATCGTGAAAGCAAGTTTAGCAAAAGGCAAGGGCAAGCTAGCAGCGTTTTTGGGAAGCCCTAGAAAGCCTGGCATGAAAATCCATGCGAAAAAGCAAAAATCGCTATGCGGCAACGCGGGGCAAGCTAGCAGAGACCATTTGGGTATGGGGCGCGCAACCTAGCAGCGATCATTAGAAAATTGGCAGCGGGCCAGCTAGCAGAGATCCCTAGAGGTTAAGGGCTCAGATAAATTCGTGCGTGCGGGGTGAACCTACGGGTAAAAAGAAGGTCACTGCCGAGAAGTGCCAAAAAGCGTGTTGCGAAAAACGTAAATGTTTGAGAAAACCGTTCTTTTTGGGGCAAAGTTTGAGTGCGGGCGTTATGTCGTATGCCTTGTAAGGCCGTCTCGTCTCGGTGTTTTGTCATTTTCATAATTTAAGTCTGGAATGTCAAATTGGTTGGGTTCAAATGTTCAGTTGTGGATTCAAGCGTTTTCGCGAAAGGGGAAAGGTCTGCGGCGCGGTCGCGTTGCGGCTCTGGCTTTTGCCAGGAGGGCCGTGGGAGTGGTGGCAACCTAGCAGAGATTCGTAGAAAATCGGCAGCTGGCAAGCTAGCTGAGACGCTTGAAAAACGCACGAGGGCAACCTAGCAGAGATTCTTTGAGGTCAGGCGCGGGCAGGCTAGCAAATACGCTTCAGGAACTTGTGGACGAGCTAGCGGAGATTCCTTGAGAACCGGCAAGCAAGCAGAGACTTTTTGCGGAAATTCACGAGGACGAGCTAGCAAAGATTCCTAGAAAATTGGCAGCGGGCAAGCTAGCTGAGACGCTTGAGGAAACGCACCAGGGCAACCTAGCAGAGATCCTTTGAAAATTCCAAAAATTATCCGATTTAGCACGAAAAAGGTGAAGGAAATCCTGTTCACCGGTTACAGCGACCCGATGCTGAGTCTTGCTCATTCCGACCTGGTGGCGACGATTAGCAAAATTGTTAAGGTATTGAAAACTGCCTTAACCTAGCCTATATTTTTCATAACATTTCCATCCTCAAAAAACCCTTATAAGTCATTCGGTACTTTCGTATTATCGGGGGTGGGGAGTGTTTTGTGTTTTTAATGACATTTAACTAGCTTTAAAGTGCAAAAAACCATCTAAAAACTATCTTTTCGAAAACCAGGCATTGTTGCGCTCGAAAAAGATTCTTTTTGCATTTCTTTAGATGAAATGTGTAAGGATTTTACGTTTAGAAATAATAAAACAGTTTAAAAACACTTTTTCATTTTATATTCGAAAACTGGATCGCTAGAAACAAGTTGTCCCCCCGATAATGCAAAAGCACCGTTTCAGACAGTCTTAAATTTAAATTTAAGGGCGATAACGGGTCGATAATCCCGATTCCATGCCCGGCGATGCCGCGGCTCGGCTTTTTCATAGGGGTAAGTTACCTAGGCTATTTGCATATTAAAATACGCTTTTTAGTACAACAACTCGCAGGACGAGAGCTACTGGGTGAAGACTGGGAAGAATAATATTGAAGATATTGGAAAAGTGACACAGGTGGCAGGCTAGCAGGGACTATTTGGGAAAATAGAAGCAGGCTAGCAGAGAAATTTGGCGAAAGGCAGGCTAGCAGAGCTTCTTTAGGAATGGGTAGGCTAGCAGAGATTCTTTAGGAATGGGCAGGCTAGCAGAGATTCTTTAGGGAAGGGGGAAGCTCGCAGAGATCCTTTAGGAAAGGGCAGGCAAGCAGAGATCATTTAGGAAAGGGCAGGCTTGCAGAGATTCTTTGGGGACAGGGCAGGCTAGCTGAGATTCTTTAGGAGAGGGTAGGCTAGCAGAGATTCTTTAGTAACTCCCAATTTTTAGTGGGGCAACGTACGCGAGCTGCCCGACTACTGGTGGACGGACGACTACGCGAGGAGCATCAGGGGCTCCGATTCGGGGAGCTTCAACAAGTGGAAACTCGAGAAATCAGACCGCCTGGAGATGTTCTACTCTTTCATGTGCCGCAGCTTCAACAAGGAGTTTTTGGAGGAGACTGAAGTGAATGGGATCCCGGCGTACAGGTGAGCTTAAAGGGAGCGTGACAGGGGGGAAGATGAGCTATTTTAGGTACTCGACCCCGTTTGAGGACTACGATTCTACGTTGGAGATTAATCGAGGGTTTCGCTATCGAAATTTCGAGAATATTGATTACTTTCCGAACTGGCCGGAATGTCCGGAGTGAGTTGTGAAAAAGTGTCGATTCTAGTGCATTAGCGGGGGGGAGGCGGATGAACAAGTAACTATTTTAATATCTTGCTAGTATTTTCTGATTACCGAAAGACCCTTTTTTCTTTAAAATGATTCTTAAAATGTTTTCAGTCTCTTTCAAAAATTTACCACGAAAAAACAACATTTTTCGCAAATGTTAGTGAATTTTATGAACTTTTTATAGCTAAAAAGGCGTAAAATGCTATTTAAATAAACCAGTTTTTTGCTAGAAACTGGGAAATATCCACCCCGCGCTAATGTACCTGCTCCTAATCGATTGCACGCTTTCTTTCTCTCTTTCTCTCTTTCTCTCGCTCTCTCTCTCTCTCTCTCTCTCTCTCTCTCTTCCTCACACACTATCTCTCAACTTCTCTCTCACTCTCTCTCTCTCTCTCTCTCTCTCTCTTCCTCACACACTATCTCTCGCCTTCTCTCTCACTTTCTCTATCTCTCTCTCTTTCTCTCTTCCTCGCACTCTCTCTCCTTACTTTTCGTTTTTAAACTATAAAAATTAATTCATTTAGAAAAAACGCCTCTCGCTGTTCGGGCCAACACAGCGTCGATTGCTCTCAAGCTATCAATTTCTGCAATGATTGCTGTAATGGGAGTCATGTGGGCGATACGTACTTGTTGCCGCCCGGAATCTTCCCATTAGTATGCTATCCAGGTTCGTTAGAGTATCGTTATCAGGGGGCAGGCTAGCCGAGATCATTTAGGAAAAACTGGGCAGGCTAGCCGAGAAAATTTGGGAAAAGGAGGACAGGCTAGCAGAGGTTATTTAAGAAAATGAAGGAAGCTGTTCTAGCGGAGATTTTCTAGCAAAATGCAAAGCGATGTGCTAGCGGAGATTCTTTAGGAATTTGGGCAAGCTAGCAGAGATCATTGGAGACTGAACAAGGCAAGCTAGCAAAGATCATAAGGAACGAAAGGGCGGCAGGCTAGCCGAGGTCTTATGCGAATTAAGGCGGTCTAGCAGAGATTATTTAGGAAAAAAAAACCGGCAGGGTAGCAAAGTTCATTTGAGAAACGTAGGCAAGCTAGCAGATACCTTTAGCCCTATTTAAATAAGAATTAAACAAGCTAAATTCAGGGAAACTCCAACCGACCCCATTCTCCGTCATGTACTCCCCGCCTCACTTTTTGTATTCCCCGCAACAAGTGGTAAATTTTGATAAGGAATTCTATAATACAAGAATTCATCAGATTGATACGGTAGTGGGGATGAATCCAGATCCGGAGCTCCATCGACCCTTCCTCTATGATCACGAACCGGTGAGTGTAAGCAAAGAATGCAAGAAAGAGGCTAGGCTTAGGCTTACTGTAAAGTGTTTTTACTCAGGCTGGCGTTTTACAATGGGACCAAGCCTATCTTGTGCAGAATTTTTCGCTGATTCCGAATCTGATTTCCAAATTTGCTGCCGACCTTTATTTAAATAGTTATTCGACATTTATACTAAAAAAATCGACTAAATCCGGATTTTTTGCGGTATTTTTTAAGTTGTCGTCACCTCCGACGTTAAAACTGGCTCGGTAACGGTTTTAGAGGTCAAAGCACGATTTTATGGAAAAATCAGGTGTTTTTGTGCAAAAAGCAAAAGAAATTGTGCAGGACGAGATTTGAACCGCCGCCCTCTGCTTGGCAAGCAAGCAGCTTACCAATGCACTATGGTGCCAACTGGGAAGGGGGCTTTGGGAGGGTAGATAAGGGACACAACAATACCTGGGCCGAGGCAGGCAATAGTGGGCCAGCATCCGAATTTATACCGTTTTTAAGCTTAATTAAGACCCCAAATGACTTTTTAACGCATAGTCCGCAGCAAATTTGGAAAACGGATTCGGAATCAGCAAAAAATTCTGAACAAAATAGGCTTGGTCCCATCCTAAAACGCCAGCCTGAGTAAAAACACTTTACAGTTAGGCTTGGCTTACGTTTGGCTTAGGCTTAGGCTTGGGCTTAGGCTAGGCTTAGGCTTAGGCTAGGCTTAGACTTGGGCTTAGGCGTAGGTCGGGCTTAGGCTTGGGCTTGAGCTTGGGCTGGGGCGGCTTAGGCTTAGGCTTAGGAGTAAGCCCTTGCAAAGTCAAGCCAGCAAAGCCAAGCCAAACGCAACTAAATTTTTCTAGCACTCTGGGCAAGCGATGCGCGTACAAGTCCGGCTGATGGTCTCCACCCCAATGATGAATCGGACAACATTTTTGTAAGTTTTAGAGCTTAGGTTTCACTTAGCTTTATGCTTAGGCTTAGGCTTAGGCTTGGGCTTGGGCTTAGGCTTAACTTTAAACTTCAGAAAATGCCAATTTCTAGCCACAACACCCATCTTCCCTGCGTGATGTTCCCCATCTTCTACCAGAGCGCCAAGGCGGTGGTGTTGGATGTGGTGCTGAACAAGTTGTGGCTTGGCTTCGTCTTTGTGCCGAAAGCCGTTGCATTTTTGAAGGTATGTTGGGAGAGGGGAGGCTAGCAGAGATCCTTTGGGAACTCAGAGAGGCAAGCTAGCAGAGAACACTTTGGAAAAATCGGCCTAGGGAGAACGGAGCATTTAGGAATGTATAAGGGCAGGATAGCAGCGCTTTTTTCGGAATCCAGATGGCAGGCTAAGAGAAATTCATGAGGAATTAAGGGAAGCTTTGAATGGAAAATTTGGGGTTGGGGAGAACCAAGATATCAGAAAAGTTTGCGGAATTGGGGGGCGAGCTAGCAGAGATCCCTTAGGAAAGTGCAAGCTAGCAGAGGTTCGTTAGGAAAGGGTAGGCTAGCGGAGATTCTTTAGGAAATGGGCAAGATAGCAGAGGCCATTTCAGAACTGCTGTATTCCAGTATCTGCTCATCTCATTCGGCCTCTTCCTCCTCGTGCTCCTTTTCCTGATCCGGAATCGGCAGATGGATCACAAGCCCCGTCATAAAGTCAACAAAGAGATCTACGAAAAGCCGCTCTTGAAGCGGAATAGCATTTCAAAGTTTTAATTTACGTATTTTTGCTCTTTTAAAGGGTTGGCGCCAGGCGGAATTTTGCATCTCTCTGGCACTCTTTTTAAACCTACGATTATTTAATTTATTGAATTTACGGGTCCTGCATAATTTGGGTATTGCTTGCCGTGTGTGCGTGTGAGTCACTTTTAAGGTATATGTTTGCCCATTTGCAACATGTTTATTTGCTTATTATGATGAAGCATATAAATTTATATTAATTCCAATGTTTTCCGCAGCAGATTATTCACCCAGAAACAACCATAATAAAAAACAGAACCGGATTGCTCGTGAGAGGGCAAAGCGCTGCTTTTTTTGGATTTCAGATTCACAGTTTTGAAGGAATATTTACCTTTTAGAGCAACTAAAAACGGTGCCGAAAGTGGGTAGGCTAGCAGAGATTCTTTAGGAAAGGGCAGGCTAGCAGAGATTTTTTAGGAATTAGGGGCGCTAGCAGGAATCATTTCTAATGCTGGCTAGCTAGCAGACCCCACTTGAGGCCATTTGAAGGTCCGGACAAGCTAGCAGAGGCCATTTGAGGCCATTTAAAAGGAATGGCAAGCTAGAAGATATTTTAGACTATTTTTGACAACACGTTTAAACCTTGTTTATTGTTTTTAAAGTTCTACAGCTGATTTGGAAAGTTTCTAACATTATCTCCATCATCCGGTTCATGCGTATCATCCAGAACCCTTTGCCCGCCCTAAAAGACGCTCTAGGCAAATAAGCGGCGTGCATAAAATGTGTGTTTGTGTATATCTTGGGAGGATGTGTGTGTCTATTGATGCAGCGTCACCCATTCTTAGTGCCAAATAAAAATCACGCCCTGGCAAACAGATAGCAAACAAGGGTTGAAGAAAGTGGGATTCCTTGTGGGGGGTTCTGGACCCGTTCGGTCTTGTTTTCCCAAAGCAGGCCCCAGATACCGTAATCCCGTGGGGCAGGCTAGCAAAGATGCTTTAGGAATAAAATCTAGCAAAAACGTAGAAGCATGTGATTCACAGTTTTCGGGTCGTTCGGTCCCGTTTTCTTATAGCGCGCCCAAGATACCGTAATACTAGATGGCAGCTAGCAGAGATATCTTGGGAATGGAAGGCAGGTTAGCAAAGATCATTAAGGAATTGCGATCAAGCTAGAAGTGATTCTGAGGGCATTGAAATGGCAAGTTAGCAGAGATCTTTTAGGAAAATTGGGGCAGACGAGCCGCGATTCTTTAGGAAAGAGCAGGCGAGCAGAGATTTTCTAGGAAAAGGCAGGCTGGCAAAGATCCTTGAGAAGCCAGGCCAGCAAAAAAAAAATCATTTTATTTCCTTTTCATCTCATTTCCGCGAAAAGTAGCACTTTAATGCTTTAAAACAGTCAAATTATGTCTACGTTTCTCTATCGATTAATGCTTTCCCAAATCGCGATTTTTCGCCTTGCTAAAAACAAAAAAAAACACCACCTCCCAACGCTGTAGGCCAAATTTCGTTGCACCGAATTCGTAGAGGCCCGTAAAAAATTTTTACGGGCCTATTTGATGAGCACTAATTTGGTTGCGCCCCAATTTTTTTCCGTTTTTTTTTTGTTTCTTTTTTTCGCCAATTTTATGAGCCGTGATAACAGGAATAATATAGTGTTCTATGCTATAGAGCGTTATATAAGGCAGGGATCACCAGGACTGGCCGGCAGCAATTTGGTACTGGACTGTTAACGGGGGGGACTAATTTTTGATTTTCAGTCTATGGTTATGTGTTAATAATAAATAGTGTATTTTTATACTGCTTCTGGTAGTTCTTGAATGCTGACCTGTTATACAAAGTTATAAATAGTTATAAAAACATCGTTTACCACTGCTAACACCCCCCGCTAACAGTCCAGTACCCGTAATTGTCAGGATTCCTAGTTTCTTTAGAATTACCAGGGTTGAAACTTCGTAAAAATTATAAAGATTAAACGGGCAGGCTAGCAGAGAACATTGTGGAATGCGAGAGGCAGACTAGCAGAGATCGTTTAGGATCAAAGCGGCAGGCCAGCAGAGATCTCTTGGAAATTACTTTCTCTAGTTTTCCAAACTGCAAAGTACAACAAATCTTCCAGAATCACTAAAAAATGCCCTTCTTCTCCAGGCCCTCCCAATCGCGATGCGGTGAGCACGAAAAAAATAATTATTATGGCGTAGGCAAGCTAGCAGAGATCATTTAGGAATTCAGGACCAATTTTCACTATTAAAAAACTAGAATGAAAGTTTGCAGGTCAAAGCTCCGGGCGCCAGATGGATTGGGACGAGTTTGAGCGGCAGATGGGTGGAGGTTCAGGTAATTTTTTTAAGAATTTAAGCAGGTTAGGAGAGATATTTAGGGAGAGTGAGTTAGCAGAAATTCTTTAGGAAAGGACAACCTAGCGGAGATCCTTTAGGAATGGGCAAGCTAGCAGAGATTGTTGGGAAAGCCTTTTTTAGGAACCCGTACCGTAACCCGGGTTACGGTAGTGAACGGCGTCAAGACGGTCGAGACGTACACAGAAAATTGCGGAGGCGAAGTGGACGACTCGAGCTCGGATAGAGTGGATCATTTCGGGGAGCTGGAGCTGGAGACCGCGGATGATTTCGAGGAAAAGTGAGTTGGCTAGGGCAGGCTGGCAGAGATTCTTTAGGATGGGGCAGGCTAGCAGAGATCCCTTAGGAACCAGTTTTTACACGTTCCGGTCAAATTTCGAGGGTTAAAATTTTTCCGAGTCCCTCCTAGTGACGCTCCGATCATAAATGCGAGCCCGATGTCGCGACGGTCAGCGAAAAAAACGCAAAAAAGCAGGAGAAAAATATTGTGGTGTTGACTCAGAAGCACTTTTGCCTGCCGCCGCTTCCAGAAGAAGACGATCGATCTGGGGGGTGTGTAGACGCGCCAGAAAAAATTCGAAACAATATTCACAAAAGCTCACAACTCAAATTCATTCTAACTGCCGAAAATCACCTCCTACTTCCAACTTTTTAATACCTTTAAAAGGCCTCTAGAATGAGTCTTTGCTGCTGGAAAAAGCGGCCGCAACGGCAGACGGTCGTTAAAATGTAAATTTCAAAAAAAGCCAACTCTCGGGTTTTAGGGTCTTTCGCATTATCGGGGGGGGGGGAGCAATTTTTTTTAAGGCTCCGTTTTTAAGATATAAATAGCGGAAGCGTTTCTAAACTATTTTTTACTATTGCTAAATGTAAAAACATTACAAATATTTATTAAGAAATACAAAAATGTCGATTTTTCGACCACAATTTCGACTTTGTAAATTTTTTTAAGTATTTGGATCGTTTCCTAGTTGAAAAATAGTCTTATTTGACTAAAAATTTATGAATTAACCATGAAAATACGATATTTGTAGAATTAAAAAAAAAATTTCCGAAATTAAAGAAAAAAAAGGTATCAGAATTTTTCCTCGAAAACGCTGAAAAAAAAGACAATGAAGGTAAAAATACTCAAAAAAATATTTAGCTTTCTTTTAGCAAATCAACATCAGCTTCCGCCGCCCCGATCGGCCAAAAGGACTACCAGAAATGGGTGGGTCGCATTTAAATTTAAATTTTTTTTTTAATTTAAATGCATTTCGCTTAAATCTCGTATAATTTCTATATCTACAAAAAAAATAAGTATAATTTTCTAATAAAAAAATTGTAGGTGCTCAACGAGCACAACAAGTACCGCAGCCGTCACCAAGTTGGTAGCCTGGCGCTCGACGAGAAGTTGAACAAGTAAGTCTCAAACCACAGGGATCATAGCGTAACATAACGTCGCGAAAAGTATTGTAGCGTATTCAAAACAGGAAAAAATAAAAGTCAATCTTCCAAGAAAAAAAAAATTTTTTTAGCCTTGCCCAAGAGTGGGCAAACCGTCTGGCGGCCACCGGCTCATTCCAGCATCGCCCGAATAGCGGCTACGGCGAGAACATTTCGATGGGATCGGGGAGTTACGGTAGGTAGGGCGCGGGATAGGTTGTAAGCAGAAACTTGCGGATTTTTCAGATTTTGGTGAAAGGGGCGTGTCAGAACAGAAACATATGGAAATTTCCAAGTCTCTTGGGAAACTTCTACAAATACAATTCTAAAGGGAGCGTGACAGATTTGCGATAAAAATCAATCGAAGTTTACTTGAACAAAAATCGGTACTGAATTTTTAGCGGGTGGGAGGATGGCAGAAGAGAAAATTCATTTTTCTGATCCATTTCTATGGAATTTTCGACAGTTACGTTACACAGAAATAAAATCATATAAAGGAGGTTCTAATTTTTCAAAATTTCTAAAAAAAAATGTTTTTTTTTATAACGTTCTAGCAACAATGAAACTGAAACCAATCAAAAAGAAAAATTACTTTTCTGTCTGCCAGCCCTTCTCACCCCCCGCTAACAGACTAGTACCCCCCCATCCTAAGACTAAAGGGGGCGAGACATCATAAAACTTCAGATGCGAAAAATTTAGGTAAAAGGGAGAGTACCAGCAAGCGAGGAAAACCGTTAAATTGATCTTAAAGGGGCTGTGACATCATATTTCGTACGGTTTCGTATTTTTTGATCGCTATTTGAAAATTTTTTGATGCCAAAAGTTAGTAGTTATATATCTATTGCTAATTGCAAAATATCAGCAAGATCGGATGGTAAAGTAATTTTATCTGGAATTATTTCCCCAAAAAGTACGGATTTTCCGAACGCTCCTATTGACGACTAGTTAAACCGATCAAAATTCTTTACCACACGTTTGATAGCGCATTCCAAGATCTTCATTTTGATATCCTTGAACTCCCGCTAACTCATCAAAAGTCCCATACTTTATCGCTTCAAAGTTTTCTACTTTTACAAAAATGTTCAAAAATTTTTAACGACCCACTGGTCGTCAAAAATCTTAAAAAAACAACTTTTGTTATTTCTTCATACCCAGCATATTTAAGCATTCTGGCAAGGTAACCATGGTCCGATTCGTTTCCGTTCGCGAGATTATTTGGCCCAAACTTTACTTTTTTTTTTGGCCCACCCTGTAGAAAAACCCATGATTTAGCAAACGACCTGGTGAAGCCGTGGTACGACGAGGTGCAGAACTACAACTTTGGGCGCCACGCGGGCACGGGCACTGGGCATTTCACGCAGATCGTTTGGAAGGTGGGAGCGAAAATAGGAGGGGGAAATTAATTCGAGAAACCGGAAACGATAATGGCAAAATAAAAAAACTTTGAGGCAGTTAAAAACAGCCAAATCGTTTAAAAAACTTTAAACTTTAAACGCTTTGAAAAACTAATTTTAACCCAATTTAAAAAATCAAAAATTACAGTAATTACGGTAATTTAATTACTTAAAAAGCCAACCTAAAAATAGCCAAATACTTGAAAAATAAACAAATTACGCAATTTTAACCCAATCACACAATCCCAAAATTTCCCAAATTTCGCCCCAAATAAACTCAGAATTTCGCTTCTGGCCCATCAACATCTCTTTGATCGATTTTTCTTCAGCAGCCGGGCAGGCTAGCAGAGATCATTTGGGAGTCGCCGGTCTCTTCTTACATGCAGAAATCCCAACCCTAAAAAATCAGGAATACAGATAGGATGGGATGGTAAAAACTTGCCTAATTCGCGCAATTTCCTTGATTCCGTTGAGGGCAGGCTAGCAGAGACCATTTGGGAAGGCGAGAATTGGGCATTCAGGGCCCTAAACGAGGAAATGATTTGAGTTCAAAGTGGTTACCTTGTTTCCTCAGCTCCCGATGTGGTAGGCTGTAGCAGAGACCATTTGGGAGGATGCGCCAGAGTAGAGCCCCTGAAAAAAATTCATGTTGAAGCTGTATTTCCGAGAGAACCAAAGGAAAGAGAAAAAAAAACAATTCATAAGAAACAATTCCTAAATGACCTCTGCTAGCCTGCGCTTTCCTAAAGAATCTCTGCTAGTCTGCCCCTTCCTAAAGAATCCCTACTAGCCTGCCCTTTCCTTAAGAACGTCTGCTAGTCTGCCCTTTCCTAAAGAATCTCTGCTAGCCTGCCCCTTTCCATAAGCATCTCTGCTCTATTTACCAAAATATAAAATTCAAAGATATTTAAAAATTTAAAGAAAATTTTTTAGAATTTGAAAATCAAAAAAATTCATGAACTTTTAAAAAAGTTTTTGTTTAAAAAAAATTAAACCATTTTTTTAAAACCTGAAAAATTTGTTAAAATTTTAGGCGTCAAAAAAGCTGGGCGTTGGGCGGGCTGTGGCCAAGGACGGGTCGACGTACTTGGTGTGCAACTACGAGCCGGCCGGCAATCTGATCGGCGCACATGCGCAAAACGTTTTCCCCGCCAAATAGGGGACCCCCAGGGATACTGTATTTCCCTTCGAATCGTTTAATTTATGCCAAAAAAACCGCTTTAAAAATTTTTGTCGACTCAAGGGACCGGGAAGTGATATCGCGATCTTATTTTCATTTTTTTCGTTTTTTTTTTTCAAATTATCCAAAAAAATTTCTTGTATCATTTAATGGATACAAAAAACCGTTTTAAATAATCTTGTCGTTTAAAGGAGCTGGGAAGTTTGGTTAAGGCATTTTTTTTTTGGAAATTCCACTTGGGAAATGGGACAAAGGCCACTTCCGAACCCCTTTAAAACCCCGGGAGTCCGTTTTATACGTTACATACACTATTTTCCGCGCCGCTACTGTATCTTCTGCGTTTTTGTCCGCTGAATACCGTAGTTTTTGCACACCCGTTGACCCATTATGCAATGTTAAACATGCTGTCTTCTTGGACAAATAAAAATAAATTGTAAAGTTCAGATTCTTTCTTTGCCAAAAAACACACCAAATTTGGAAAAAAGTTATTTTCGAAAAAATTGCAATTTGCGCTACGTTCCTGGACTATGCCACTACCGTACTTGGCGCGCGGATTACCAGAATTTTTGTGTGCTCGGAAACCCGCTAGACAATGTGGTGCTTTTGCATTATCGGGGGTGGGGGATTCCCTAAGCCATAATTTTGCAATATAAATAGCGCAAGCGTTTCTAAAACTATTTTTACTATTACTAAACGTGAAAACCTTAAAATATTCTCTTAAAAAATACAAAAATAAAAAATTTCTAAATTGTTCGATAGTTTTTCCCTTAATTATCGTAATCAATTTAACCATTTTCAGTAACGAAGTCAAAAAATAGACAAAATACCAATTCGGTGGCAAAAAAAAACGTTAAAAAGAGTTTTCGAGTCGTTTTTGTTCCTTTTTAATTCGTAAGTATTGCATAAATCAATTATAAATCAGAATTTAACGGTTTTAACCATTTTTCACGCTTTTTCTTATGCAAATTAGCCGAGGACACTCATTTATTCGACAGAGGACAGAAACGGAGAGTGCCAGACACCACAAAAAAAAGTCAGAGGCAGGCGGGGGGGAGGGGAAAAGCCGAGCCAAAAAAACAGCGAGACCAAGCGGGGCAGAAAAAAGAAAGGTTGGGGTGGCGGCGTGCTTGCTGGTGATGATGATGAAGCCGAAAGAGGGGAATGGGGGCGAGGTGTCCTGTCGATTTGTTGGTGGTGAGCTGTGTGTGTGCGTATGTGTATGCTGCGCTGCCGGGTGGGTGGGCCCACGATGGTGGTGATCGGCGCATCTTGGCGATGGGGTCGTCTACTGAAAAAAAACAAGGTAAAGGAATACGCCCATAGCTTTAACGGTACTGGGCTGTTGGCGGGGGGGGGGGCTCTAGTGGAGAATTGATTTTTCGTGAAACTTTATCTTTTTTAATCCAGCGTCGTTAATAATCTCCCATTTATCTCAGAGCTCTTTTAGAATTTTTCGAATCCCAAAGTTTTTCAATTTTAGAAAATACGTTTTGCAACTTTTTTCAGAATTTTTGTCCATAAATTTCGAATTGAATTTTTGAACGTTAGGAAGTTACAAGAAAAAATTGAAACGTCAAAATTCCAAAAAAAACCTTCAAAGGCTTTCGAAGGTTTAAAAAAATAAAATAAACTATGAAATATGTAAAATCAAGAACTTCAAGGCCTTTGCAAAGTAAAAAAAAATAAAAATAACCCACCACATACTCCGACTTGTTCTGCTTGACGCTCTTCTCCGTCTTGCCGCCCTTGTTGTCCTTCTTGTCGTCCTTTTTGTCGTCTTTCTTGGTGTCCTTCTTGTCCTCCTTCTTCGACGACTTGGTCGACTTGGACGACTGGGTGGTGCCCTTCGTCTTTTGCTTCTTCATGAAGCAGAAAACTAAACAAAATGATGTATAAAGCGAGCAGAAAAGCGTACCGAGCAGTCCAGCGGCCAGCACGGTGATGATCAGAGCGATGACGGCGAGGATGATGAAGAAGATGATGCCCATGCGCTCTCCTTCGTCTAAAAAATAGCTATTAGGTAAGATTTCAAGCGAAATCAAAATATAAAAATTTTATAGCGAAAAATAGCGATTTTCGACAGAATACCGATTCCCAAATGGTATTTGCTAGCCTGCCCTCTCCTAAGGAATCTCTGCTAGCCTGTCCTTTCCTAAAGAATCTCTGCTAGCCTGCCCTTTCCTAAAGAATCTCTGCTAGCCTGCCTTTCCCAAATAACTCCAGCTAGCCTGCCCGTTACATACCGGAAACGCCGGCGTCCTCATTGGCGGCTGGTCCGAGGACGCACGCGTCTTCCGGCCCGATCTCCTTGATGCGCGTGAACTTGGTGCAGGTGACCTCGCGGCTGCCGTTCTTCCGGCACGGATACGTGTTCGGCTTCGACTCGCACTCTGCAAAGGATGGATGTATAAGGATAAAGATGTATAAATTTTATTAAAAGACGCAAAGAAAAAAACCGCAAAATATCTCATTTTTCGACGCAGAAAAATTCATTTTTCGACCAAAATACGAAATTTTTACTAATTTTTTCGAACTTTCTAAGGTCTCATAAGATTTTTTTTTTTCTGAAATTTGTCTCAGTTAAATTTCGCTAAAAACGACTTTTACTACGCATTTTTGGGGTACCAGCAAAAAATAGGTCCCCCGATAGTGGAAAAGAACCTCAAAATATCAAGATTTTAAAAAAACCTGAATTTAAAAACTAAGGAAAATTAAAATTATAAAAAAGCAAAAGAACCGTACCTCCAAAGAGGGTACAGAGTCCCATCTCGGGGCCCTCGCCGTACACCTTCACCTTGGTCTCGGGCACGCAGATGGGCTTCGGCCCGCAGTCGGCCATCATCGGCACGCCGCATGCTGGCAAACAAACAATATCTGGTACTCCAAAGTCCCCTACCAGCAAGGGTCCAGTAGATGGGAAGGTCGCCGGCGATCACCTTCTTCCACGGCACGCAGAATTCGTGCCTGCCCACGACGATCCGCGCTTCGACGCGACCATCGCACTCTGGAAAAAATCGTCAGATCATTGCTTCGGCTAAACGCCAGATTAGAGATGTTACGCATACCGACGCGACGTCGGGATAACATGCAAATTAGGAAGCAAAGTACAAAATCAACTCGATAAAGCGATTTTTTGCGCCTTGCATCCTAATTTGCATGTTATCCCGACGTCGCGTCGGTATGCGTAACATCTCTACTCCAGATCCACCCCCCAGCGGAACCCCCACCTACCGTACCTTCATCTACAGGTGTGTAAAGTATACCAAAATACTCGCCACAGCAAGGCGAACGTTTTGGCATACTCTACACACCTGTAGATGAACAGGGAGCCAAGATACGGTAGGTGGGTGCCGGCTGGGGGGGGGGGGGAAACGGCACTAAAGCCAGATTTCAACAATTTGAGAATCGGAGTGATGTCAAGGAGAGAGAGAGAGAGAGAGAGAGAGAGAGAGAGAGAGTGCGTGAGAGAGAGAGCTGCAAGAATTACCTCCGCCCGTCATCCTGCACGCCCGCGCGTCCGAGCCGTTCTTCATTTTGTCTTTCCGGACGCAGAGGAATGTCTGTTCATCTTTACCGATGCATGTGTCATGTTCGGCATCGCAAACCGCTGCAACAACCACCATCAAAAGCGCCAGGAAGGCGGCAAGGTGCTGGACTGTTAGCGGGGGGAGGGTTAAACGAGGACACAAAATTTTCCCCTGCCTTTCTCTACGGCCCGATAACTAAATCTAAACATTTTTATAGCATTTTACATAGTGTTTAGATAGAAAACCAATATTTCAAAAAGCAATATTTTTGAAAAAATGGAAAGGTAAAAAATGGACAAAAACGACCAAAAAAGGTAAAAATTTTCAAATTTTCTCGATTTTTAAAATATTTTTTATATTTTTCTAGCAATCAAAAACTACGAAAAATACTATAAATTAGATAATATACCATCAACAGGCAGTTGTAAAAACAGAAAGTGGTCCCCCCCCGCTAACAGTCCAGAACCGCGAAATCGATGTGAAAAAGTGGGAAAAAGTTACCCTTCGCTGCCACGGTGGTCGGCGGCTCGGACGTAACGCCATCCGCGCAGGCGATGAACGCGACGGCGGCGAGGAGGAGGAGGACGAGCACACGGAGGAGCATGGCTGACGCGCGCGGGTGGCAAAAAGCAGCCGAGTGTGTGGGGAAATGATGGAAATTATGTCGCAAAACGCAACTAAGCCCCCAACCGGAAGATGCCTAGGATTTAAATACAGTTTAGCATGCTGACTTAATTAACCATGCTAACGTAAAAAGATTGAAATCCGACTACTGCAGATTTACCCCTCAAAGTTTTCAGTGATTCGACTAAAATCTAAAATAGAATTAAAATTAAAAACTTAATTAATTAAAATTTTAGGTAAATGTAAATATGAATATATAAATAATCAATATAAAATATCAACAAATAAAAATTATGTATAAAATTAAATTTAGCACGCTAATCCATAAAATAATAACCTCGCCCACGTATCCGCTTCAAAAAATAAATTTTTGCATCAATTTTCGGCCGTCTTTGCAAATCGCTATCCTGCAACCGAACCCCTTGAAGATGCCGCCCAGAAGGAAGTTGCAGAAGCTGGCCAATTCAAAATTCAGATCCAGTCAAAAAATGCGGTGCTAAACAAAAACACCAATCGAGGCCGGAACGAGCAAAAGCTGGCACTCCAAACACGAAATTGGTTCTAGAGCATTATCGGGGGGGGGTTTAGATTTGAAAACTAACTACTACTTTTTAAGCGGGTCTTTTTTTTTTGACGATCGCAAAATGTAGGAACCCACAATTAACTTCTCGTTCAAATTTCAAATTTTTTCCAGGTTTTTCACATTTTTCCCTCGAAATTTAGCTAAAAAATCTGTTAATTTTACTAGACATCACTAAAATTCAATACGCCTTTTTCCAAGAAAAATTCAATTCTCTCAATAAAATAACTCGCAAAAAGAAACAAAAAAGTTACTAAGTATTTATCTCGCAAACATTTGCAAAAACGGGGAAAGTCAAGAAAGCTGAAGCAAGAAGAGATCAACGATTCCGGGAGGGTAGCGCGAAAACAATGCAAATGCCAATAACTGAACATGCGCGAAAACCAACCGGAAATAGAAAGAAAGTGGGGGCTCATCGTTTTATAGTTCGTCCCAGCGCAGACCCACGACTCGATCCTGTGGCAGCCGGTCGCCCTCGCACTGAAAAACGGCATAAATAGTAAATTTCAATAAATAATTAAACTTAAATAAATTATAGATTTAACAAAATTAAATGATTTAAATTAAAAATTTTTATCTTTAGCGACTTTAAAAAATCCTATAACTCTCTGCACTTTTAACATCACTTTAATCGTATAAAAACTAGAAACAAAATGAAATTGAAATTCCTTAGAAATCGGCTTTTTCGCATTCTCGACAAAAATAGCGAAAAATAAAAATTACGTTTTTTACCGAATCTTACAGCTTTCGGAACCGAGAATATTTTTTAATTTAAAAAACTGGAAACCGGAAACGGAACGGAAAACCTCACCAAAAAGTGGTCGTCGCTGGGGGCACGTTGGGCGGGCACGCCGTGCGAGATGGCGACACCATGCCGAGCACGCGGCGGCGCGAATTCCGGGAAGTCGGAGCAGTTCGGGTACTCGGGGTCCTCGGGCTCGGCCTTGATCCTCGTCAAGATGTCCGCGGTTCGCCTGGGCCTCGGTTCGCGGCGCACCTTCTCGTTCTCCGGCTTGCGTGGGCGGCCGCGTTTCTTCTGAACAAAACAATTTTTTTTGAAAGACAATCAAATTGGGTTCTTTGGCATTAGCGGGGGTGGTGAGTTAACTTTGTCAAAGGAACGAATTTTTTTTAGAAAAATGGAGGAAGTGTTTCAAAATAGTTTTTATTATTCCTTAGCTCAAAAACTTTACAAATTTTCATAAAAAAATACAAAAATATTTTTTTTTCGACCAAACAACGGCAGATTTAAACCAAAATTTCGAATTAAAAACTTTATTTTTATTATTGTTTTTTCCGCTTGAGATATCGCTAACTACAAACAAAAACAATGAAAATACATACCATTAATTCACTAGGCAATTCGGGAATTATCCAAAAAAATTCTGTCGCACCCCCCCCCCCCCGATATTGCAAAAGCACCGAGAAATGCGAAACGTACCGGCGGGCCGGCGTGGACGACGTGCTTGTGATTGATGTGGGCCCGCAGAGTGCACTTGGTCTTCAGAATTTGATGGCAAAAATGGCAGCGGAAACCCTCGGCTGGGTGAAGCTGAAAAAAAAAATAGGATTATTTGGCTTTACACGTTCAAAGAAACTGACGTCAATTTTCATTTACTTAATATATAAAGTTTAAATTTAAAACCAACATTTTCGAACGCAAACGACTTGACGTCCAGCGGCTCGATCGGCTGCTGGACGGGGATCTTGTAGGCCTTCAAGATGGTCAGCTTGGAGCGCGGGTCCTGGATGTCAGCCGCCAAGCGCGCCATCCGGTCGTCCAGACTCTCGAACGAGCAGATCTTGCATCTAAAATAAAAATTTGGAAATTGGAAAGAATTGGTCGAAATATCGGTATTTTTCTAACCATCCATGATGCCTATTAACCTAATAGCCGCCATTTTATTATGTTGAATAAAACTAGGCCATATTCCAAGTGGCAAAACCTTTTAGAAAACTTAGAAAAAATTAAGGTTTTAAATTGTATGACAAATCGATAATTTATCGCTTTTAGCAACGATTTTTAACCTTAAGAATAGGAAAAACGAAGACCAAAACCATTAGTAACTATCCTTAAACGATTTAACAAAATTTAGCGATGCTCCAAGTGGCAAAAAATTTCCAGAAAACTTAGAAAAAATAAAGTGTTTTAAATTTTGTGACAAACCGGCAATTTTTCGTTTTAATAGCGATTTTAAACGTTTAGGAATAGTGGAAAAACGGACCGCTAAACACCAAAAGAAATAGTTTTTAAATCAGCAAAATTCGGTACCCTTCTTGGAAGCAATTCTTGAAAACGTCGATGAACGGATACTCGAACGCGCACGTACGGCCGTTGGAGAGCGACTATAACAAAATTAAACTCGAAAGTGAAGGCAGACCTTGTAGACGATCTGCTGGCGGGAAACGTAGTCGTTGCCCCGGATCTCACGCTCCACGGTGTATCGCTCGCGGAATCGACGACGGCGCTCGATCGCTGCTGAAAAATTATATTTGTTTTTCCGCACATTCCGTAGATTTTCGATTCACTTATCATTTTTTCGCAACTTCTTTTGGTTCATAACTTTTAGTGCGGGGAATTTTTCGCCAGGAGAAACCCAATTTTCCCAGTAATCCCATAGTAATCCCGTCTAGAGCAATACAACCATTTTTTTAAATCATTTTCAGCACTTTTTAGATATAAAAACACAAACAAAATCATGTAAATTTTCCGAAATTCTTGACTGTGACACAAAATGTATGAAAAATGGCCCAAAAAAGCTTAAAATGTCAAAATCGTGGAAAACCATAATCAAAAAACTAAATGCAGTGCTGGATCGGAAAGGGTCAAACGCAAACGACGTTTTTCTTTTTTTTCTTTCGAAATGACCAATTTTTCTGCGCAGCCGACTCAAAAAAGTATTTCTAGGCTAATCCGGGTTCCCAGAAAAGCTATGACTTTTTAAAAAGCTTTTTGTAGTCTTCGAACCCTCAAACGTCATGAAGAAATGTTTAAAAATCCTTGAAACAGAAAGTTTTGGCTGTTTTACGCCTTTTTCAAAAATTTTGGCAAAAAATACTAAACTTCGTTTTTTAATGCTGCTTATTGACCTATTGTTATTAATACTACTATCTATATAAAAAACCGTTTAATAGATAGTTTAAAGAAGATATTAAAAGTTCTAAAACCCACGCATTCCCTGCGCCTCGACGCCGGGCTCCTCGACGTCGATTGCCTGCTCGTCCATCGGCAGCGTTTTCTTGAAAACGTCCGCGATCCGCTAAATAAAACTAAGAATCAAAACAAAAGCAGCTTACCTCTTTTTCGCTCCGGACAAAGTCGATGAAGGGCAACGGATCGTAGACTTCGACCCAGGGGTCCTAAAAAAGAGAATTTTTCAAAAGCAAACCCAGGAACTCACGTTATTATTTAGCCTGTAGCTGCCGCCGTAGAGCCTCGCATGCAGTGAGGCGTGGATCATGTGCTGGAAAAAAAATAATTTTTGAAACAAGCAATCGAAAAATTACCGAGATTTCATAGGGCTGGTGGTTGCCGGCCATCCTTTTCTAGAAATAAGACAAGTTAGATCAAAACGAGAGCTGAATACAAAATAAGTAAATCAGCGCAAAAACCGATGAAAAAAGTTGGAAAATCGATAGTTAATACTAAATAAATATTGCAAAAGTTAAAAAAAATCGAACATAGTTCAGCACGCAGCGCTCCAAATGGCGGTCTTGCGTAATTTGGATGGAACGTACTAAAATAAATTGTTACGAATAAAGCTATGATCAAGTTTAAAAAACAAAGAAATGGTAATAGACGAAAGAATTATCGTGATGAAGGAGAGAAGGCTTTAAAACGTCTATAAATCAAAAAAAACCATTGTTTTTGCGTAACCATAACCCATTTTAGGAAATTTTCTGTTTTCGTCAATAAAGAATAAAAAGTATAAATTTTATATTGATCTTACGGGCCTAATTTATATATTTGAAAACAGATTTCAAGTGCAAAAGCCCTGCAACGCTGCAAAAGAGAAATTTTCAAAAAAGAAATCCTGCCAGTACGTAACACTCCGCTTGGCGATGGTGCGTAAACTGGATGGAACGTAGGGGAAACAATTTTTTTTGTGGATAAAGTTTTAATAAACTTTAAAAGCTTAAAGGAAGGTAGAAAAGTTAAAAAACATGGGGAAGAAGTTAGCAAAAGTTTTAAATCGTTGAAAAACGCAATTTGATTAGCTTGCCTAAGCCCAGTGTCATTTTTTTGAGGTCTGTTTTGCTCTGTTTAATTTGGCAGCAAAAGAATCAAAACCATAACTTTGATCAAGCTTTTAAAAACTAAATTCCAGCATTTTTCAGGCGTAAAAGCCCTGCAGCGCTGCAAAAAAAAACAACAGTAGCGGCATGCGTGTGGGCGTGAGGAGGGCGTGTTTTTGGACGGCCTTTGATCTGCTACCGTGCACCCCCGGTTTCGGCACATTTTTGCAGATTTTAAAAGTATTGCTGACCTCTGCCTCTTGATATTGCTGAATGCGCTTCCAGAAGACTTCCTTTGAAGGCGGCGTCTTCAAGGGGGTCAAGGTGGGTGGCGGTTGCAGAGGGGTTGTTTGTATAAAAAGTCCGGGGCGCCCTGCAAAGCGGGTCATTTTAATATTGTTTTTTTTTCGCGGGAAGGACTGTAATACGGTAGATGGGCGTTTTTTTGTAGTTTTAAAAGGTTGCGGATTGTTTTAAGCGATTTATAACGGGTTCAGAAGCTTTTTTCAATTGTTCGGCCACCGGAAGTGATCAAATTAGCGTGTTTTCGATAATTTTTGACATCATGAAGGTCTTCATTTTCACTAGAAACCTAGCAGAGGTTCTTTGTGGAAATCTTTGAGTTTCGCAGCGCTTCCGACGGTAGTGGGAACCCTAGATAAACGAGAAGCCGTTTTTTGCCGTATCCTTGGGCGCCGGAACTGTCTAAATTACCAATTTTTCAAATGCTTTTTTTTGAGATTTTTCTATGATTAATAGTAGAAAGTTTTTTAAACTTTTAGCTTTTCTAAAACCTAAAAGCTTTATAAAATACAAAAAATTTTTTTAAGTTTTGGATTGTTTTCCGCTTAAAAATAAAGTTAAATTTTACTAAAAACGCCATTAAAAGCCTTGAAATTGAATTTATAGGCATTTTTAGACTTATAAAAAAGCGGTTTCCTCTCGATTCCCCCCCTATAAGGGAAAAGAACCGGGGCGAGGTTTGTAGCTTTTCGTTTGTAGCTTTTCGTCTTCAAAGTTCTCAAAACTTGATTTTTTCAGATTTTAGCTTACCGGAAGTGATGAAACTGGTGGCTTGATTTTTAGCCGAGAGCTAGCAGAGATTCTTTGCGGAATCCTACCAATTTTTCGGATTAGGATGCCGAGCTTTTTCACTTTCCTCCTTCGCCCAATCTCATATATCGATATGCTTGCCCCCGAGGCTCACGCTCGGCTTCTCCTTCCCTGTTTTGAGAGGAGAGAGAGATAGAGAGAGAGAGAGAGAGAGAGAGAGAGAGAGAAAGCATGATATAGAGAGATAACGAGCAAGAGCCGCAAATGGATCACTGATATTATTGATGGGCTTTTCCCTGCTCTATGGGGGGATATGAACTGCCCCCCGGTCGAGCAGGCCAGCTGGCTGAGTGGCAGCTTGTCTCCCAGCTCCCCCGACACCACCAGTCCGTTTTTTGCCGTTTTTTTCCGGTCGTCCCCCCGAGCATTTCACGCCTGTCTCCGCTAGCCGGGGGAACGGCGCTCAGGAAATACGGAAGTTGGCCGGATCTCGTTAGATGAGTGTTGCGTTGAGCTTCGGCTTGGCTTTGATTTGGCTTCGGCTTTGGCTTAGCTTTACGCGTAGGCTTAGGCTTAGGCTTGTCTTTGGCTTAGGCCCGGCTTAGGCTCAGGGTTCAGCTAGGGTTTGGCTTAAACTTAGGCTTAGGCTTTGCTTAGGCTTTGCTTAGGCTTTGCTTAGGCTTTGCTTAGGCTTTGCTTAGGCTTTCCTTAGGCTTGGCTTAGGCTTGCCTTAGCCTTAGGCTTGGGTTTTAGGCTTGGCTTTGGTAGGCTAAGGCTTGTCTTAGGCTTAGACTTAGGCTTAGGTTAGGTTTCGGCTTAGGCTTAGGCTTAGGCTTAGGCTTCACTTGCGCTTAGGCTTAGGCTTAGGCCCGGCTTAGGCACAGGGTTCAGCTAGGCTTAAGCTTAGACTTAGGCTTAGGCTTTGCTTAGGCTTTACTTAGGCTTGGCTTAGGTTTGGCTTAAGCTTGCCATAGGCTTAGGCTTAGACTTTCCATAGGCTTAGGTTTAGGCTTATGCTTAGGCTTAAGCTTCGGCTTCGGCTTCGGCTTCGGCTTAGCCTTAACCTTCCCCCTACTTGTTTTTGTATCCATTGATGACCATTCGGGTGTCATGTCAAATCCGTTGCCCTCTCCACCCCTATTGCTTGTCATCCCCCGCATGTCAACCTGAACGGCAGTGTATGGGAGGGTGAAGCCGATGGTTTCCACCCTTTTTTGTGTGCCCTGTCGGCCGTCCTCGGCATCGGCCGTTCCGGACATTTCACCCTCCTTTCCATTTTTCCACAAAGGTCGCGGCGAGTGCCACCAGACGTCTGGCACTTCCATTCACAAAGCGCTTTTCTCTAGCGACGGGGCCGAAACGCTTACGCCATTAAAAAGGATCATATGAGCGTTTCCTAAAGAATCTCTGCTAGCCAGCCCTTTCCTAAAGAATCTCTGCTCGTTTGCCCAACCGTACCTCGTAGATTTTCATGGCTTCAGAGTATCCCGAAACAGCTGGTGTTGAAAGTTTCCTCAATGATCTGTGCTAGCTTGCCAGCTCCGATTCCTAAATGATCTCTGCAAGCCTGCCCAGCGCCGGATTCATCGCATTCCGAAAGAATCTCTGCTAGATTGCCCGGATCAAAACGTCTGGAATTCGCAAATGATCTCTGCTTGATTGCTTCTACGCTGATTTCACCCCGTCCTTATAGTCCACATTTTTTGCGCATTTTTCTTTGTTGTATGTCTGCACTTTTAGTATGTGGATTTGAGGGGGGATAGACGGAGTCTATCCTCTCAAATCCAGTTTTCCCACCCAAACACACATGTGATTTCACCGGACTTTTTAAGGGGCGCGTCAAGGCCTTTCTGATAGTACATTTTCCAGGCCTTGTTTTAGTGATAATTTGATGTTGCCCAATCCAATACGGTGCAAATTATAACCGTGGCTTGGGCCTAGGATGTGCGCTGCGCTTAGGCTTAGGCTTCGGTTTAAGCTTAGGCTTGGGCTTAGGCTTAGGCTTAGCCTTCATCGATTTTGATGATATTTATTCGCCACGAAGCTGAGCATTTTCTGCTCCCCATAACCGGACGGCGTCTTTGATTTTTTCGCAGTTCCCGGCCAAGGGATATGAGCTGGGACCCAGTGCTATGCAGAAAGATTATGCTTATGCTTGGGCATTGGCTTCGGCATAAGAAAATTGGGTAATTAACCGCAAACTTGGGTAATTGAACCGGGCGCCGCCGTGCCTTCCCACTCGCCCCCCACCTGGCCCACTGTCTGGGCAGATAGCCCAACCCTCTCCACCTCAATTCGTCAGTCGGTTCACCCCGACCTTCTGACCAATGGGTGTCAGGGCTCCCCTTAATGCCTGAAAATGGGTGGATGGCTCCCCTTAATGCCAAGAAAAAGCTGCAGCTTGTGAACTGCTTGAAAAGCTTCGGCTTTGCAGTATAAAATACTGGCTTGGCTACGTGTTCTACGTAGTCCAAATGCCTAAGCAACCGGTTGGTAAGGCTGCAGCCACAGGCGCGGCACTTACGAAAAAGCCTGGCCCATACACGTGGTGGCCGAAAAAGGCAACTTTCCCTCCAATTTTGACCTTGTGGCCCTGACCCCCCCCGCCCCTCAATGCTTTTCCACTGGCCCTGTTCCCCCCTAATGCTTTTCCCCTGGCCCCGTCCCCTCCCCCCTTCCCCCCTCCCCCCCCCCCCAAACCCAAACCCCAAAGACCCCAAAACCCCGACCTCTTGAACCCCAAAAACGGTCCTGACACCCAACCCTTTAGAAACATAGCACAGGAATCACTCTGATCTCTCTGAAAAAAGAATCTCTGCTAGCCTGCCCATTCTAATTCTAATGATCGATCCATTTGGCATCCTTGTTTTACCGATTACGCCATGAAATTCCTTTGTAATCTTCAATCTTGAAAACCCATTTAAAAGGGTATAATTGTCTAAAGCTTCGGAATTTCAGTCGATGCCGAATGTAGCCAGCTCCGTGTTCCGGATATTGTTAATAGCTCTGCCTTTTTCACCACTAATCGATGCGGGTCAAGATGTAGACTACGAGGACGAGAAGTTTTATGGTATTTTTTGAAATGTTTTTAGGCTTTATAATTAATTAAAACTTAAAGGAGGATTTTTATTGAAAATATTGATTTAGAGACGGGTACCAATTTCTCGGTGTTCCGGATATTGCCGCGGGATCAGAAAGAATTTCGATTTATGAGAGGACTCTATGATAATGCGTCGGCATTGGAGGTAGGTGGAATTTCTAAAGCGTCTTTGCTAGCTTTCTCCAGGTAATTCCTAAAAATTCCTTGCTGGTTTGCCCCGATTTTCAGTCTCTCTCTCTCTCTCTCTCTCTCTCTCTCTCTCTCTCTCTCTCTCTCTCTCTCTCTCTCTCTCCCCCTCTCTCTATCTATCTCTCTCTGTCTCACTCTCTCGCTCTCTCTCTCTCTCTCTCTCTCTCTCTCTCTCTCTCTCTCGCTCTGACCCCCAGTCAGCCGGGATTTCTCAAGAGTCTGCTAGCTAGACCATGCACATTCCCAAAAATCTCTGCTAGCTTGCCTACGAATTTTCAGAGTTTTTAAACTCTCAAAAAACCCCTGCTAGCCTGCCTTCCTCAATCCAAAAATTCCCCAATGGTCTCTGCTGGCTTTCCACTCCTTGCAGCAATGAATTTTTCAGCTCAACTTCTGGAAAACGGCCAAAAACGAGCGCGGCTTCTTCGACGTCATGGCCGGGGGGCCGTCTAGGGAAAATTTGGTGGAAAAACTGAAAAATCAGGGGATTCGCTTCGTGACGACGATCGACGACGTCGAGAGGTGATTTTAATATGAAATTGCATCAATTTGATTCCGATGCTGTATTATTTATTTTGAAATTACTCTATTTTTAGTCTAATCAAAGAGCGGGAAACCCGACGAAGACCACGACGTCTTCATGATGATGTCGATACGCCATATTATGATTTTACGAGATATGGAAGGTGAGTGGAAGCAGGCTAGCAGGGATCATTTGGGAATTGAAAGAGGCTAGCAGAGATTCTTTAGGAAAGGGCAGGCTAGCAGAGATTCTTTAGGAAAGGGCAGGCTAGCAGAGATTCTTTAGGAAGGGGCAGGCTAGCAGAGATTCTTTAGGAAGGGGCAGACTAGCAGAGATTCTTTAGGAAAGGGCAGGCTAGCAGAGATTCTTTAGGAAAGGGCAGGCTAGCAGAGATTCTTTAGGAAAGGGCAGGCTAGCAGAGATTCTTTAGGAAAGGCAGGCTAGCAGAGATCCTTTAGGAAATGGCAGGCCAGCAGAGATTCTTTAGGAATGGCAGGCGAGCAGAGATTCTTTAGGAAAGAGCAGGCTAGCACAGGCCACTTCGGAATTTGGCCAGCCAGCAGACTTCCTTGGGAATTAGGTGGCCGCAGGCTAGCAGAGCCCATTTAGGACGGGAGGGCAAGCTAGCAGAGATCCTTTAGGAATCATGCGTCTGCGTATCATACGAATTACAGCTACGCCCAGATGGTGTCATGGATGCGAGCTCTTGCTCGAAAATACCCAAAATTAATCCAGTTTATCTCGATCGGGACGAGCCATGAGGGTCGATCGATCGACGGGCTAGAGGTGAGGGAGAGAGAGAGAGAAAGAGAGAGAGAGAGAGAGCGAGAGAGAGAGAGCGGGAGAGGGAGAGAAATTTTAAAGGGATTCTGACAGCAAACTTTCAGATAGGTACAAAATCTCCTAACAAGAAGCTCTTCTGGGTGGACGGTGGGATCCACGCGCGAGAATGGGCCGCCCCTCACACGGCATTATACTTTATTAACCAGGTAGGAGCAAACAATCTCTGCTGGCCTGCCCTTTCCTAAAGAATCTCTGCTAGCCTGCCCTTTCCAAAAGAATCTCTGCTAGCTCAGCCTAAATTTTAGCTAATCTCCCGCGCCGATGACCCCTCAATCCGGCCCTACATCGAAAAGATCAGCTTCGTCATCGTCCCCTGTCTCAATCCAGACGGCTACGAGTTTACGCGCAGCTCATCAAATCCACACGTTGGTTTTGGTTGCCGTTGTCGCTGATTTTTAGGTCCGACTGTGGCGCAAAAATCGCTCATCGATCAAGTGCCGTAAAGATGACTGGGGGCGGAATCGATGCTGCCGAGGCGTCGATTTGAATCGGAATTTCGATTTTCACTTCAGAGGTGAGGGGGACTGGCAGAGGTCATTTGATGGAAAGTGGCAGCTTGCATAGACCTATTGGAAACATGATAACGCGGGAACATCTTGAAATGCCTAAACTTTGGGGCAGGCTAGCAGAGATTCTTGTGGAAAGGACAGGCTAGCAGATATTCTTTAGGAAAAGGGCAAGCTAGCATAGATTCTTGAGGCAAGGGCAGGCTAGCAGAGATCATTTGAACTTGCAGAAAGCGGGTCCTCCGACGACCCGTGCCAAGAGATCTACGAGGGTGATAGCGCATTCAGCGAGCCGGAATCAAGGTGGGTACGCTTCACTATCCCTTTAAAATTTTACTTAGCGAAATAAACCTTGAAAATATATTTTTAGAGCCGTCCGAGATGCTGTACTTTCGAGAAGGTACCGCGGTCGTATCGAGGCGTTCATTACGCTGCATACCTATTCTCAGGTGATTTTTGGACTGTTTTTCTCATTTTTTATTGCTTTACTTAGGTTCTATATTTATTCTCTGGACGATCGATTAAGCCTCTCCAGTCCCTTTAACCTGACCTTTAACCGTTTTTTTCAGATTTGGATCCACCCCTACGGCCACAAGAAGGACAGCTATCCGGGTGATATCCAAGAATTGGTGGGTGGCAGCTAGCAGAGAGCATTAAGGAGGGGTAGGCTAGCAGAGGTTCTTTGGGAAAGGGCGGGCTAGCAGAGATCTTTTTGGAACCAAGCCCAACCCCCAATTTAGTACGACGTCGGCAAGAAGGCTACCCGCGAGCTGGCCAAGCTCTACGGAACCAAGTATATTCTTGGCAGCGGCGCCGACACGTTGTGTAGGTTAAAAATATCTTAATCTGCTTTAAAGGAGCATCGAAGGCAAATCCATAGCAAAATCTGATCAGCAGAAGCTCTAGATTGATTTTTCTAGACCCCGCTTCCGGTGGTTCGGAAGATTGGGCGAAGAAGCATGCGAAGATCAAGTTTGTGTACCTGCTGGAGTTGAGGCCGGATGAGAAGAGTGGGTTTTTAGGATATTAAAGAGAGAGAGAGAGAGAGAGAGAGAGAGAGCGAGAGATAGAGAGAGTGATTTTCTAGACTGGGACGGCTTCATCCTGGAGGAGCGCGAGCTGGTCCCAACCGCCAAAGAAACTTGGGCTGGCGTGAGGGTGGTTGCTGATGCAGTTATTGCCCGGCTAGGGGCATCAAACGGTCAGTTTTTAGGGGTGTATATGCCTAAACCTAAGCCTAAGCCTAAGCCTTACCTAAGCCTCAGCCCAAGTCTAAACCTAAGCCAAAGCTAAGCCTAATCCCAAGCTTCAGCTCAGAAATCTGCTACTACTTTCCCTTCCAGCGCACAAATAATCGCTGCTAACCTGCCCGTCTATAACCTATCCTCCCCTTTAAGCTCAGGCCGCCCCGCCCACTCGCGCTCCGGATCGTTTCCGGTTCGGCAACGGTGAGGAGGGATCGTGCTGGGACGCCCGGCACGCGTGCAAGAAATGGGTGGCCGAGAAGGAGGATCTCTGCAAGACGGTGCCCGTGTTTATGAGGGAAAATTGCGCGTATTCGTGTGGATATTGTTGAATGGATCTTGACTATTGGAAGCTTTTTCATATTTTTTGAATGCGTCCCTCTAAAATTCTCTCGCTTTCTCTCGCTTTCTCTGACTCTCTCACTCTCTCTCGCTTTCCCTTTCTCTTTCTCTCGTCTCTCTCTCTCCATTTGTCTCTCTCATTCTCTCACTCTCTCCGATTTTTTAGTTCTCTAGGCTTTGAAAATTGATTTTTTGAGATTTTTCTTCGAATTTTTTTTGCATGTCACAATTTGCAATTTTTATATGTGATTTTCTGCTCCATGACTGACCCTCGGTGATGTACACACAGATGCAAATAAAGACATATCAGCAAATCAACGATTCATGACCTCAAAAAAATCACCATAATAGCAGTCTAGACCTCACAGATCGCCCAACGCGTGGCTTCCAAGTTCCTTTAAGGCCAGATTCCAAGCGAGACCCGCCCGAAAACAACGTTTCTTTGGCCCCCCTAATTGAACAGACGGCCGGCCAATGGCCTAAGTTTGAAAAAACACACATTCTGGATGGTCTCTGCTGGTGTGCCCGGATAATCCCAAATGGTCTCTGCTAGCCTGCCCTTTCCGAAAGAATCTCTGCTAGCCTGCTCCGATAATTTCGAGCGCCCCGCTCTTTGGCCTAATCGGAACGCGCTAATCTCAATCTGACCTGTTGATAGGTGATTTGCGTAGCGTCTCTCACTCCCTCACTCTCTCTCTCTCTCTCTCTCTCTCTCTCTCTCGTTCTCTCTCCTCGAAAACACCAACACCCCCCTCCGCGCCCAATAATTTGTTTTGGTCGGAGGGTAGGCATCAGACATTTTTCAGAGTCGCGCTCTCTTCGGGTGGCCGTGAATTCGTGTCGGGTGAGGGACGCCGGCGCGGAGGTCGAGATGGGATGCAAATTGGGGGCCCTCTTTCGCTTTTCGACTGAGACTTCGGAATGGGCCCCCGAACTTGGGCCCCAGAGTCGACGATCACCCGGAGAGATCTCTAGCTAGGGAGCTCGAGCTTTTTAGGGTATGCTTAAGATCAAGCTTAAGAATGATTTTTTTGAAGCATTACGATTTTTCAATACAAAGTATTTCTATCAATCGCTATCTCTCTCTCTCTCTCTCTCTCTCTCTCTCTCTCTATCTCTCTCACTCTTCTCTTCTTTTTTTGATCCACACGACAGCTGTTTATCGTATAGACGTATACAAAATTTATCAGTAAAACGCCTTTTTTTTTACCCCGACGTTGCTACTGTAAAAATCGTCCTGGCAGGTGCATCTTTGGGACCATTCCGCCCCTTATAATGTCATTTGTACAGCAAAGTTCTATACGTTCGCAACTTGAAAGTCTCCGATTTTCTAGCTCTCTCTCTCGCTCTCTCTCTCTCTCTCTCTCTCTCTCTCTCTCCCTTCAATCTTTGGTTGGTGCACCCAGAAGGCCTTTTGTTCCAAAACTTTCCGGTTGGCCGCCTAATTTTGAGGGTGGCACCTGCCGGGAGTTCAACATTTTTTTGAGATTTTTTAGATTACGTGAAAAAGCAATATTTTAGCTTTTAAAGGGCTCGGAAAGTCTCAAGATTCCTTACACTCCGTAATCCGACAACATCGTAACTACATTTCTCACACTCCTGATTGTTTGGATAAATATTTTCTTACCACAGCTAACTCCCTCTCTCTCTCTCCCTCTCTCTCTCTCTCTCTCTCTCTCTCTCTCTCTCCCTCTCTCTCCTTCACCCTCTCGATTTTTGAGGTCCCGAAAGGCCTTCTCGGTACCTCGGCCCTCCGATAATACGTTTAACTACGATGAATGGGTGAAAATACACGGGGCGCTTTTCACGGGTTCTCCTCCCGGCACGACAACGCCGTTCCAACTTCCAGAATTCCTGGACGCCCACAAGTTGTTGAAGTTCCTGCATATAGCTCACGAAATTTCCTATTGACGTCAGACATCTTGGCAGATTTGGAATAGGGCTATGCCAAAATCCCGACAGCCGAAATCCCGAGAGCTAGAATCCCCACAGCCATAATCCCGACACCCGTAATCTGTCAGTGAAAATACCGATAACCAAAATCTCGACAGCCGGCTTCCCGACAACACGAATCTCGACATGCAAAGAGGTGTTTAAAAGGAGACCGGCATTGAAACTAGCGCCCAAAATTTTGTCGGGATTTACGTTGTCGGGATTTTCCTCGTCAGTATTTGGCTTTCGGGATTTTGGACCATCTAGATTTTGGCTTAGGCTGTCGGGGTTTTTGGCTGCCGGTGTCTTTTTTCCGGGATGGGCTGTCGGTATTTTCGCGGTCGGAATTTTTTTGTTGTGGATCATGGCTGTCCGTATTGTGGCTTCTCGGGATTTTCGTTGTCGGTATTCTGGCTATCGGTATTTTGGCTGTCGGAATTTTTGGCTGTGGAGATTTGTTGGGATTTTTGCTGCCGATATTTTCGCGTTCTTTCTCAATTCCTAAACGCTCTCCGCTAGCCTCCCTGATTTTCGATGCCCTGACTTTGATCTCTCGTCGGGTTCAAATTTTTTCGCGCTTTTTTTGTAGGCTCGTCACCCGAAATCGGCCTCCTAAAAACGGGGCGCAAAATAGAATTCGCGGCTCTTGACGACATTTAATTTCAGCCAGCATCACGTTGGCCCCCTCGGTGGGCCCCCAAAAATTTATGGCCCAATCTTCCTGGGGGCCCAGGAGGGGCCCAAAGCGGGGTTTTGGAATTTTCTTAGCTCCCGAATTCTTCTTTGCCCCGGGAATTCCTGGGGAGCTTTTACATTATTGGGGGGAAACAATTTTTGCTATATTTAATGTGGATATTCCAGGCAATGGCTATGAAACATTTTAATCGTCTTTTTAACTAGATTTTTCTGCATTGAAGGGTAGATAATACTATCTAGATAAATAGGAATTGCGAAAATATCATCGTTTTGTCGAAAAATCGATATTTTTGTATTGGCGACAAGGTTTTACTGTTACGAATAGTAAAATAAAATTAAAAATAACTTCAAATTTTGTATCTAAAACCTCTCCCCCCCCCCCGATATTGCAACAGCACTTTTCGAGGAAGTTCGGAGGGCAGGATTTCAAGGCGTTCCGCTACTTTCCAAGAGCCGGAATTATTTTTTGCAGGAGGAGCGCGAGAAACAGCTGCAACTACGTGATAGAGGACGGAAATTCGGATTTTGCCGCTGCTAGGGCATAGGATTTGGCCGGCGGCCAAATCCTATCATGGGAATGGAGGGGGTCGGAACGAAGGGCTGAATGTTATGTTTTTAGTCTGAAGCTTGGAAAGAGGCTTTTTAAAGGGAACGTGACACCTAGGTCTCTTTGTCTGTCCCTCGCACGCTCACACTCTTTCTTTCTCTCTTTTTCTCTCGCTCTCTGTATCGCTCTTTCTCGCTCTCTGTCTCTCTCTGTCTCTGTCTCTCTGTCTCTCTCTCTCTCTTTCTCTCTCTCAGTTCCCAAACATCAAAACCATCTGGCAGCAAACTAATCCGCCGGCTGGAAATCAGTCATAAGGGAGTTCAGGAGCGAGAGAGAGACACAGAGAGAGAGAAAGAGGGAGAGAGACAGAGAGAGACAGAGAGATGCTTCTTCTGATGAATAATGCGACGTTGCCCTCCCCCCGTCCAGGTGCCCGGCGGCTCCTTGCCATTCTCCAATCTTTTTCTGACCCCCACACATGCTCTCAGTCATTAGGAGAAGGTCGAGCAGTTCCGTGTTGTGTTTCATAAAGGAGGCTAGCAGAGAACATTTGGGATAAGTGTAAGCTTAGGCTTCGGCACGGGCTTGGGCTTATGCTTAGCTTAGGCTTAACGTAAGCTAAGGTTTAGATTTAGGCTTAGCTTAGGCTTAGGCTTAGGTGTTGGCTTAGGCTTGGCTTAGGCATAGATTTAGGCTTAGGATTAGGCTTCGGCATGGGCTTGGGCTTAGGCTTAGGCTTAGGCTTAAGCTTAGGAATTTGAGGCAAGCTAGCAGAGGCCCTTTGCCTAAAATGTAGCAATTTTTCTAGCATTGGCCATTTCCCAAGTACATTCTTCCCTTTCAAAAAGATGCAAAGACAGTTGCATGTCTTAGGGCCCTCAGGGGACCCATTTTATAAGGCCTCCCCCGGGCCATTGCCGAATAAAAGCGCGCGTTCCGCCCCGCTTCACCGGACACTCTTGGGTGAGCCGAATGTTTTTATTGGGAATTTCCCAAGGGAGCTCGGGCTCGTTTTTGTGTTCTTGATCTTGTTTTTCGTGTAGTAGAAATTTTGGGGTATTGTAGAGATGTAATTTTTTTTGAAGTCCCTCACTCTCTCGCTCCATCTCTCTCACTCTCTCTCACTCGCTCTCTCTCTCGCTATCCCGCTTCATTTCCTTTGCGATTGTTTTTAAGATTTTCTTGTTTCAAGATACGGTATTTTACCCTAAATTCCACTTTTCCAGATGACATGACCGCTCAAATTCAAATATTGGCCATTAGCCTCATTTTTTGGGTCTACCAAACTAGAGCCCAAGATAACACGCTGCTGTCTAACTTCTCCACCTACTCCTCGAAAGAAACCCGCGGAAAACCGGATCCAGATTATGGGCGGGAGACGGATGAGCAGAGGTTTTTGAGGAACCTGACTATCTGAAAAAATTCTCTGAATTTAGACTACTCTACCATATCCTGAGAAACTATGAAAAAGCCGTCCGCCCAGTCCGGAACGCGTCTACACCCGTGGTGGTTAAGCTGGGCATGACGATGACGAATATTTTTGATATGGTAAGGCAAGTTAGCAGAGGTCGTTGGGGAAATTGAGAGGGGCAGGCTAGCAGAGATTCTTTAGGAAAGAGCAGGCTAGCAGAGGATTTTAGGAAAGAGCAGACTAGCAGAGAGCATTTGTGAACAAAAGGCGTTTTTTTTCAGGACGAGCGCAATCAGGTTCTCACTATTAATGTGTGGTTGGATCAGGTCAGTCTAATTTTCGAATTAAGTTTTAATTTAAAAATTTAGGAATGGGAAGACGAGTTGCTTCGTTGGAATCCCGAAGATTTTGGCGACATCAAAACGATTCGGTTGCCCTGTGATTTGATCTGGCTGCCGGATATTGTGCTCTATAATAAGTAAGCCTATAACATTAAATTTGTTTAAGTTTACTTAAATAACAATTAAATAACTTCATAACGCTTCTTTTCCTTTCCAGTGCCGACGACTACACAGCAGGCTTTATGCGCTCGAGGGCTATGGTCGTGCATACGGGCGAGGTTTTCTGGCCTCCGCCTACACAATTGAGATCGACATGTAAAATTGATGTAAGAAAATAAAACAAATAAGTTAAATTTCATAGTTCAAGTAAATTAAAGGTCAAAGGAAACAAAAATTTATGCAAATTATAGGTGACCTACTTCCCGTTCGACTCGCAGCATTGTAGCCTGAAGTTTGGATCGTGGACTTATCATGGTAAGAGAAAGAGAGAGGGAAAGAGAGAGAGAGAGAAAGAGAGAGAGAGAGAGAGAGAGAGAGAGAGAGACAATGCCACTTTCAAATTTCAGGTCTCCAAGTCGATATTACCAATCGCAGTGCCAACATCGATTTGACGAATTATGTAACTTCCGGAGAATTTGATTTAGTTGCGGTATATCAGGTAGATTATCAAATAACCTGTTTTTTTATTAAATTTGATTTTCTTCCATTCTTTAATGAATTTCTAACCCTCTAATATCATTATTTCCAGAAACGGCGTGTCGTTCTTTACACTTGCTGCCCGGAGCCGTACCCAGACATCACTTTTTACATCCATATTCGGAGGAAGGTAAGATATATCGAAGTTTTGTAAAAAATTAAAATCTGAGTTAAGACCCTTTATTACATGTACAATATCGTGTTCCCGTGCTTGATGATGTCTATACTTACTTTATTGGGTAAGTTAAATTGTTCCCCAATGATCGCTGCTAGTCTGCCCTTTTCTAACGAATCTCTGCTAGCCTGCCTCAAATTCGCAATAAGAGTTTTTAGTGTTCTGGCTGCCCCCGGATTCTGGAGAGAAAATCGCGCTCGGAATTACTGTATTGCTGGCGTTTTCCGTAAGTTTTAGAGCACTCTCTCTCTTTCTCTCTATCTCTCTCTCTCTTTATCTTTCTCGTTCTGTTTCTGCCTCTCGCTATCTCTCTCTAATCTCTAAATCTTTAGGTGTTCGTGCTAGCCATAGCGGAAAAGATGCCGGAAACCTCCGATTCGATGCCGCTAATCGGCGTCTATCTTACCGTAGTCATGGGCATGACGTCTGTGTCGGTCGTCATGACCGTACTTGTAAGCTTTAAATTTCACGATGGTATTCTTTATTGTTTTACTCTCTTTAAGTTATAATTAGGCTTAACCCAAAATTTCATTATTGATGATTTCAGTCTCAGTCCTTTCTAAATCTAAACTCGCGGTTATAAATCAACCTTTAAATTCACAATCCCATTGATTAAAATTAAAATATAACATTTTTGTGTGCACTAATCCTTTTGTTAGATTCATTAGCGTTTTACGGGGCTGGAGTGTTAGCGGGGGCGGGGGGGAACCAAATTTTTCTCTGTGATTCTCTAAGGCCCTATAACAAACTATAGATGATTTTTACGCATTTGACACGGTGTTTATATAGAAAAACAATATCAACAATGATGCAAATTTTCGAAAATGTTTGACTTTTTAGGGCCAAAAATGTATGAAAATGATCAAAAAGATAAAGAGCTTCTAATTTTCAAAAATTTTCATAAATATTTTGTACCTTTTCAGCAATCAACAACTACTTAAAACACGATAAAAATCAGAATACATCATCAAAATGTTTTCCACAACAACAACAAAAGAAAAAGTGGTGCCCCCCCGCTAACAGTTCAGAACCGATTCGCGCGTAGTTGTGTGTTAGATTTTTGCTAGATTTCTGGGTTCAAAAATGCGCATCAATATTATTTTTCATACCAGGGTTGAAAAGCCGCTTCGCGACTTTTCAACCCTGGCCCCGTCCAACCCCCATAGTCTTCTTCACTCTGCATAAGTTCCTTCATTCCGATTAGAAAAATGAAAAAGTCACTGTCTCGCTCATTATATAGGCTACCGCAACTTCCGGCCTATGCTAATTTTTTCCTACCAAAGAGGGTTCCCGGTTTTACAACAAAAACGTAATTTTAATGTCGAAAACTACGGTTTTTGTAAAATCTGGTATGCGTGCAGTCATCTCGTGGCTATTACGCACCTAATGACGTATCATACGTAGCCTAATACCCTTCCCTTCTTGAGATAACCTCCGGACACCCTGACGGAAGTTGCATGCAAAGTGTCACACACACACACAAACACTATTTTTTTTTATATAGTAGGATATTACTAGAAAACCCTCCGTTTCCTCAGTTCGTTTGCCGTATTTAGGTGTACCACATTCACGATAAGTCGCGCACGGGCGGCCGAGCCGACCGGGTAATTTTATTTGCCGGCTTGAAGCCTGGTCCTCGATTCGTCTGCTTCTCTGCTCGCAAACTGTCCTTGTCTTTTTTGCTGCCGTAACCGTTTTTGGCATGCATTCGGATTCGCAAAATTGCTTCAAATTTCAATTCCACCTCAAACCTATCCATTTCCAGCGCCTGTGCCGTCTGCCGTGGCAAACCGTGGCGTTTTTGCGACTGTAAAAATTGAAAAAATAGATTAAAAAAATTTTAATCTGTCGTTTCAGGTCCTGAATTTCCACCATCGGGGCCCGTTCCACGACCCGGTGCCGGAATGGGCGCGGATATGGATTTTGGACCGGTTGAGAAGGTTTTTGAGGATGAAGCTGCCGCATACAGGTTAGCAGGCTAGAAGGGATTTTTAGGAATCGAGAAGCAGGCTAGCAGAAATTCTTTAGGAAAGGGTAGGCTAGCAGAGATTCTTTAGGAAAGGGCAGGCTAGCAGAGATTCTTTAGGAAAGGGCAGACTAGCAGAGATTCTTTAGGAAATGATAGGCTAGCAGAGATCATTTAGGAATGTGTGGCAAGTTAGCAGAAACCGCTTGCAGGCTACGGTGATGCTACCAAAGCTGCTTCCGCCACAGGAGCTCCAGGCATGATGCGAAGGCTTAGCGTTCGGATGGCGATGAACGGGGTGAAGGGAGAGGTACGATCCTCACTCTCTCTCGCTCTCCCTCTCTCTCTCTCTCTCACTCTCTCTCTCTCTCTCTCTCTCTCTCTCTCTCTCCCTCTCCCTCCAGCTAGCAACGAAAATCTAGGTCGAATCTGACAACATCAACGAAACAAACTACGTCCTCCACCGCTACCTGAGCACCGAGATCCCGAACGGGAAGCCGAGCGTCGGCAAGCAGTCCAATGGGGACGTCCTCAAGGAGGTATTTCCCTTTAGGCATTCTTATTCCTAATTTTTGAGGAGAATCCGGTGCGTTGTAATGGCAGCTTTTCGCGGCCAGCCAGCCGCTGCAGTGAAGACATCAACGAGAAGCTGTTGAAAGCGCTGCAGGTATAGCAGAGATTATTTAGGAAAACGCAGGCAAGCAAAAATTATTGGAGTTGCAGGTACTAATCAAGCGGCAACAGCTCGAAGATGACGGTCAAGTGCTCGCAAATGAATGGCGTCAGATTGCGCAGGTAGAATCCGAGAATTTTTCGCGTTGCGTCAGAGTCGCGTTGCACACCGCGTCAGGAAACATTACGTGCACCGTGGCGTGTCGTGTCCCGCACCATACGTTGTGACGCGTCGCATCGTGCGTCACCTCGCGCATCGTGCGTCTTATCGGGCGTAGCATTACGTCGCGTACTGCGTCGTGTCATGCGTCGCGTGGTGCGCTGCGCGGCGGCGCGTCATACGCGCGTCTTTTGCGCGCGTCGCGGACCCATAGTGTTTTGCCTTCATAACCCCTTTAGTAAACCAAAAAACCCAATTCTTTCAGGTTATCGATCGTCTCCTTTTCTGGATATTCCTCGTGGCTACTACTGGCATCACCACGACGCTGCTGATCATCATCCCCTCGATCAACTACGCCAGCGAGACGGCCGACTTTGACGAGAAGCTCTACGGATTGCATTGAGATTCTTTGTACTATTTTAAAAATTCAATTTGCAAGAAATTTTTTGACCTGCTTATTAATGCCTAATCGCTGAATTTAATTGAATCCACCCAATCGATTTTTTTTCTTCTGCTTGGAATTTCTGATGCTTTTTGGGTCCATTTTCCGACGGGTTCACGCCACCCCATAAACAACTGTACGAATTTGATTGAATAAATTGTTTTTTCGAGGGTACAATTGCTCACTAGCTTAAAGGGGCTTTGGCTTCGGCTTAGAGTTGGGCTAGCTTAGGCTTAGGCTTCGGCTGCGGCTTAGCCTTGGGCTTAGGTATAAGCTTTGGCTTATAAGGCTTAAGTTTGCGCCCCGGCTTACGTTTATGTTTACACTTAGGCCATACTTAGGCTTAGGCTCAGGCATAGCCAGGGGGCAGTCCGAAATTGGTAGTAAAGGGTTACGAGACGCTCCGTCCAAGCTTCTTAGTTCATCTACAGCCTAGGCTTAACTTAGCTTTAACTATGCCTAGCTGAGGCTTGGACTTAAGCCTAAGCCCAAGCTAAGCTTATCTTGAGCTTCAACTTGCTCTACGAGGTCAAAATAGGGCCATTTAGGGGTTAACTTAGAGCCAAGCTTGGCTTGGCTCCGGCTTCGTTTGCATGAAGGTCAGCTCAGGCGTAGGCTTTTGCATAGCTTTTCCAGAAGCTTAGAGCTTCAAAAACCGGCCTTTGGAGCGTCTTGTACTCATAATCCGGACTGCCCCCCCCCCCCCCCCAGTGCATTAGCACTGACTGGGGGCCGGTATCTCAAAAAGATAGCTTACCCGCGCAAAACGGACCCAAAATTCGGATGCAGCACAAAAAACTGGTCTAGCGTGAATCAGCAAAACTCTATTCACGCCCGCCTTGCTGACTCGTGAAGTTCCCGTGGCCACAGAAACGACTGGTACAGCTTACCTTGCATCACCGGCCTGCCCTATCCCTCGCACGTCACCTCAAGGGTGGGTGGTCTGAGAATCGGACAGAAGAGTTCCCGACCGTGTCGAGAGGCATGACACGGCCGTACCGGAGCGCCTTACACAGCTTACGCCCGCCCCGACCGATATATACGCACCCCTACGCATAGGTGGTCGGGACAAGCCAGCTGCTGTTGTGGGACATAGATGAGCGGCGCATCCCTTCCTTTGGGTAGAAGAAAGGACCTGGAATAGTCTCCTGATTCCGGGATGCCGTACCCCTCATCAACCGCTCTCAGGCTTGTCGGTGACTCAGGGAGGACACATGCGCGGGCGAGGGTGTCGCCAATCTTTCTTAAATACCCCCCTCCCACCGGGTGGGCCAGGTGGGTGGCGTTTCGGGGGCGCGGGGATGACATCTGGAAATGGCCCTAAAATGGCTGTATTTTCTTGGTGATTTCTGAAATTTTCGTCACGGATCCGGAACGTCATCAGCTATCCCTCCTATAAGTTTAAAGCAAAAAACTTAAAGCCGAGGGCTGTTAGATCGATTGAATTGCGCAAATGTAAAAATGACCGCAAAACCCTTTCCAGCGAAGGTTCAGACTTACAAGGGAAGGGCACGTGGACGAAGTGGAATTTCGCAAAACCCTCGCGGCTACCCCCCGGGTAATCGACTATGGAGAACACGATGCCGTTTTCCGATTTTCCTGCCGAGGCCTGTGGACAGAGATACAGCACTTCCGGAAAATGACGATTTGCATGCGAAAAATTAGAATGGGGGAAGCTTTATTAGGCTCGCTCATCAGTATGGAATCACCGGTCGGATGGCCGATTGGTAAGCAATTCGCTTGATGGGATACTGACGAGGGTACGGATCCTCTCACGATTTTTTCGTTTTGCTTTTTGACCAGTGGTTTTCGAACAAGGTTTCATTGCTATTTTTGCCGCGATAACGCTACATTTTTAATTAATGCGTACGTTATTGCTGAGTAACCAAATCTAAAATACTATCACAAACTTTAGGAAACTTTCGCCTGATGGGAGGATCGCTGCCCATTCTCGCGAATATTTTTTAACTTTCAATTTTTTTTTGGTGGGATAGCTAAATCTATGATATTCATCACACTAAAAAATTTTGTCGAAGTCAAGGAAATTCTGGACTTGTGCAAAAAGTTCCTGTCAAAAAGCAAAACGAAAAAATCGTGAGAGGATCCGTACCCTCGTCAGTATCCCATCAAGCGAATTGCTTACCAATCGGCCATCCGACCGGTGATTCCATACTGATGAGCGAGCCTAATAAAGCTTCCCCCATTCTAATTTTTCGCATGCAAATCGTCATTTTCCGGAAGTGCTGTATCTCTGTCCACAGGCCTCGGCAGGAAAATCGGAAAACGGCATCGTGTTCTCCATAGTCGATTACCCGGGGGTAGCCGCGAGGGTTTTGCGAAATTCCACTTCGTCCACGTGCCCTTCCCTTGTTAGACTTAGGCTCAGACTTGGCTTTCGGCTTAGACTTATGATTAGGCTTAGGCTCAAGCTTAGCTTAAACTTAAAATTAAGCTGAGACAGGCTTACATTAAGCTTCGGCTGTAGATGTTGGTTTAGGTATAGGCTTAGGTTTATGTATAGGCTTGGGCTTGGCTTGGGCTTAGGCAGCGGTTAGGCTTGGCTTAAGATTAGGCTTAGGTATAGGCCTAGGCTTAGGCTTAGGCTTAGCACAGCTGCAAAATGACAAATACAGTTTTATTCAGACGCTTCACCAAGGGATGCTCTGCTTCGGTTTCTCATACGTTGTCGGGCCGTACGGGTTGGCGGCGCAGAACTTCTTGCACGTAGCTCTATCCTGAGGGGCGCAGAAGTCCATGACAGTCTCGTGGGGCTGGCAATCTTTGTGGGAGTAGATCAGGCGAGGTCCGTGGTAGCGCCGGGGCTGAAAATGGCTAAATGATATCTGCTAGCTTGCCTGCAATTCTCAAATGAGCTTTGCTAGCTGGCCTGGTTTATTGGAAAACCTCCAGTTTCCCAATTTCAAAATTTAAAGTATCGGAATTCCACAATTTATCGGGGAGGGGAAGAGGAACTTTTTTTATGAATCTAGAAATGCCTAGCAATTTAAAAGAAAGTAAGTTATAGTGTTTTTAGTAATATATAACTATATTTTAAGTATAAAAACTTCCTAAAAACTTTTAAAAAGTCGAAAATTTGGTTAAAAATTGGCCATTTTCGATGGAAAATCGATATTTTCGGGATTTTTTAATGCAATTTTGTAAAGCTCTAACGTTTAGCTATCGTAAATACTATTTAAAAACACTTCCACAATTCATATTTAAAAAAATTAGTTCCTAAGAAAAAAGTGACCCCCCCCCCGATAATGCAAAAGAACCAATTCGTGAGATCGAAATTTCAGAACGCCGAAATCCCGAAATACCCACCACACAAATCCCGAATCCGGCGTACGGGTTTGCGTTCTTGCAGTATTCTGTCTCGCCGCAGTGCTTGATGGAGTGCAGGCATTCCTTGGGCTGTTTTCGTATTTTATGTTCCGCGAGGAATTCTCGGGCAGCCTAAAACGTGTTTTTGTTGTATTTCCGTTATGATCTCTGCTAGCTGGCCTTGGACTTCTCAAACGATCTCTGCTAGCCTGCCCCTTCTTAAAGAATCTCTGCTAGCCTGCCCTTTCCTAAAGAATCTCTGCTAGCCTGCCCTTTCCTAAAGAATCTCTGCTAGCCTGCCCTTTCCGAAAGAATCTCTGCTAGCCTGCCCTTTCCTAAAGAATCTCTGCTAGCCTGCCCTTTCCTAAAGATCTCTTCTAGCCTGCCCTTTCCTAAAGAATCTCTGCTAGCCTGCCCTTTCCTAAAGAATCTCAGCTAGCCTGCCCTTTCTTAAAAAAATCTCTGCTAGCCTGCCTTTTCCTAAAGAATCTCTGCTAGCCTGCCCTTTCCTAAAGAATCTCTGCTAGCCTGCCCTTTCCGAAAGAATCTCTGCTAGCCTGCCCTTTCCTAAAGAATCTCTGCTACCCTGCCCTTTCCTAAAGAATCTCTGCTAGCCTGCCCTTTCCTAAAGAATCTCTGCTAGCCTGCCCTTTCCTAAAGAATCTCTGCTAGTCTGCCCAATCCGAATTCTCAAATGATCTATGCAGGTTTGCCACCATTCCATTACGATATAAAAACATTGGCGGAAATTAAAATTTAAAATGTTTGGTTGTTTCCTAATTATTCCATTTGAGAAAAAGCGGGGCAACCAGCAGAGCCTTTTTTAGGAATTAAAAATTTATTTTACAAAATATTTTAACCTATACTCACCGCCTCATCAGCCCCACAACATTGCAGCCCGGCCAGCGCTACCGTAGCAACAGTAATCCACAGGGTACGCATCTTGTCTCGGAAGCCAAAATTTCCGGAGATTTCTCCCATTTTATGGCCGCCGTTGATTTATTCGGGTTTTTGTGTGTTGAATTTTGAATTGCAACGATTTTGAGGGTCCAAATGGCTGAGAAAACGGCCGCTTGAATCCTCAATTCAGCACTTCCGGCCCGGAAAAAGGCCCGAGCTTCGGGCTTTCAAAAAACGCAACTACAGGCTACATTTTGAAGCTGGATGGCTATGAAAAAGCCAAGTAGCCGTTTTTCACATAACAGGTGTCAAAATTGGAGCAAAATCAACAGTTTTTTTTTGACAATTTCGTCCAGGCTTTACGGTACCATCTTAAAAAGCATTAGCGAATTGATATTAGTTGCTACAAAGTTTAATTGTTAAAATTAAAACCGAGAATTAATTTTTGAATGGTATTTTGAAATTTTGAATTCATCAGCTAAATTAGCGGCATCGAAAATTACTATCAGGACGCTTTGCCATCACGAGGCCAAAATTTCTTTTTGTCGAAATTCCATTTTAACAAAGTTTATTTATCCCAAAGATCCAAAAAAAAATTGAAATCGCAGCGTATCAAACTTTCAAAAAACAAAATGTCGAAAAAGAAATGCCGGCAAAATGAAATCTCGATAAAATGAAATGTCGACAAATGAAATTTCGATAGAATTAACTTTTCATTCTGATTTTCGACAACACGAAAATAACCTCCAAAAACTGATTAATCTGGCACAAAATACGGAAACAAAATCAATATTTATCCGGGGTCATATCAGGGAGGAATCGGCGAAGAGGAGGTTGTCTCCTCCAGCTGGCACTTCCCGATGCATTCATCGAATTGCCGGCACCGCTCTGGGTCGGCGACGGCACAGCTAGACCCGGCCTTGCCGGAGCAATCAGCTTTCTCCAGACATTCGTCTTCTTTCAGCTGCTGAAAATGTCCGAAAATGACCGCTGCTAGCATGCCAGCAATCCCCAAATGGTCTCTGCTAACCTGTCCTTTTTAGTGCACAAATGTTCTCTGCTATCCTGCCCTTCAAATTCCCCAATAATATCTGCTAGTTGCCACCTACCACACAGTATCCCTGAATGAATTTCCGGTCCGAGGTCCGCAGGCATTTCCCTCGTACTCCGCACTTGCTGTCGTCCATGCAGGGTCTCGGGCGGAAGAGGCTCTGGAATGGGTTCTCAACGATTCTCCCTCGCCCCTCACTAACTCGCTCTCTCTCTCTCTCTCTCTCTCTCTCTCTCTCACTCTCTCTTTCTCTCGCTCGCTATCTATCTCTCTCGCTCCGTCTTTCTCTCATTCTCTCGCCCTCTCCCTCTCCCTCTTTCTCCCACTCTCGTTCTTGCTTTCTCTATCTCTCTCACTCTCTCTGCCACTCTCTCTTTCTCTTTCTCTTTCTCTCTCATTCTCTCTCTCTCTCTCTATTTCTCTCTCATTCTCTCTCTCTCTCTCTCGTTCTCTCCCTCTCTCCCTCCATTTATGAATTTTAATAGCACGTATTTAAAATAATACTTACCGATTCCACCATTACCAAGTAAGCCAAGCATAATATCACGAGCAGACAGGCCGTTGCCGTCGATAGCATTTGTTGATTTTCCTGCCTAGCCGGCACCGTCAGGTGGGCGCTGAATTAAAATGTGGAGGCGCGTGAAGCCGGGAAATCCTTTGAAGCCGACGCGAAAAAAATTCCCGGGCCGATAAACTGTGGGGAACAGGCGAAAAGGAGGCAAAAGTTCAAAAATTCCAGACGTTCACGGAATTGACGATTAAGCGCATAATATCGATTAAAAAATTAAGATGAAACTAACAAAATTAAAATTTTAGTGGTCGAGTCTGGAAGAATCGGTTTATGCGCGTATATAGGATCGAAAAAATGGAACAACCCGAAGAATCGTCATGCCTTTTTTATGTTTTGAAAATAGCCTCGGGGCATTTGTAGAAAAATGACGGGGGCAATAGGCAATGACGTCGAGTTGAAATTGTGAGTCATAGAAAGTGAACAAATTATAGTGAAGAAAATAAATTTGTGCACAACTGACCGGAAACCAGCAGAGATTCTTTAGGAGAGGGCGAGCTAGCAGAGATTCTTTTGGAAAGGGCAGGCTAGTAGAGATTCTTTAGGAAAGTGCAGGCTAGGAGAGATTCTTTAGGAAAGGGCAGGCTAGCAGAGATTCTTTAGGAAAGTGCAGGCTAGGAGAGATTGCTTCAGTAAAATTGCGTGTAGCTTCCAACTCTCCAAATAACTTTATCGCCACAAATTATTTTCCACGTCCGCAGAACATGGCATTAGCCGTCTCGCGGAATTCGCAGATTTGTCCCTTGAAGCAGTCCTCGTCACGCTTGCAGTTGCCGTGACTGGATCGCTGAAAAATTCTTAAATTTGTGAATGATCTCTGCTAGCCGGCCCTTTCCTAAAGAATCTCTGCTAGCCTGCCCTTTCCTAAAGAATCTCTGCTAGCCGGCCCTTTCCTAAAGAATCTCTGCTAGCCTGCCCTTTCCTAAAGAATCTCTGCTAGCCTGCCCTTTCCTAAAGAATCTCTGCTAGCCGGCCCTTTCCTAAAGAATCTCTGCTAGCCTGCCCTTTCCTAAAGAATCTCTGCTAGCCGGCCCTTTCCTAAAGAATCTCTGCTAGCCTGCCCTTTCCTAAAGAATCTCTGCTAGCCTGCCCTTTCCTAAAGAATCCCTGCTAGCCTGCCCTTTCCTAAATAATCTCTGCTAGTATGCCATTTCTTAAAGAATCTCTGCTAGTTGCCGGTCTTACCTTTCTCCTCATTAGACCCGTTCCACCCCCATCAGGACCGGAAGACAACGGAGACGACTCGATTACGGTAGCTACCGTAGCCAGCAGCAATAACAACAAGAAAAAGCGCATTGTGTTGAGAATATTGGCAAACGGAGCGCTGCCCTTTTATGCGGATTTTATGCTTTTATGCGTATTACGTTTGAATTGAGGATTTGATTTTCAGGGGTTCGATGTCGATATTCCATGCCGACGACGGCAATAATAGTTATTGTATATTTAATGGGATATTTAACTACATTTTTTGACTAAAAATACGCTAAAAATTGGGGGCGGAATGCTGAATGTCGACTAGATATTGGGAAGCCATCGAAACGCCAAAAAAAATTGTATTGGGAGGAATAGAGCCATGAAGCGCTTTCTCCTACTCCTAATGTTCGTGCTCATCGTCATGCTGCTAGATGTGGAAGCAGAAAATATCGATGAAAATAAGCATGCCAGAAATGTGAGTTTTTGCTTTTCTGGGCTGCTCTCTTTCTTTCTCTGTCTCTCTCTCTCTCTTCTCTCTCTCTCTATTTTTTCTCTCAAACTCTCTCTCACGCTTGCTCTTTCTCGCTCTCGCTCTCGCTCTCTCGCCCTTGCTCGTTCTCTTTCTATCGCTCTGGCCATCTCTATATCACCCGTTATCCTGATCTCTCACTCTCTCTCTCTCTCTCTCTCTCTCTCTCTCTCTCTCTCTCTCTCGCTCTCTCCCACTCTCTCACATCTTGGGCTTCCTAAAACCTTTATAGCCAGAATTTCAGCGTCGAAACCCCAGCGATAAGCTCTCTGAGTGCCATGATGCCATATTGTGCGGCCCCGGCCAGGATTGTTCTTGGCCCGCCGATCATAACCTTGGAATTTGCCGGCCGAAATGATCATAAATTACTCGGAATAAAGCTTTGAGGCTCAAGAAAACCGACCACAGAAATCCACAGGAAGCTTCGTTTATTACCGAACCTTAAAAATAGACCAAACGCTTTCAAATTTCAGGTTTTCATTATTTAGCCTCTGGAAAAATGCGATAATTCACCGGCGATTCCTAAAAAGCCGTAAACCTTGTGACGATGGCCTATAAAACCTTCTTTCTACAAAAAGGCTCGGCTGGGAATCGCCAGCAAAATATGCGCTTCTTCCTGCTGCTCGTTCTCGTGCTCATCGGCGTTGTAGCCGGCTGCCAACAGTCGCCCTGTCCTGGGGTAAGTCGAAGTAAGACTAAGCCGAGGCCAAAGCGAAGCCTAAGCCCAAACGTAAGCCTTAGCCTAGGCGCAAGCGGAGCAGAAGCCTAAGCCTAAGCCCATTTAAAGCGAAAGCTTAAGCCTAAGCCTGGACCTGAATTGATGCCTATGCCTAAGCTTAAGCCTACCTAAGCCTAGGCCGAAGCACAGAAGAGGTAAAACGTGTTTGCAGGAACCGCTACTACTTACCTGCACGCCGGAATTGCCATGCCCGGAAGGGATGGACTGCCTTCGCCTTGGAGACGAAGAGACGGGCGCATGCGGCTTTCCTGTTAAAAGCTCACGCACCAAAAATCTTTGAAAGTTTGAGTATCGAATAAAAATCCAAAATGGGCTCTGCAGCTCCTCGGCTCGACGTTAAGCACAGATATTTATTTATTCTAAAAATCGAACATTTTTAAGGCTTCTTCCGTTTTTTCTCCGGGGTGGGAAAATCCAAATTTTTTTTCAGTAAAACTTTACTAGCAGTAAGCAATTTTAATAGTAAGATGTCAAGTGATTTTATGCTGAAAAACAATTAAAAGTTCAGAAAAAAGTTTTTTACCTGATTTTTGGCCCAAAGTCGCCCATTTTTCATCGAAAAAGCGAAGCATTTTTCATTTTTACGCTGGTATTTTCGAATTATGCAAAATGCATCTTCCATGGTCTCTGTAAAAACCATAAATCCTGCGGATATGACCCATAATCTATAAAAATTCTGGCGAAATTCTATGTATAAAAATGAAGATTTTTGTCCGGATCGCCAGAAAATGCGCTTGTTCTTGCTGGTGGTTCTGCTTTTTGTCGGCTTCGCGGCTGGCTGCAAGTTTTCACCATGTCCTGGTGATGGAGGGAGAATTGTAAGTATCAGCCTGAGCATAATCCTAAACCTAAGCTAAGCCTAAGCTAATTAGTTTTAAGTCTTAATTAGCTTTGCGTACCTGACGTTTCTGGACAAATAGGAAAAAATTCGTTCTCACCCCCGGTAAGGGAAAAGCTCCCCTCAACCTGGTTATTCCAAACTCAAATGTTCAGGAACCGTTGGGAAGATGCAGGATCAAGGAGAACTGTCCTCCCGGGGAGGACTGCATCCGCGACTTCGGGGCATACAAATGGGGCATATGCGTCCCGGCTTAACTGGATACGGAGACTGACTTAATTGGCAGCGTAAAAATGAATAAAAGGATTTGACCGCAACCCCTCCAGAATAGTCACTACTAGTTGCTATTATCATGTAGCAAATTTTACAAAAATTTAACGATTTTATTTCGTGATTTGCGACTTTGACGATGATGAATGTGATGTCGAATAAAATGACTGCATTTCATAACTGGGGCTACACATCCAAAATGATCTATGCTGGTTGCTGGTTTTAGAGAATCAAACAAATTTATTTAGATTTTTGCTGAGAGCGGATTTCCATCTCTGGGTTGTCGGTGATCACGCCACTTTAGTATGGTTCGCCTTCACGGGCGTGAGCTAAAAAACGGGCTTTTGCATATCATAGAACCATTTCCAGAGCGTGGGCGAGTGCAAGTCTGGCAGCAAGAGCGGCGAGAGAGATCGAGAAAGAGAGAGAGAGAGAGCGAGAGAGAGAGAGGGATAAAATGAGAGATAGCGAGCGAGTCAGAGAGAGCGACATATAGAGAGAGGGCGAGTCAGAAGAGAAAGAAAGGAAAAGAGAGAGGAGAGAGAGTGTGAGGTAGAGAGATAGAGAGAGAGGGAGGGAGAGAGATCGAATGAGCGAGAGAGAGAGGGGGAGAGAAAGAAAGAGAGAGCGCGTCGATTTACCAATTAACGCTAATAATTTCATGTGCAATTGCAGTCAGTACCTGTGGATATCCAGGCAAGAATGTGCAATAACTTGAGTAAAGCGGATTATACGGAATGACGCAGTAGCCGCCAGGGCCACACTGCTTGCTGTCATGGCATCCGGGGGAACGACATCGCCATTCGTGACCAAATTCACCAGTCTATAACGAAAATCCTTTTTAGAATGGATGAAACAACCGTTGGGCGTTTGTATGTAGGTGGATCTTGTGAAAACGAGCTTACGCTGCATGGTGGCATCACGTATCCAACGACCACCGTAACCAGAAGGAGCAGCAGGACGAGAGCACGCATCATTTTCTGCCAACTTCGATGTGAAATCGTTTTCTAGGCGGCGTTTTATTCCGGAATTTTTTAATTGGTCGGGAATTTATTGTTTTGGCTGCACAGCCAGAGTTTCAGGCGGAATTGGTCACCCGCAATCCAAACATGACATTTCAATTTACCCTCGAACTCTGCGTAGCAGTATCGGATCGGAATGGTGGTGACACCATTCGAAAGCCCTTGAAGCGATGAGTTTGCAACGATCTTCAAAACCATGTTTTTATTGCAATACGCCATTTTACAATGAATTTTAAAACGTTACGGCCCCTGCATCGATTAACGGCTATTTACAGTCATTTGCTTGGAAAAATCGAGCCAAATTAGATCGTACGCACTCCCGAAAACCCGAAAAATTCTAGAAAATGGCTTGGAAAGTAGCGGACTTAAGTAAAAACTTGGTTTGACAAATCGTTTTTAACTAGCCGTTTCAAGGGGTTTCCAATGGTGTAACTATCATTCCGATCCGATACTTCGGCGTCGAGTTACAGGGGGGGTTTTTTATTGGGACCCTCTATGGCATATTTCGCACTCTGACGTTTTTTTTTGAAAACGCTTCGTATACGATATTTAAGTTTATTTAAGTCTTATTTCTTCCCGATATCGGCTTCTTGCGCTCCCGGCCAGTCGGAGTATTTCCCGTCTCCCCAGATATCATTGCAAAAATATACCGGCTTACAGTCGGCATCTTGCTTGCATGGGTCGCTGTTTTCCCACTGAAAAATTTCTTTTAAAGTTGATATGTTAAAAAATTGATTGTAGAACAATATAAAAAATAATAAAATCTTATTTGATTAAAAAATTCAAAAGGTGTTTTGAATTTTCTAATTAATTAAGCGTCATAACGTTTAAATTAGGATTAAAAATACTTATAAATCGTGATAAGCTTACCGGGCACCATCCGAAATAACAGCCAGCGGCTACCGTAATCAGCAGCAGAAGAAGCAGGAAGAGGCGCATTTTTTTAGGATTTTTCCATTCCAAAAACTGCTTTTATAGGGAGTTTATAAGTTTTCAGTTTTATGAATCCTATAAAAAAACAAAAATGACAATTTTTATCCCGGTTTTATAGTTCCTGATCCCTACGAAACAATAGGCTACGATACAGTACGCTACACTACGATACCATGCGAGACGTTACGTAGCAAACCACTACGCTACGATACGCTACGATTTACTAGGCTGCGGATATGCTACTTGCTGCGATAATTTACGCTACGCTACCTTAGGATTTGTTACGATACGCTGCCCTGCGCTACGCGACGCCACGATGCGCTATCAAGCCTGCGAACCGTATCGCTGCAGTATCCAGCTGAGTCACAACACACTACCGCTACGCTACGATACGTCACGCTACAGTATGAAGCGTACGGCACAATCACTGCCGCAACGATCGCTACACGATATTCACGGACGTACTCTTTACGTACGTACAGGCTCCGCGACGATACGTTCGGAAAGACTGCGGTGCTATGCAAATAGTAAACGTAATGTATTTATTTCCTTCCGTCAAGAGTTTTTTTCCGCTTCAATTTTTCTTCGAAACGCACCATTTTCCGCGTTCCCCGAAATCATTGCAAATTTCGCCGTTCGCGCACTGCGCATCTGTCTTGCATAAGGTTCCGTTGTCCCACTGGAAAAGGATTGTATGAGAAAGAGAAAGAAAGAGCGTGAGAGAGAGCGAGAGAGAGATAGAGGGGACAAGATAAATACCTTACCGGGCATGATCCTTGACGGCAGCCAGCAACTACCGTAACCAGCAGCAGAAGAAGCAGGAAGAGGCGCATTTTTTTAGGATTTTTCCATTCCAAAAACTGCTTTTATAGGGAGTTTATAGGTTTTCAGTTTTATAATTCTCATAAAAAACAAAAAACACAATTTTACATCCGTTTTATGGTTCTCGATCGCTACGAAACGATTGGCTCCGCTATGCCAAGTACCGCAACGCTACAGTACGGTACAGTATGCTACACTACTAGCCCATACGAGACATTAATAGACAATGCACTACGCTACGATACGTTACGATACGTCAAACTACAGTATGAAGCGTACGTCAAAATACACTGCCGTCACGATACGCTTTGCGATATTTACGAACGTAATTTTTACGTAAGTCCAAGATACGCGACGATACGTTCGCAAAGACTGCAGTGCCATGTAAATACACAATGTAATTTATTTATTTCCTTCCGACATGAGCTTTTTCCGCTCCGGCCAAATCGCACCATTTTCCATGCGTCGGTATATCATTGCAAAACTGACCGGCCGTGCAGTCAGTATCTTTCTCGCAGGGGCTGCTGTTTTCCCACTGGAAATGAGGTTTACGTGATATCTCACATAGATATCTCACATGCTAGAGAGAGACAGAGAGATAGACAGAGAGAGAGAGAGAGAGAGAGAGAGAGCGAGAGAGCGAGAGAGAGAGAGAGCGCGATAGAGGAGGAGAGAGAAAGCGAGCGAGAGAGAGGTAGTGAAAGAGAGAGAGAGAGAGAGAGAGAGAGAGAGAGATAGAGAGATAGATAGAGATAGAGTGAGAGGGAGAGAGTGAGAGAGCAAGTGAGCGAGTGAGAGAGCGAGAGAGAGACCGAGAGACATTGAGAGAGCATTCAAATACTTACCGGGCACCACCCTACACGGCAGCCAGCGACTACCGTAACCAGCACGAGCAGCAGGAGGATGAGGCGCATTTTTACAGCTTTCTCACCCCGCTCTTATATTTATAGCGTATAATACTTTATAGATTTTTATTTTTACGCCCATCTTAAGCTGAAAAACCGATTTCTTGAAAATGGCTATAAAGTTTGCATCGACATGAAACGGCGTCTTGCGATATGTTACAGTACGAACCGATACTCAACGATACGCACCGTTAAGATACGATCTCTACGCTTATGGTCAGGATATGATACGCTACGTTAGAGTACGCTGAAATACAAAAGAGAGAGAAAGCAAAAAAATAATGAACGAGAGATCGATGGAGAGAGAAAGAGTGAGAACGAGATTGAGCGGGACATAGAGAGAGCGAGATAGAGAGAGAGCGAGAGAAAGAGAGTGAGAGAGATAGATAGGGAGAGATAGTTATGAGAGAGACCATGTAACCGCCGTACCGGACACCATCCTACAATGCATCCAGTGGCCACCGTAACAGCAACAGCAGCGACACGCATTTTTACGATTTTCTCAACGTGGTGGCACCACCTGCTCTTATATTTATTGCTTATACGCCTATTTATCGCTTATATTAGCATTTTATGCGTTTTATCTTTTTATTTTTATGCTCATCGTTAATACGGAAAAAAAGGTTTTCTTGAAAAAGATAAATAAATTTTCCGAACTTTGCATGTATGTAACTTATTGTGTTTTTGGTTATTTCTTTTCAAAATGTGTTTTTAAAGCGTCAATAGTAATTAACATTAGAAAACATATAGTTTGTCCTCTAAACACAGAATCCGTGCTCGTCATTCGCCGACACGACCCATTTGCATTTTCGCGGCTGGCAGCAGTCGGCGTCAAAGTGGCAGCTTTCGAACTGAAAACGTGAGAATTTCGTTTATATTATGCGTTTAATCTACCGCGTGCTCTTGACACCCTGCAGCTACCGTAGTTAGCAGGAGAACGAAGATGAGGACGAGCAGGAGCCGCATCTTGCAGGAAAATTCATAAATCTTTGTCGGCCCTGACTTTTATGAATTTTTCTGTATTGCTGGAATAAAATTTACGGCTCTTTTACGATTTTGTTACGCCATTAAAACTGGCATAAATTTAAATCGAGCATGACTTTAATTCGGGTATATCAGTGGGAATTTCACAAATATGGTTTCTCTTGGGAAAAAGAGAGAGAGAGAGAGAGAGAGAGAGAGAGAGAGGAGCGACCGCGAGAGAGGGAGATAGAAAGAGAAAGACAGTTCGAGAGAAACCGAGAGAGAGAGAGAGAGAGAGAGAGAGAGAGAGAGAGAAAGAGAGAGCGAGTGAGAAAGAGCCAAAGAGCGAGATAGCGTCAGAGAAAGAGACCGCGAGAGAGGGATAGACGGAGAGAGAGATGCAGCGAGCGAGAGACTGCGTATTTTGCGTAATTTGCACATGATCGTAAGATTTATTCTATTTATTGCAGTCAAGTTTCCGAGCAGCAGAGCATCGGCCACGACCTTTGAAGAAGCGGCAGCTTTCACCGGGACCACAATCACCCGACGAACGGCAACCCGGCATCAGGATCGTTTTCGAATCGTCCTGGAATTCTTGGTTTGAACGGGAGAGAGAGAGAGAGGGGGGGGAATGAGAGAGAGAGAGAGAGAGAGAGAGAGAGAGAGAGAGAAGGAGAGAGAAACCTACAGCAAGCCGCCACGGTTCAGCTGTATTGCACATCCCATGCAGACAGCCAGCCGCTACCGTAACCAGCGCAAGGAGCAATAGCATGAAGCGCATTTTCGTGAGTTTTTAGACATTCCCCCGGTTAGACCGTTTTATATACTGCTAAGATCAGGCGGAATCCAATAAATGCGGCTGTCTGGTCAAAATAAGGGCGGTCGCTGAATTTTTGCATGGATTTGATTAAACCGAGACGTCTTCAGAAGAGTCGAGTTTTCGCACGTAAACATTTTGTGAGCTCAAAGATCCACAGCAGAGAGGGAGAGAGAACCAGAGAAGGAGAGCGAGAGAAAGGGAGTGAGATATAGAGCGAGAGGGAGAGAGAGGGGGAGAGAGAGAGAGAAAGAGAAAGTCAGAGAGAATTTTTCGTATTTTCGTAATTTTTAAAGTTTTAAAGCTGGTATAAATGCGATTGATTTTATAAAGCTTTAAGAGGTGTTTATTCACTTTTTGTCTCAGCTCTTTCTATCGCCCGAGCACTGACCATGGCCCCTGAACATCAGGCAAGCATGGCCCGGAGGGCAATCAGTGTCGAAGGCGCAGCTGTGGCCCGGTTTCGGATGGACATTTCCTAGCTGAACTTTTTGGTATTTAAAGGAAGGAAGAGAGCGAGAGAGAGAAGAGAGTAAGAGAGAGAAAGCTCCCCATAAAACTCACCTTCAACTGCCCATTACAGTCACCAACCCAGCACCCGGCGACTACCGTAATCACCGCGAGGAGCAGCAGCAAGAGACGCATTTTTGACAGCATCCCCCGTGAAAATAACATTTATACAGAACAATCTGTAAAACTTTTTAGCGGCGGTAAAAAAACCCATAAATCGGGATTGTCGCTGCATGATTTGCATAGATTCGCATATCTCTCTCTCTCTCTCTCTCTCTCTCTCTCTCTCTCTCTCTCTCTTTCTTTCTTTCTTTCTCTGTATTTCTTTCTTTCTTTCTCTCTTTCTCTTTCCCTCTCTCTCTATCTCTCTCTTGCTATCTCTTTCTTGCTCTTTCTCTCAATGTATAAATCGTTCTGTTGAAAATTACAAATTATACAAAAAATAATTTATCAATCGATTCCCTCATTTCCCGGGGCTTTGAATCGGCAAGCATTGGCCGGTGTTGAACGCAAGAACTTTTTTGAACTTTCTGCACGACTCGCCCGGCTTGCAGTCCAGCGGGCTGCTACAGTACCGACGACTGGGATGGCCCACAAGATGAGCAGCTTCATGATCCGTATCTTCACCAAGGAGGAGGTGGCGGTCTTTCTAAAACAAATCGATTGAGGTAGAAACGCTTAAAAAGCGCCCAGGTAAGGGAAAAACGGTTTCTAAATTAGTAATAAGCTTCGTATATTAAAAAATTTTAGTAATGAGCTCCAGCTGTTGAGTAAAGCTCACCTTGAATCCCGGTTCCTCACCAGCGCAAACCTTAGGTGGCCAGCAGGCAGCGGCTACCGTAACCAGCGCAAAGAGAAGCAGCAGGAAGCGCATTTTTATTGTTTTTCAGGACGGGAACCCCCTTTTTGTAGCTTTATTTTTCCCTTGCGCAAAATATTGAAAAACACACGATTTATTGCCAAGGAAAACGGCCTAAATTTACGATAAACCGGAAAACGTCAAGAAAAAGAATGGATTTGATTGATAGGTTTGCTAGAACCAAAGGCTAGAACCTCATTGGGCTTAGGCATAGGCTTAGGCTTTGGCTTAGGTCAGGCTTAGGCTTAGGCTTAGACTTAGCTTGTCTATTCCATCAAATTTTATATATTTTTGCATACTTTCAAGATAAAGTTAAGTTTTTTTAGAAAGTCCCTATTTTTGCAACGACATTGAGAGGAATTACCAGGTGAGCATCACCGCCATTACCACCGCCCCCATTCGGAAAATCAGGATCGGTCTAAAAATAAAATAATCAGAGAAGCAATTCCCACCTCCGATCCAGGTTTCACGCACACGCTGGGCGGCCAGCATCCAGCCGCTACCGTAATCAGCGTCAGGAGGAGCAGGAGGAAACGCATTTTTTTTTGTTTAGCGGCGAATCTCTATCGTTATATATCGCTGTTTCTGTTCCGTGATCGCAGAAATTTTGCATAGTCACCGTTGATCGCTTTTTATTGCATCTAAACTGAAAAAATAGATAAAAATTGAACGTTAGAGAGCTAATTTTTATGTTATTGTAAAAATTCTAAAAAAATAAAATCGATATTTTTCAGGATATGCCATTGTAAAGGTGTTGCTCGATAGAAAGCCGGCCTGTGCTTTCTCTCTCTCTCTCTCGCTCTCTCTCTTTTTCTCTCTCTTTCTCGCGCTCTCTCTCTGTCTCTGTCTCTCTAGCTTTACCCGCAGGCTCTCCGGTTTGAGGGAGCATGAGAGAGAGAGAAAGAGAGAGAGTAAGAGAGAGAGAGAGATAGAGAGAGAGAGAGAGAGAGAGAGAGAGAGAAAGAGCGAGAGGACGCGGGCAGATAGAAAGCGTGTGCGTGATATTGTTTATGAATTGCAACCATTTGGGTGACTCTGAACTCCTTGGTGTCGTCGGCCACAAAAAATTGCAGATATCATTGATTTATTGGGTCTCTATCTTCCGTTCGGCCAGCACATCCCCCTGCCGAAATTCCAGCGGCAAATCTCTCCGACCCTACAGTCAAGCGACGTCGAGCAGTAGCGTGTGTCTTTCAGGTTGCGGTGTGGACGTTCAGTACGCCAGGGGTGCTGAAATAAATGTTCAACACATAAACAGCAGTTAAAAAAGACTAATGCATTGCTTTTTGACAACGTTTAGGCTTAGACTTAGGTTAGGCTTAGGCATAGGATTAGGCTTAGGCTTAGGCTTAGGCTTAGGCTTAGGCATAGGATTAGGATTAGGCTTAGGCTTACGCTCATGCTCATGCCTCATCTTTGAAGAACGTAATCTTTTAAGCCCTAAAAGCCAAGCAGCAACTTAGCAATGGTTCCAAAGCACACAAATTCTCACAGCCTCCGGACAATACTCATCCGGGTTGATGCAGCCGGCGGCTACGGTAGCGAGCAGTAGCAGAACAAGGATGAAGCGCATTTTTGGGTGGCTCTTGCCGTAACCATGCGTTTCTTATAAACCTTGGTTTTGGCAATTTTGCAATAATCCCTGGGAAACGTCGATACAACTTTTGATCCCTGGAAGCTGCAAAAATGGGAAAAATGATTTTGTCAGAATTTATCGCCATTTCAATCTCCTCCAAAATACGCACAGAATTTTTGATCTCCGAATTTCTGCTTGATCCTTAACCTTTGGATTCTGCAGAAAACGACTAAAAACCAATTTGGCAAAAGTCCGAATGTCGAAATTCAGGATGCGGAAATTTCTTAATGTCGCTACACATAATGTGAAAATTACATATAGGCTAATTTTCCAGGACAACCCCCAAACTCCAAGCAAAAAAAATTTCGATATTCAGAATTTCGGCGTTATGAATCTTCGGCATTTTAATAGAAAATCCAAGGACTGATATAAATTCAATTCTTTATCCAGATTTCACTGTTGGAATGGGGAGGTTCGGCATCCGTAGAGCGCTATTTCCACACCAACTGCCGACCAGGGGTTTGATATGGCAACGGTGGGTAGGGTGGGAGGCACGGCAATCCTCATTGTATAGGCACTCGTATCCTTTCGGTGGGGTGTGTTTTATCTGAAATATGCATGAAAAGCGATCGGCTTAGGCTTGGCTTAGGCTTGGCTTAGGTTTAGGCTTCGGCTTAAGCTTACTTAGTTCCCTACTCATACCTGTCCGTGCACCATAGCTTGCGGCAAAAATGAGGCTAAAAGGAGGCAGAGGACAAAGAACAGCTTCATGGTCGGTATTCCCTGGCTTCCCCCTGAAAGTCGGCTTTTAAAGCAAAAGCTAACGGAATCCGCATCCAAAAAATTCGGATCCTCGAAATTCCGCGGCACTCCTTTGGCGGCTGGGCCGCCAAAGCAGTGTCCCGGCCTTGAAGTTGGAATTTTTAATAAATGTAGGAATTTTGGCTTTGAGGGGCTGCAAGCTTTTCGGTTCTGTTAAGTGTGTTTAAGTTAGAATACGATATTTTATTAAGCCGTTCAGTTTCGTGGCTTCATTGTTGTTGTTGCTGGCCGCGGACCACACCAACTTCCTCTGCTCTCGTGGTGGAAGCAGTAGGCAGCAGCATCGCCGCAATCCGTATCAACACTGCAATCATGTATCACGTCATCGCTACGACGACTGCGTGTTGCCACCTAAAAATACGCACTTAGGGGGCCTATACAAAGCCAAGTAGCATAAAAAGGATGAAAATTGAAAGACAAAAAAACTTTCGTCAAAAATCTTTATTTGGAAACCTTCCGACTCGTTTTCACCGTTTCTCTCAACATGTCGAAAATCACAATGTCGAAATTCGGAAAAACCAAATTCGCATAAGCTAGTTTTTCCGTAAAACCACAAAATGTATCCAAAGAAATTTTGATATTCTGAACTTCGACAGTATGCTTTTCTGCATTATGGGTTTTGAAATTACCGGTTTCGACCATGTTTTCGCAATTTGCATGCGGATTTTGAGTAGTTTGCCAAAAAATGTTCATTTCTGGCCAATTGCTGTCGATTTTGATGATTTTGATGATAATAAGCCCTAATTTAGACGTCATTTTTTAAATCAAATAAAATTCATTCGATGTAGAAAAGCGCCCGCTTCTGCTTTAAAACTGCTTTAAAGCAGCAGCTGTCCGAAACAACCCACATCCATCTTCCATTTCTGACAACTTCCGGATACACAGATGCTGTCAGCCGGGCAATCAGAGTCCTCGCCGCACTCTGGTCGCGGATGGCGTTTGTTGGCCTAAAATTTTCTTTCGGACCTTCCGTAAATAAAAAAAGTAAAAGAATAAAATCTGACGCTTTTTCCAATGTTTCCGTTTTTAAAACTTTTAGTTTTTATTGACGAGCACGCAACTCTGGTTTTTTAGAATTTTTCTGGGACCATTTTTTTCCTGGCGGCCCGGGTTGGCCTAGAAATAAAGTATAAAGTGTCTTTACATTGTTTTTAGTGCGTTTTAACGATATTGAAATTAGAAAAATTCAAAAAACTTTCAAAATAAATCGGAAAAATGTTTGGAAAAGTCGAAAATTCGTCATTTGGGTTGGAAAAATCAATCGTTCGAGATGAAATTAAATTTCCAAAAGAAAACTTGCGCCGAAAAAATTTAAACCCGCCCGCGAATCCTAAAGAATCCTTAATCTTTTTCTCTTTTTTGAATAAGGCAAAAACCCACGTCCAGCGTGTCCCATATTGGTTCACAGTTTCCGGCCACACATTGCTGGTCAGCCGGGCAATCGTCGTTCTCGCTGCACGCTGGTCGCGAATGGCGCTTCGCCGCCTCAAAATTTTTTTTTTGGTATCTGAGCCGAAGCCTAAGCCTAAGTCTAAGTCTACGCCTAAGCCCAAGACTAAGCCTAAGCCTAAGCTTAAGTATAAGCTAAAGCCTAAGCCTAAACCCAAGACTAAGCCAGAGCTTAAGCCTAAGCCTAAGCCTAAGCCTTAACCGAATCCGTTTTGTAAAATAAACTCTTAACTTTCTTTCCCTTTTTGAGCTTTTGCATTATCGGGGGGCCCCCGCTTTTTTCTTCGGCTCCAATTTTGCAAATATAAATAGTGGAAGTGTTTCTAAATAAGTTTGGACTATTCTTAAATGGGAAAACTTTACAAATTAATTGATTTGTATTAAAAATATCACAAAAATATCGATTTTTGGACGGAAAATGGGCGATTTTTAACAAAAACTCGACTTTTAAAGTTTTTAGATAGTTTTTCTCGTAGAAATATAGTTATATAGAACTCAAATACTATTAAAATACTTTCTATTAGGTTACTAGGGATTTCAAGGCTTATACAAAGTTTGGCCCCTTCCCCTCCCCCGATAATGCACAAGAACCTTTTTTATTTTTTTTTTGATGAGGACGCTAATTAGATTTTTTTTTGAATATAGCAAAAAACCCACATCCAGCGTCCATTTTTCACATTTTCTGCCATTACAGATGCTATCCTCGGGGCAGTCAAAGTCATGGCGGCACCATCCTCGGCAAGGCGGTGTCCAGCACCCAAAGGCTACGGTAGCCAGCGCCAGCAACAGCAGAATGGGGCGCATGTTTCGATAAATATAAGCCGTCTCCACAGGCTTATATATACGCCTGCATCGAGGCATATATAGTGGTAATATATTTGGCATAAATCTGCATGAAATCTCGTAAATTTTTTCATATTTCGAGGATAGAAGAATTTAATAGCTTTTTTGACGCAGTTTTGCATACGTGGCGATAATTTCGTCGGGAAGCCCCCGTAAAAACAAATTATATTTTTGAATATTTTTTCTTTGATTGATTTATTTGAATTTTGATGAATTTTTGTTTTATTTTTATTTTTAGCAACCTAACAATTATCACAAAAAGTATGGTCCTTGTGCACTATCGGGGGGGGGGGATTCTGCGCAACCCCAGACGCTCCGATAAATTATTAGCACGTATTTCAATAGTAAAATAATGGTAAAAAATCGGTAAATTTGTAATGTTTTCACGTTTACGGATAGTAAAAAGCCATTTAAAGACACTTCCACTATTTTTATATGCAAAATTAAATCCTAAAAAAAAGATGGTTCATTACGCGACCACCTGTATTCCGCGATTTTTCATATAACGCGCTTTTTTACATTACGCAACATCTCATATTTCCTAGAAAAATGTTTTGTCGGTGTTCCATAGTCAGATACCTTGTTGGCATGGTGTAATTCTTTATGATAAAGCAGCCCGCGTTATCCCGCCCTGACAGGTTTTTCCATCGGTGAGCACCAGCTTGTCAGCATCCCCTTTTTCACGCATCCATGGGAAGAATCGGGGCAGTCCCGATCGCTGTGGCATCTGAAGGCGCTGCGACGGCTTCGGGTCTCCTGAAATACCATTTTTAAAGGGATTAGGAAGGCCCAAGAACATTAGCATAAAAGGCTAGCGGAGTTGCTTTAGGAAAGGGCAGGCTAGCAGAGATTCTTTAAGAAAGGGCAGGCTAGCAGAGATTCTTTAAGAAAGGGCAGGCTAGCAGAGATTCTTTAGGAAAGGGCAGGCTAGCAGAGATTCTTTAGGAAAGGGCAGGCTAGCAGAGATTCTTTAAGAAAGGGCAGGCTAGCAGAGATTCTTTAAGAAAGGGCAGGCTAGCAGAGATTCTTTAGGAAAGGGCAGGCTACAAAGATTCTTTAGGAAAGGGCAGGCTAGCAGAGATTCTTTAGGAAAGGGCATACTAGCAGAGTTTCTTTAAAGGGATCAAGACCGGCCCTATGAAGTAGCACTTGCATCGACACGGGTGGGATCTAACCCTTTAAGGGGATGTAGAAGCCAAAAATCCACAGGTCCTCCAAAAACGTTTACCTACCAGGATATCCCATGGATACTTGCAGCGCTTCCGGCCTGCTTTGCCCTCCACGCACACCTGCCCGGGAATCGTACAATCCAAATCGCTGCCGCAGCGATGGGTGGGCTTCTGCAAAGTTTAAAATCGACTTAAGCTCAAGCTTATTAGGGCAATGCCTGGCTTAGGCTTAGGCTTGGGCTTGGGCTTATGTTTAGGCTTCCGCTTCGTATTAGGCTTGAGCTTAGGATGAGGCTTAGGCATAGTCTTAGGTTTAGGCTTCGGCTTTTAGCTTAGGCGTAGGTTAGGCTTAAGTCACCAAATTGGCTTACCGGTTTCCGTGTAAGGCAGCGGTCCGGAAAGTAGCACGCCGAGGCTACCGTAACAAGCAAAAGCAGCGCCAGAGCGGATCGCATTTTTTGCAGGGTTTTGTTTTGGATGTGGCTTTTGTGAGCCCTATTCAGGGCCATAACTTTTTGGGTAAGTTTCAGCATAACTTTTGCATAAATTTGCGTAAATACGGTACGCGCGTTTTTTGGTCCATAGGTATTTTATGTTAAAGGGACTGTTAACGGCAAAAACTTTTAAAGGGATGTAGAAGCCGAAACTCAACAGGCCCTCCAAAAATTCTCCTTGAATTTGCGGGTTTTTTTAGCCAATTGTTGCAACTTTTTTGTGCAAATGAAGCCTAGTTTTGACAGTACAATCAGCGGATTCGGGCACAGTTTAACGTTATGCTTTATTAATCGTTCAAAATCGACTTTTTTAGCGTTTTTCGCAACGGCTCGACCGGCCCTCGCGGACGCATTTATGCGATTTCGGGCAGTCGCTGTCGTTGCGGCACATCAGCTTTCCAGGAGGTGCTGCCACCAGCTGAAATGGCAATTTTAAAGGGGCTAGCAAGCGAAGTTCCACACGGCTTTGCATAATCCTTATTGCTAATTCTGATTTTCATAATTTTCAAAAACCAAAATTTAGCATGAATAAAGCTTATGGGATACCCTAAACATTTTGAAAAATTCCACGATTAAAATTTCGGCACTATGGTATTTCGACATTGTGAGATTTTGACATTTAAATATGTCGGCATTTTGAAAATCGACATTTTGCTGCTGCGATGCAATGTATTTTTGGGATCATTTCATCTTAGAATAATACCATAAAATTTCGTCATAACGATATTGCGCATTTACAAAATAAATTCAAATTCAATTATTTAAATTTTTCTAAATAGCCCTAACTTTTACATTGGAAATCTCGGAATTTTGATTTTTGATTTTTAACTTTGCTTATTTTGAAGGTTTTGATTTTTCTGCATTCTGAAATGTTAAAAACTTGGAATTCCTCAGTCCCAAAACCAAAAATTAAGTGTAAAACCTAACCCTTTTAAGCCATGGGTATGTGCAGACCGCTTCATTGTCGATCGACGAGCAGGCTTGGCCGGGCAGCGGGCAATCCGCATCAGACGTACATGCCGGGATCGAATGCTAATTGGAAGGAGTGAATTGTTATAGCTTTATGGCTGTTATAATTTTTATATGTTAAAATTATATGAATAGGCTTTGGATTACAAGCGGCATTCCGCTCGACAACTCGGTACAACCCGGCTTCCGGCCTCTCCTTTTGGCCTCAGTGCCATTTTAGATTGGACTAGGCTTATGCCAGGCTTAGGTTTATGTTTATGCTTAGGCTTCCGTAGAGGCTCAGGCTTGGTCTTAAGCTTAGGCTTAGGTTAGGCCTAGGCTTATAATTGGCATTAGGCTTAGGCTTAGGCTTAGACTCATGCTTCGGGCTTCGGCTTCGCTTAAGCTCGGGCTTAGGCTTAGGCTTTGGCTGAGACTGCGCTTAAGCTTGAGCTCAGGTTAGGCTTAAGCACAGGGTTAGGTATAGGCTTAGCTTAGGCTTGGTTTAGGCTTAAGCTTCTCTGAGGCTTAGGCTGACGTTGCTAGGCAGTTTAAAGGACCGCCGAAGTCAAATTCCCACCTCTCTTTTCTTCCGCCAGCACCTAGGAAAAATCGTGCAGCCCACCGCCAGCTCGATTACGGTAACCAGGAGCAGGGCAGTTAGCAGGAATCGCATTTTCAGATACGTTTCTTGCAAAGGGCTGGCGTTATATATATCAAAAAATTTTGAGGGTCGAATTCCCACGATAAATCACACATTTTTCAAGGATACGATAGCCAGAGGGGGTGGATCTCCGGCCATCAATTTTGCAAAAGCCTCTGCCACACGCCCATGAAATTCGCGACTTGCCGTTAACGTTTTACGTCAAAACGGTCTAAAAATATATCGGACAGCAAAAAAGCTGATTTTTGCGATTTTTTTTTGCTTATTATCGCTTGCTATAAAATACGCTTAAAGAGACCGATTTTCAAAATGCCGAAAATCATGATGTCGAAATTTGCAATGGCCAATATTCCCGGTGAACCCCTGGAAACCCATGCAAAAAAGATCGGCATTTTGAATTTCGAAATTATGAGATTTCGACATTCTGAAATTTCGACATTATGAGATTTCGACATTCTGAAATTTCGACATTATGAGATTTCGACATTCTGATAGGAATTCGCTTAAAGAATTCTACCTTACGATTGTCTCTGTATTTTCTGTCGCGTTTTTTGAATGTCGGGCTTTTCGCCTATTCCTGGTCAGTAGCCTGTATTCTCAAAATTCGGGATCAATGATGCCGTTTATGTATGCTTTTCAAAAGGGCCACTGGGGCTCGAACGGTCGCCTCGTCACTTCGCACCATTTCAACCCAAAATCCTGCTCAGTACATGTCTGTAATTCGTGCCAGCAGTCGTCGTCCGTTTCGCATTGACCGGTTGGAGGGCGGAGTTCCTGAAGTGCTTAGGGTTAGGGTAGGCTCGTGCTTAGGCTTAGACTTAGTTCGAAGCTTAGCCATGTGCTTCTGCTTAGTCCTAGACTTAGGCTTAGGAGGGCTTAGGCTTAGCCGTAAGCATAGGTTAGGCTTAGCTTCACGTTAGGCTTAGGCTGAGGCTGAGGCCCTGCGACAGGCTTATGCTTAGGCATGGCTAACGCATGGCTTAGGCTTAGGCTTAGACCCACGCCTGGTCTTAGGCTTCTTTTTAGGCTAAGTTTAGGCTTAGGCTCAGGTTGGGCTTAGGCTTAAGCTTAGGCTTGGGTTAGGCTTAGGTTTAGACTTATGCGTAGGCTACATATAGGCTCTCGACGAGCTCTATAAGTGTGCAAATTTTCAAATCCGAATTCGATTCCCAGCTGAGACCATCTCCTTGTTAGGCTTACGTTTAGGCTGAGGCTTAGATTTAGGCTCAGGTTGGGCTTAGGCTTAGCTAGCCGTTCAAAAAAGTCAAGCCGAGTTCCCCACCAGACGTTCGGCACGCTTCCCCCGCCCACAGGTAGGAAAAATTTCGCATATTCGTGCGAGGGAAAGCCCGATTACGGTAGCCAGCAGGAGGACAGCTACCAGGAATCGCATTTTCAGATACGTTTCTCGCAAGGGGCTGGCTGGTATAAATCCAAAATTTTTACTGCAGGATTCTCACGGTAAATCAGGCATATCTCCATGGATACTGTACGCCGGAGCCGCAAAACTGGGACTACGAATTTTCCGAAATTTTTGGCCGACAAATCTTATTGGAATGTACAGCTACAGTACATAAACCGATCGTTCCAAAAAAAAATCAAATTTTCATAACTTTTGCCGTAAATGAATGCTTTCTGTACTTTTCTGATGTTAAATACCCGAAAAATACGCAATTTATTGAATACTAACGTCAGCCGACGCATACGCCGTTGCCCCACAAATCTCCGCCCAACACTGCGCATCTTGAATTCGGGCCATATTTCCAGCACTCGCTATCCTGACGGCACGACACAGCGCCACGACGATTTCGGGGCTTCTGAACAATAATACGATGAAATGGACGTAGCAAATAATAGTAAAACGGACAAATCGAAGGCTAGGATCTTAAAACCTCAATATCTCCAAAGTCCGAGCCTTAAAAAGCCGGATCGCGAAACCGTAGCCTCTTTTGCAGGTTCTGGTTCATTAGCGGGGGGGGGGAGGTTATGGACGAGTTTAATGTCGTAGTTTTTCAATATTTCCCTATTTTTGGGGATTAAATCATCGCGACTCGGTAGAGCTTCAAAAAATATCTAACGAATTTTAATGCTAGGGAAAATGAAACTTTTAAAAATTTAAAAAATTATAATTTTAATTAATCTCAAATAAAGTTAATAGCAATAATTTAAAAAACCCACTTCGCCATGGACACATCGACTCCATCGGTCGCCCAGGCCATTCTCCGACCATTCGCAAATTTGGTTCCTGCCGCAATCGCCGTCGTGCGAGCACTCGATAAAGTTTCGGCGCTTTCGAGACTTCTGAAAATTTGTTCAATGCCTGTTATCTTGGAGGGAATCGATGCAAAGTCAGAAAAAGAAAAATTACTTCGTCTTCCCCATAGGCCAAGCCGACCACCGTAGCCGCAAGCATTAGGATCACCAAGAAACGCATGTTTTTCTCAAACGGCCGAAAGATGAATTTGTTATTAACCGAAAATTTTATGCCACAAATTCTCAAGGTTAAAAAAATAGATTCCTCCGAAAATCGCATGCAAAGAACAGCAAAAACCCCGAATCTGTTCGAAAATAATTTTTTTTTGCGATTTCTCGTAGATACGGCGGGCGAGAAGAATTTATCGCTTTGATGAATAAATACGATAAATCGCACAAATCCTCAGGTTGTTAAAATGCTATTATTTATGCTCTGGTTTGGCTCTGTGGTTCCATTTTTTTTATCGGAGAAACGATTTTCCAAAAATTTTGGGATAAACCCTTTCAAAGAACTGCAGCTACACAAAAACAAAAACCCAACTACAAAGAAACTGGTTGTGATGACTGATGCGAATTCACCGTTTCAAGAACTTTCGAATGGTGTAACTATGATTCCGATCCGATACTTCTGCCTCGAGTTAGAGGGGATGCTTTTTGGGACACCCTGTACATCTATACATCCATATAAGTTGACACTTTATTAAACGACCACCACACATCGGGCCGATTCACCGCCGTCACCGTCGCTAAACTTGATACATTTTGCCGGGGCGCTATCACAGTCGTCGTCAACAACGCATTCGACGGTGTCGCGACGTTTTCGGCCTCTCTGAATGTATGTCTATGTCTAAATCGCGTAGATATCTCATATTTCCTCTGATATAACCCCAACAAACATTTTTTCGACGTTGTCTTTAAGAAGAAATAAGGGCCACTGCTGCTACGGCTAAAAATCATTATAATTGCTCAAAATCACGAAAAATATATCCCTCCCTCTAATACAACCCCCTCTGAGGTGATTGAAAAAATTGAACCTCCGTGGTTAAGTTAGAGGGAATACGGTATTTAAAAAATTATCGAGTTAAACTATAAATTTTATTACTAACCGCCTCGCACTGACGTGACGTGTGGCTGTACCATACGCATTCTTCAGTCGCTGTCCCTCCGGCAGCCGATAAAATCCCGACGGCTTCGTAGCTTCTGAATCTCTATTAAGTACCTAGTAATTTTTTCAGATAAAGTATAGAGACCAACAAAGGCGAAATTGAAATAGGACAGCCAGAATTTGTTTTTACCTGTCTATCCGCATAGGCTACCCCCAGCACCGTAGCCAGAAGCATCAGGATCAACAGGAAACGCATGGTTTTTTGCTTCGCCTGCTGACAAAAGCCACAGCCTTTATAGAAAGCGTTTTATGTCCCGTAATTCCTGAAATAAATCGTAAAATTCTTGCCCAAAAACGCCCGAAAATGTCACCAAAATGAGCATATGCAAATTTGAGGATTTATTTCTTTGTCTTGCCAGAGTGTAGCCAACCAAAAAATTCTAAAAAATTTCAAACCCAAACTTATCGATTAGAACACAATGCCTTTTACCCCGCCGTTTGCATTCACGCGATTTTCATCAAAAAATACGCCCGAAAACTCGTTTTTTCACGAGCAAATGCAAAATTTATAGTTTATTTCTCCTCCCTGCCTGGTCCCATTTGATTTGCATCAACAAATGGTTTGAAAGAACTCCTAAATTAAATTTATCGATTAAAACCGCGCCTTTACAGATGCCACAAACCATTTACATTCAGATAGATTTTAGCGAAAATTTAAGCCTGAAAAATGGCATTTTTTACGAGTAAATGCAAATTCGATGATTTATTTGTCGACCCTTGCCTGGTCTTGTCATTTGATTTCTACGACGAAAAAGCGTAAATAAATTTCGAGGCCAGGTTTATCGTTTATCACGACAGTTTCACGGAGTCCTGCACCCATTTGCACTCCCAGAGGTGGGCCGTGACATTCCACTGGCACTTCTGCTCGGGAAAGTCGGGGCAGTCGGAGTTTTAGCAGTTTTTTCGGTTACTCTGTACATCTATACATCCATATGAGTTGACACTTTATTAAACGACCACCACACATCGGGGCGATTCACCACCGTCGCCGTTGGCAAACTTTATGCATTTTGCCGCGGCGTCGTCACAATCGTCGTCAACAGCGCATGCAACCGTGTCGCGGCGTTTACGGCCTCTCTGAATATACTTGGGACTTGTACAGGGTTTCCGAAAAAAAACACCCCCTCTAACTCGACGCAGAAGTACCGGAGCGGAAACGGCGAATTTGCAAAAATCTTCGAAACCATGTTTTTATTCTAACGCGCTATTTTACAACGGATTGAAGACATCAAGGAACTGCCTCTGCATCGAATTAACGGCTACTTCCGGTCATTTTGCTGGAGAAATTGAGGTAAAATAGCTCGTATGCTACCCGAAAAACCGCAAAATTTTAAAATTAAGCGCGTAAAATAGCGGATCTAAATTAAATAATCGTTTTGAGGATTGTTGCAAATTCGCGGTTTTAAGGGCTTTCGAATGGTGTAACTACCATTCCGCTCCGCTACTTCTGCGTCGAATCACGACACCCTCTATTCATGTCACGATATACGATATATTTACGATATTAAGACAAATTGCTGATAATGTTACTAACCGCCTTGCACATCCTTGTCCAGACGTCCGTGCCATCGTAAGTGGCCCTTACGCAACTTTCAGTCTTCGCACAATCGCTGTCCCAAATGCAACCGCTCCGACGGCTTTGCAATTTCTGACAATCGATCGGCAAATACCGGGGTTGGTGTTTTTATTTTTTTTTTCGGAAAATACCGGTCGAATTGCGTCTTTTTGACAATATCTGGGCTAAGGTTGAAGCGGATTATCCGGAAAACCCAGACTATTCCGGATTTTCTAAAAACGCCATCGTAAACAGCATGGTCGTTTAAATCGAATTCTGTATCGAAATTCCAACCCCGGGTATTTGCCGATCCTTTGTGAGTCCTTATTAAGATCTTGTGATTCTTAAGCGAGTGCAAAGCTACAAACAACAACAATCCAAATAGGACACCAACAGAAAGGTTACCTCTTCATCCCCGTAAGCTAAGCCGAAAACCGCAACCAGAAGCATCAAGATCAACAGGAAACGCATGACTTTTTGCTTCACCTGCTGTTAAACGCTGCACCTTTTATAGAAAAATTTTATGCCCTGAAATATTAATAATAAAATTTTCATATCAAAAAACGCGCGAAAATGCCACTAAAAACGAGCATACGCAAATTTGAGGATTTATTTGTTGACCTGCGTGGTTTCGCTAGATTGTAGCGATCAAAATTCTAAATAAATTTGTAAACCAGATTTAACGGTTAAAACAATACCTTTTACCCTGCGTTTGCATTCCCACGATTTTCATCAAAAACATTTATGCCCGAAAAATCGCCTTTTTCACGAGCAAATGCAAAATTTATAATTTATTTCTTCTCCTTGCCTGGTCCCATTTGATTTGCATCAACAGCTGGTCTGAATCAAATCCTAAATTAAATTTATCCATTAAAACAGCACCTTTACAGATGCCACAAACCTAAAATTTACAATTTACATTCACATAGCTTTTAGCGAAAATTTTATGCCTGAAAAATGGCAATTTTTACGAGCAAATGCAAATTCGATGATTTATTTGTCGACCCTTGCCTGGTCTTGTCATTTTATTTCTACGACGAAAAAGCCTAAATAAATTTCGAGGCCAGGTTTATCGTTTATCACGACAGTTTCACGGAGTCCTGCACCCATTTGCACTCCCAGAGGTGGGCCGTGACATTCCACTGGCACTTCTGCTCGGGAAAATCGGGGCAGTCCGAGTCGAAGCTGCACTCGAAGCGCTTCACGGAGGCGTGGGGGTTCTGGAAGAAACTTCTAGAAGCCATCGGGAACTAATTTTTAATGCGGCCCTGGCGAGATAAGGATCAGGCCGCATCTGGTTCAACTGGCTAATAAAGCCAACCGGTTGCGCTATGTAAAGCGGCTGGCAGAACCGCTTTCTAAAAGCATACTAGATTTGTGAGGCAGTGAACGCACTTCAGAACGTTTTGCTATCATAGTGTCGACGTTTCAAAATTTTTTTGTGAATTTCAGACTCCAAATTTGATTGAGCCTCAATCAGCATTTATTGCAGCCATATTATCATCCATTTGGACTAATTCCGGCTCCATGGTATCCACTTGCAGAAGCCGACGCCCTTCGACTGCCCAGCGGCGGAGTTTTTGCCCCTGGTAGGGCGAGTCGGCGGTGTCACGGCATCGCTTCCCCCGATCTAGCAGCTGGGATAGCGCGGCTGAAGTCAGCTGATCACGCTTAAAAATTAGATTCTCGGGAGCGTAAACGGCACAAAGTGAGCATATTAACTCCATTTTTTAGCTCGAGGACAGTTTAGACTTAGAGAAATCATCATGAAAGAAAGTGCGACACCTAGGCTTCGTCGTTTCTAGCTCTTCTTCTCTATCCCTTTCCCTGTCTCTCACACACTTTCTTCTCTCTCTCCTCTCTCTCTCTCTCTCTCTCTCTCTTTCTCGCTCTAACCTCTCTCTATCAGGAAAAAATCTCACCCATAGTCCATTATCCATCCTCCACCAATTCGCAGCCATCCGCCCGATCGCCGGCATTGCCCTTTGGCCAGACACATTTTTCACCGGGCTGCGTGCGGTCGGCGATGATGGTTTTTTTTTTTCATGATCATCCTGAAAGTTCTCATTATTCGGCTGCAGACCGAGACGGGGAACCTGCAAAAAATCGACGTTCAAATCC